TTACCTTTTACATTTAGCAACCAGTTTTGATATTTTTGCAGATATACGGGTAGTGTTTGGATTTCTCTTGCATACTCTGCAAATTCCTGGAGCTTACGAATGACCGTAGACGTTTCCACAAGAATTGATACTGGAAGAATTAACAAGTCTCCTGTTTCTGCAATAGCCTCGTCTATTATCGTTGGTAATTCGTGCAGATTCGAGGTCATAGCAATACCAGGTATTTGAATTTATGTCATATCCACCATTACCTCATCAATCGCTTAAAAGTTTCTGCAACACACAGTACACGCTCAACGTGATATAAATTTTATTTTAATATATGTGTCAAATGAAATAAATTGTTATTTTTGTTAAAGTGTTGCTTTTGGTTTTTATTTCAGCAGAACATATATAGAGGGGAATATATAGGAGTACCATGTTTTAGGATTATATGTACGATGATTTTGTAAAACTGCGGCCTGTGAAATTCATTTTAAATTATATTTTAAAGATAACATTTGTCCGTTGTCATAAAATGAAGTCAATACAATATTTATACTTGTCAAAGATCTTTCAAAAAGCTCTTGACGGAGGAGCCTCATGACTTTAAACTTAATTCATATAAAAATCCATTCCCTTTGTATGTCTTTTGAATTGAAAAATTACCAGGCTTTGATAACAAGCAATTTCCTATCACTTTGCAATGCTATTCAACACGGTTATTTTAACACTGACCATATTGCTGAAAAAAGTTTTTAACAAATTTTATTAGAAATTGAAAAACTCTGCATGATTTGGATCATGAACACGTTTTTTTAAATTTGTAATCAGCTCGCTTGAGCTGAACGCCAAGTGAGCTTTTCTGATCATAATTAATTTGTCCTGCGTCTGTCTGTTTGTCGGTCCGTTTGAAAATGTTCAATATTTTAGACTTCCTCTCCAAAAAACCAGAATAACAAGGCCATGTTAGTCAATTTGAAGCATCCCAATGTTGTATGGATTCATATTTGGTTAAATCAAACCCCTGAGTGCAAGGGTTGGCCAGTATATGGGGTCAAAATTTTCGTGGGAATAAAGAAGGGAAAAAGTCATGAAAATCTGAGGAACGACAAGCCAAGGTAGCTCATGTAAGCGCTATGCCTTTTGAACCTTTTTAAATATTCTATCAACAGATGAAATGTTGATCCTTTTCTTAAGTATTTTATGCCAGAAGACCTTCAGAATTTAGTGATTATTTTGTGACCTCGACCTAAGCATGTGACATTCTTTTCAGTTTTAGAGTGATATCAAGTTTTAAATAAATCTTGATATTTTATTTTTAAATTTTGTGCTATTGAAAGAATCAAGTTTGAAACAAAACTGTTTAAGATTGCCAGTAATTCAAAGCTTCTTATTCTTAGTGATACTACAGAGGGCAACATATATATTTGTATATATACGTGTTCTTGAACAAGATTAATTGAGGCGCCATTTTGATATTATTGCCATTTAGTGAAAAAAGAATCGATGCTATTACTTTATTGAATGTATTGATTTTGATGGATGGATCAAAGATAAAATCGCCTTTTTGATTTAATGATTTCTATTCTCAAATCACTTTGTCTAAGAAATAACATGAACTATTCATATGGAAATATAATGTCAAATTCAAATTGATGATACCACTATTTTTTCGAACCGATCTAGTGATATCAGCTAGAGAAGTTGTAATATCACCTAGCTATCTGAATATAGGGTATCACATATTTATCATTTAATGATTCTGTAACATTTTTGCATTTATAATAGTTCAAATTATGAGTTATCCCTAACAAAAATAGTATGCATGTAATTAATTGTAGTTTACTATTGTATCAAAGTATTTACTTTTTTGAAAATCGGTTTTTACTACAATCAATTAAAATATTTTTACTATGAATTCAAATTGTTAGATTTCATTTTTTTTTTTAATTCTTGCGTACGATTATTTTTTATATTGAAAGAAAATATTCACATCTTTTTTTTCAAAATCTTCATCACTGGTGTGGCATTTAATCGGAGAGGACTACACTATTGCTACTAACCGGTGAAGGGCTTCAAATTTAGACCAATGCTCAGAGCTATTGAGCAGTGAGAGTTATTGATCATACCTACACCTATAGCGACACGGGTCCTCGGTTTTTAAGGTCTCATCCGACAGACTCATGACTTTCACTTGGGTGCTTGGTGAAAGTATTTGGGTTTGAAGCGGCGCAATTCTTAACTGTGTTTTCGGGCAACATTGATTATGTTAGCCCCCTCGGGATGAAAATATTGCCCGACACGGAGTATCATCCCGGGGGGGGGGGGGGGGAGGGGAGGGGCTAACATAACCAATGTTGCCCTCAACTCCAATCAATATTTGTATATTTTTTTTTATCTCATTAATGAAATATGAAGATAACGAACAGTAATCAATCTCAAAAGTCCATTGAAACAATACAAATTTGGAATTGAGCAAACACGGACCTCCAAAAACATCAGAGGTGAAATCATGTGCCATGGAGGAGTAGGCATTCCCTGCCGACCGGACACATCCGCTGTGTGCTCCTTGTCATGAATAAGCAAATGGGAAAATCCGTACACAATTCAGTGTTTAAATAATGGCCTAACAATATGTATGAAAAATTGACTTAATGATAGATTAAATTAGCTGACAAGGTCATTGTATCGACTATAGAATTTGCGGAATGTTGACTATAAATGAGGCCGTTGATATTCTTGTTTCATCAACTTATAAATATTTGTCAATAGCTTGTCTCGTTTTAAAATTTGTTCTTGTGTAGAATATGCTCTTGCGTATCGAATCAACTGGGAGACATAAACTCCGTATGCAAGTGATAAGTGAGAGAAGTTGACGATAAAAAAAAGTTGAAGTCATCGATATTTTCGAGTTCTTTAAATACATTCTACTTCATATGAATACAAAAATAGGTCTGCTAATAACCGAGCGCATATGGTACCCATGGATATTCCGACAGATTTATGGAAGACTTGATCACAAAAAATCAAGTAGATAATTACAATCAGAAACTCAAGCATCTTTTTAATATCAACTTCGGAGTACTTGTGTGTACAATCAGAATGTTTTAATAAAATAATTTTATAAATGACCCATGGGAAGTAAGCAGATTTACGAGTTCGATTTGTATTGAAAAAGCAGCTGTCTGTGATGTCAAAAAACCTGAACTATAATTTATCACGGAGAATGGTTGTATGAATGTTGAAAAGTCGTAAGTTTGATGTTACTAATTTTGGTAAAAATTTGTGATTTCAAATTTTCTAAAAGTTCCTTGGAGTTTTTAAGTATCCATATCTGATTTACACCACTTCTCAAATATATTGTTGTACAGTACTCCTGAAGTTTCTCCTTCACTGATGTTAATATTTTAGTGAGGAGTAAAGAAAGAGGCTGGTAGAACATTTACTTAAATCCACTATGTATCTTTGTTTGTAATGACTTTTATGTAGTTTAGGAATCCAGTATAGGTATGGTAATTCGAATTCAGTTTGATTGTTGGGAATATTAAAAATATTGAAAATTGACATATGATTTTGAAGAATTTCCTCCTTAGAAAGGGAACTGTGAGTGTAAGTTGGATTGCCACTTGTAGAATTAAATCCAAGTTCATCTAAAATACAATTAAAATAATGAGCCTTACAAACAAAGACGATGTTGTTACCTGCTTTGTCAACTGGGAACAGTACATACTGATCTTGTAATCAATCTAATTCTTTCTTCACTTCTGAATTATTAAAGACAGAAGGATAAATGGTTTTCATGTTACCCTTCAGTCGCTTTATTCGAGATTTCAACGTTCATCTGACACCTTAAGTCCATTCTGACAAAGTATCAAGGTCTTCTTTTTCATGTTTAGTCAATCGCCTGGCGTAATCTTCCGCAGAATTCATTAATATTTATAAAATTATTATACCAGTTGAAAGAACTGGTTTCCCTTAATGTTGGCCCTTTTAAGGAGGCTGGGGGGTCAACAAATTAACCACAAACTAACCACCAGATTTAACTTAATTTTTTAGATATGATATCTTAAGCTGTCAACTTTTATTTGGCAAAGAAAAATTTCAAAAATTTTAGTTTTAAAATTTGATCATTTTCTATATCTTCATATGGAGCTCTTCTTCTAAAGGAGATCAATATAGTCTAAAAATGGCCACACCCCCCCCCCCCCCAGCCTCTTTAAAATATGGGATTTAAGGTCCTTTTTATTAACTATATTTACATCACAAGTTATGATGTGTCCAACAGGACTATAGTTGTAGGGTGAAGAAGAACATGAACACGTAAGTGATACAACTCTAAAGAGTTTGAATTTCACATATCGGTATTAACGTCACATGCACAGGTAGCTGATCTTATTTATTCTATTCGAATACAAACTAGATTTGGTGATATTTATTATTTGAATACAAGTAGATTATATTACCAATTCGTTTTTTTTTTGTCTTTTCCTCTGTTTATGTTTTAAATTTTTGACTTCATTTAGAATTACTCGATTAATATCAACTAAACTAAGTTGGAACAAAGCATCATTTGGCTGAGGAGATTCGAGCTTTTTCACGAAGAAAAGACAAAACAGATGGGGGTCATTTTAAAATATTTTTCTGAAGAACCACTGGGTCGGAAAAATGACTTATGTGAAAAGGATAGGGCCAAAATAGGGGATCATAATTACATTGGGATGGAAAGAGTAATTCATGACAATGGCAAGTGATATGTAACTGTTTATTTTATAAAGACAGGTCATTTTTATTTTCAAAGTGGCAGATTATGATGGTGACAATGTACGTTGTCGTATTCCTGTAACAACGGAAGAGTGTGGTGATATTTGTAATAAAACAGGCATTATCAACGGGATTTCTGAAGTAAGTTCTTAAAGATATCAATCTCAAAGCACTTTTTTCAAGATACTGTGACCTATCACATGTTTTATATTGAAAGCCAAGTAATATACCCTTCCTTAACAAATAAGGGCATGAATATGTCTGTGGGTAATTTATTCGTTTATCTGAGGCACAGTCACTAACATTCTATGAATGTTTACGTTTTCACCAAATTTAATATCTTAAACTTTCCGAACAATTATATATGTTTCACATTTCGTTTCGAACATTTTGTAGACATCGTGCACAATTTCTTTAATTGGCTATCCATCGAATGGGAATTATGCAGTATCAGTACAGATAGAAGATTTCGTAAATCTACTACTGCCCTGAGTAGCATTCCTCTACAGTTCATTGTTACAGTAACTTCTGACGGCGCCTGTTATTTGGAACCAAATTTTACGTCTCCTACTCCTGCAGAGGGAACTGTGATACAAGTTTACAACGGATCATTACAGTTTAAAGCAAGAGCCAGTATTACTTTTTCAGATGAAAGGTATTTAGATATGAAAAACATTAATTTTTTTTATGTCGATTTTATACAATACCAAAACCACAAGATCTACTAAGTACTATACATTGTCTTTTTATGTATTACGTCTTAACTGCACAGTAATAAATCTGTTTTTGTTTTTTTTTTTTACAATCGGTCAACCTTTTGCTGATTCCAATTTTTGACGAGACAATGATTTTGCAGCATACAATGTTTGTATATAATATATACTTCATTATTTTACAGTATAACTAAATTTCATATTTTGTCACCACTTGATTTTACGATATCTGACATCTCTAATCCCGTGCTTTACGAATATGAAACAACTATTTCACTTACGGAAATAACAGCAGAGGAAATCGGAATACACGTCTTGTGTTTTTCAGCAGAATCAAATTATCGGTAAACTCAATTTCTTATTTGCATAAAATGCAATACGTTTAGGATTGTGCTACAGAAATGCAAAGTTAAAAAAAAAACTTCGTATGAAAGATTTCTTAACATTTGTTAAGATTTTTTTTATTTGTTGCATATAAAAATGCTTCTGAATAAAGTGTAATAAAATATAAAATGTTTAATATTTACGCTTGCAGACGCTCTACCATATCCCGATGCATAAGAGTTAATATTACAGGTGATATATCATTAATATTACATGAGTTCTTTCATGATATATTGTTATATATGTGTACATATAAATCATCAATGACCTTAGTGATTTTAAAAGTCTTTTTAAAATGTGGAGATATTGTATGAACGTACCGTTCACCTATCAAATAATGTCAAAAATATCACATTAAATTGCTTTTCGTTATTGTGTGTCTAAACAAGCAATGAAAATATTTGTACTGTACCTGTTAAAAGGCATCCTATTATCTCGGATTTATATTAAATAGATACAAGATCAAGAATGAAAATATACATAAAGCACAATTTATGACCAACGAAGTAAACATTATCGATGCCCATGTATACACTCCACAAACATTCGGTAAATATATGACAGCCTATCGAAGAAAATGGTTTAATAATATATTTGTACCCGTGCCTCTATGCCCTGATGTCTTTGAACTTCACATGATTTATCACATGAGAAACAACTTTATTTCCCAGTGAAGATTTCTATCTTATATAATTTTTTTAATTAAATGTTTTGAGGAAAAATACAGTAATTTGAGTTATTTAAAACACATTTTCCTGGAGGATATTGAAATTGTAAGTGCATCACAATGCCCTAACCACAGTTCCAGATGCAATTATATAAGCTCACATTGTAGGGTTCAACTTAGCTAGCCTTCCCTAAACAAACAGTCATCTGTTCATAAACTTTATAATATCATTACACTTGTCCATAAATATCTGCAGATATCGTTGACAACTGTTTTGGCGATCCATGTCAGAACAGTGGAACCTGTGTGGATCTCACTAATGATTACCGGTGCCAGTGTCTCTCTGGATTTACAGATAAAAATTGCTCAACAAGTAAGATTGATCAATTCTTTATTATTTTTCAATATGTTTACATGTAATTTGTGTAATTTGCAATTGCCTTTAAATTGCCAAATTATTACTGTTAAGGAATTGTATGCATGTTACATTTACATATCAACAAGGTCACATTTTACGATTCACAATTGTAATGGGCGAATTTTTTAAAAGTATACTTAAGTTTGTATCTTCATTTACTTTTTTAAGTATAGTTTTAGTTTGGATGCCTGTGTGTTCATTTAAGAATAATTTAATTTTGTTTGTATTGTAGCCTCTGATTGGTTAATATCCAAAAAGGAACACAAATTATTTCTGTATAACCTGGTTTGGTATGGGGACACACCCCCCTGACAACCAGCTGAATCATCTGTATGCATACAATCCTCTCATTTCCAGTCCTCGGGATTCATGGAAAATTCCAGATTTAATAAATATACCTTTAACTTCAAACAATAATTCGATCTTACCACATGTAAACAAGCTGCTAGGCCTATGTATCAGTTTTTACCTCCCCTCGCTTCCCATCACTTCCGTTACTACGGTTGTATTATTGAGCGGCAAATTTGAACTAATAAAAAGCAACGAAATTTTACACCCATATTTATTTAATGATTTTAAAATTAAATTATAAGGAATGACTCTAATTCTTGGCCAAATTATTCGAGTATAACCTGGTTTGGGTCAGTTTACGCTGTTTTATAATCCGCTTCGCGGATTATAAAGCGTAAACTGACCCAAACCAGGTTATACTCGAATAATTTGGCCAAGAATTAGAGTCATTCCTAAAATGTGGAGTATTTACAAGGTGAATTATATTGTCAGTCCAAACCGTCGACAAATTTTGATTTATTTATGCTTATTATTGATGGAAAGCATATTAATTCCCCTTAAAAATATTTTATGATGCACATGTAACTCCCTGTTAACTGAGATGCTGCATTTGAATATTTTCTTTGTAGATATCAACGAATGCATGGATGAGCCTTGTGAAAACAATGGAACATGTGTAGATTTGATAAACAACTACGAATGTCAATGTGTTCCTGGGTTCAATGGATCCAACTGTGAGGAGAGTAAGTAAAAGATACGAAATAAGACGAATGGAACTATTTCAAATTCAAATGCCTCTAACTTTTAGCATTCATATTTGTAACAGATATTGATGAATGTGCTGAAAGTCCTTGTCCGAACAATGGAACATGTGAGGACCTCATCAATGATTACAACTGTAGCTGTGTTCCTGGATTTAATGGAACTAACTGCGAGGAGAGTAAGTAAATGAAATGTATTAGGATAAATAAAACGATTTTAAGGTCAGTTATTTTTCTTTCATGATATGTTTATTACAAATATTGACGTATGTGTTGAAATTCCTTGTCAAAACAATGGAACATGTGTGGACCTCATCAATGATTACTACTGCAGCTGTATTCCTGGATTCAATGGCACCAACTGTACAAATAGTAAGTTTTTAAAAACATTTTGTATGGTAGACAATGTTTTTTCTCTTACTCTACGTTTTACCATGTAGATATGGATGAATGCGCATCAGTACCATGCCAGAACAATGGAACATGCATTGATTTGATCAATGACTACGAATGTCTGTGTGATGTGGAGTTTAATGGTACAGATTGCTCAACAAGTAGGTGTAATAACTTGTCCGTTTTGCATTTAGAATTATTATGAATTTATCTTGCCATTTTTACATTCATTCTTATCAGTCGATTTACAAGTATTCTATATCGAAAATCATCATACTGTGAAATCACACATCTTTGTGGAGTCAAATTGTCGTGGTTTAAGGAAAAATAATGGTTTGTGGGGACTTGAATTCAAGGTCGAGGAATTGGTTATTTTTTTTTGTTTGTATGTTGTTTAACGTCCCTCTCGAGAATTTTTCACTCATATGGAGACGCCACCACTTGCCGGTTGAGAGCTGCAAATTTTGTCCTATACTCGGCGCTTACGGCCATTGAGCAGTGAGTGATCTTTTTCGTGCCAGCACCTACTGCGACACGGGACCTCGGTTTATACGGTCTCATCCGAAGGACCGGTCTCCACGTCCCACAGTGAATTGGTTAGTAGTTATATATTTGAAAATATATATTTCGTGGAGGACATGAATTCGTGGGTCTCTTCATACCGTGAAAAGAACGAAAATGAACCCCCGACGAAAATTTTCGATTTGATAGATTTCAACCAAGATGTTCTCTTATGATACTTTCAAATTATATCTAAGTTTCTGAGGCAAATGTCATCATTTTACATGTTTTTTTTCCATTGAAGAATCAAATCTAATGAAATACACGCTTGTTTTGTACCTCGACGTGACAACAACAGAAAATTTGAGCATAGAAGAAGATTACATCAAAGTAGAGAATAAAGTTCAACAAGCAGTAAGTATCCATACTACACTTGATTTTTTTTTTAAAATCATCCTTACTATTTATTTCAAGAAGTTATCTGTTTGTATTTTACAGTTATCTGTTTGTATTTTACAGTCATCTGTTTGTATTTTACAGTTATCTGTTTGTATTTTACAGTTATCTGTTTGTATTTTACAGTCATCTGTTTGTATTTTACAGTTATCTGTTTTTATTATATATTTGTTCAATAATACAGGATTTTTGCATCCCTGATATGAACACAGGCACGCGCCCTGTATTACACACCCTGTATCGGCACCCTTTATTTTACCCTTTATCACACCCATTATTACACCTTTCTTTAACATCTCTGTATTTTTCATTCGGAATACCTCGGATCTTTTTCTATTAATTGTTTATAAAGATTATTCAAATTGTAAATTTTCATCAGATATTTTATGCTATTCAAAATAATTATTTGTTTAATTTATAATTATTTCATTTCTTATCGCTGTATGCATTGCCTTTGGAAAAAAATAATGAGAAAGGAAATTCAACAAAAAAAAAGAACATATTCAATTATTAAGAATTAATCAATTTACATGTTTATATATGATTTTTTTGACACTATTTTCAAATATATAATAAAAACAACAATACATGACAAAATCTGTATCACACCCATATCAACCCTCGACCAATATCAGCCCTCTGGCCTCGGGCTGATATTGGAGTCTCGGGTTGATATGGGGTGTGATACAGATTTTGCCATGTATTATTCTCTATGTATTTTACAGTCATCTGTTTGTATTTTACAGTTATCTGTTTGTATTTTACAGTTATCTGTTTGTATTTTACAGTTATATGTTTGTATTTTACAGTTATCTGTTTGTATTTTACAGTCATCTGTTTGTATTTTACAGTTATCTGTTTGTATTTTACAGTTATATGTTTGTATTTTACAGTTATATGTTTGTATTTTACAGTCATCTGTTTGTATTTTACAGTTATCTGTTTGTATTTTACAGTTATCTGTTTGTATTTTATAGTTATCTGTTTGTATTTTACAGTTATCTGATATTTACAGTAAAAGAATCAAAGGATCAGAAGTCATTATAAAAAGCGTGAGGTATGTTTTTCTTTTTTTTTTTTAAATATACATGAATATGTTGAGGTATTTAATCTCGGAAAATTGGTATGAATAGTAATTGTTCTTAAAGTCTGACGACATGTTCCTCATTAATTATTTTCTGCATCTCTTTATTATATACCAACCATATTTATCATATTGTCTCATAATTTCTAAATTGGTTTCAAAATGTCTCAGCAAAATTATTTACCAAAAATTGTAATATCAACAATTTATGTGAGACCAAACTTGTTTAAGTACCAATACTTCAATAACAAATTCTTGGAATATATATATATATATATATATATATATATATATATATATATATATATATATATATATATATATATATATATATATATATATATATATATATATATAATTTAATTTTGGTTGTAACGCGTCATTTGATTGGATAAAAAGTTAGAATATATCGTATAACCTGGGTGGCCTACGTCACAATGACTTGTAAACGTCAAAAACGTATCAATCCGCTTGACGTTACATTTAAAAAAAAGTACAATTTGAAGGCATTTTTGATGAAGAAATTGTCTTATTTTCTGATTTTCTACATTTAATGATGGAAAATTAAATTATAAGGAATGGATTTAATAGCTACCCACGTTACACTGGTATAACCTTTGTTGGAACAGTTTACTGCCAGTATAACTTGGGTAGCTAATAAATTCATTCCTTAAATGTATTTGTAAAAAATAAAATTACTAAATAAAATGAAATAAACCTTGTTACTACGTCTTCAAGGTCAGGTATTCCTGTGTGATCACTGTGATAAGTTCTATCCGGCGAGAAATTATAACGTTTTATTTAGTATTGTTGGGTCCTTTTGGCTGCAATGTAATTGTTCTTTTCATTAAGTATTACTTATATACAGAACATATGTAATGAATGAAACAACCAATGCAATACAATCACGTAAAAGTATTATATGATGGAATATTTCCTTTCTCTTGTTTGATTGATATCCATTACTGTGGAATCATTAAAATTCAGGGGACAAATTTTCATGGATTGCTTAAAATTTACATGTTCATGGGGACGTAATTTCAAGTCTTCACACTTGTCTATCAAAAAAGAAAGATGAGTTTGAAAAGTTAGTTTAATAATTCGTGGAAGATATTGATTCGTGGATGGGAGGTACACGAATTCCACTGACATTGAGCCACCACGAAATATAATGATTCCACAATATTGTAGAAATCATTTTAAGTTATGTTCATCTGCACGAAATCTGTTAGGGGTACATTGTAAACATTATATAATTATATTAATTATATTTTTTTTATACATTTGACCAAACTTCTAAATTGACACAATTGGTTTAGAAAGGTTTTTTCACCTGCATCCATCTTCCAGGTGAAAAAAATCTTTCTACATTACAAATAGAAAAAAAAAAGAAAATCCAAATTAATACAATTGGTTATAATCATGTTTATCTGTGTTCAGCTAAGACTACTGTTGAATCATTTTAATTCGTGAGGATCAATGCTCGTGGACAAGCAAAATTTTACCTGTTCATGGGGACGTGGGTTACTCGTTTATACGGTGGTTCAACGAATCAATATGTTAACAAAATAAATGTTCGTGAGATGTAAATTCCGTGGTAAAGGGTGACCACGAAATCCACGAACATTGGTCCCCCACGAACATTGATAATTCCTTATTAAATGGCAGACTTTGCTTAACGACTATTTATTTTTAATCATTGATTCATGTAATAAAACGATTATTGCTTTTCAATCAACACGAAGTACAACATTCTCGGTCAATATTTTCTCCACGGATAGCTTAATCAACGTATTGACTAAAAACAGCAATTGTTGTATAATATAGTATTTATAAATGGAAATTATTTTGTTTATTTGAAAGGAAAGGCAGCTTAATTGTAAATTTCGACCTCATCTTACCAGACAGTCCAACTTCAAAACTTCTCGTCGTTGACACAATGTATAAGCTTGTGAATGGTTTGTTTTTTGTCAACTTCTCTGGAGAAATTGTCAACGTTACTACTGCCACAATACAACATTCAACATTCGGCGAGGGTAATGAGGAGTTTTATAATGTTTTTTTTGTATATTTTCCAGTGTGAAAGATTCTTTGTGTTTATCTTGTAAAAGTTTTATTAAATTGGAGTCACTTAACCTGTTAACTATCAAAACTAATTTAATGCATTGGTATGACGTCATTTCTTTGTTCTTGCAGTCTAAAAATTACTTTGGCAGTTAATTGCTCATTTAGATACTCAGATACGATGGCCGATATGGGCTGGACAAAAAGTAACCATGAGTTGTGTTCGATTTGCGAGCAATTCTTAAATGCCTGCAAAAAGTAACCACGAGTTGTGTTTGATTTGCCGGCAATTCTTAGATACCGGTAATTTTTATTTTAGATATTTAATTAAAATGCGAGAGGATATAGATGTCTCAAAAGTCAAGTTATCTTATGTGGGAAAATAGTTTGACAAAAAAGCATTTACAAATGTATGACATATCAAAATGATGTAAAGCTATTGAAATGGCTTGAAAGCATCACCCCTCTCCCCGATAATTAAAAAAAAGTCTATAAGGGGGAGGGGGGCTATTTCAACACTGGTCTGGGTAACGTTTTCTGTCTCTATACAAAATGTTTAAAAATCCAGTATATTAGAAAATGAAACGTTCCTTGTGAAAAGTATGTCGGGCCTCCTTGATATATGAGGTCCTACAGATATACATACACAAATCCACAAGTGAAAACTGCTCTTCATCCTCAATAAAAAAGGTAAACTGAAGAAGGCTTAGATAAAAATGGACAATACAAATTCAGAAATTTTCTGTATTCTCATCTTCACCCTCCTAAGTGTTTATGGTAGTTTAGGAACCAGGCAAGTTTTTTGAAACATCTAATCAATTGACTATATGTAGCTGGACCGTCAATCAACAGGCACGTGAACAACGTTCCTTTAGTATTTAAGGAAACACTGGCTTTAATATTAAAATGAATAACACAACTGTTGAAGATCAAATGAAATATGGATTTGTAATGAATTTTAAAAAGATATACTTTTATTGGAGTGCACAGGTCTGGAAACCCCTTAAACAATGTCTGTCTGCGATTTCCTCCCTCATTTTTCTCCGTACTGTTTTGTTTTGTTTTTTAATTTTATTTATTTATTTATTTATTTTGGTGTTAAATCCTTTGCCCTTTTAAGTTAGCTTAGCTTTTGTGACCTCGATATCCTCTGGCATTTTAATTAAATATTATATATAAGAATTACTGGTACCTAATATTTGCCGGCATCTAAGAATTTCCGGCAAATCAAACACAACTCGTGGTTACTTTTTGCCGGTGTAACGACGAAAAGTGACCCCCGTAGAATATTGACCGGGGGTCATTTTTCTACGTAGAAATTTGACCCCCTGGTCAATATTCTACGTAGAAAAATGACCCCCTTTTTCGTAGAAATTATGGCCTGGGGGTCATTTTTCTCCGTGTGGGTTGTAGAAAAATGACCCCGTAGAATAATGACCCCGTGTCTTTTTTTAATACACAAACTGGTAGGAATATTCTTGTTAGGCAAATACATAGGGGTAAAATCACGCAACCTAAAAGCTTTAAAGTTTAAGTAACAAAAGGTTACACTATACCTTACAAGTACATCAGTAATACAAGATGTTTATCCCATTAAAGGAAATCAAATAACTATAGGCTATTATGCTGTTCGATGACTATAAAAGCAAAAATTCACGTGTTCTTAGATTTGTTTTATCAAATTTTATTTTAAAAAGTTTCCAGAGTCGTCATTAAAAAAACAAGATTATTTACTTAGCTGGTGTCAGAGAAATTTACATATGAATAAAAATACATTGTTTCTGTGTATAATTGTAATGATCCTCTTTAAATTTTACTCTGGGTAAATAATGTAAAAAAAAAAAAGAAAAGAAAATGATAATAAAGTCTCAAGGTTTTTTTTCTGAAGTTACAAGAAAGATTAATGTTTTCGAACCCTACCCAAATAAATCTGCGTGAAAAAATAGACAATTTTTAAGTTTAGATCCCATATATTTCTTTGATTTCTGGTAAAAAATTCTTATAAAATATAAGGAAGATTAAATTTGTGTAAAAATAACAGACAGGACTAAATAAAAAATCCTCTGATTTTCGATCTCAGAGACACAAAAAATGGTTAGCTCAAAATCTTTACCAATGTCTTTTGTCGTTTGCTAGTGTCAACAAAGCCTATAAACAAAATGAGGCTTCTTACATAAAAAAATGATTTTAGGTGTTTGGTAAACTAAGAATTGACACAAGTTTATACACAGAAGTACGTATATCCCCTTTCTAGTTACATGTAATAATTTTTACCAATAGAAAAAAACGAATGTTGCATTATGAAAAAGCTTCCCTGCCTACTTTACATATTATTTTTTCCCTAAGTGTGATTGGCAATATTAGCACAATTGAAGTTGCGTTTGCAAGACTACATATAGAACTGTGCCAAAAATATTGTTCAAGTACGTGATTCGTGTCAGCGTATCTATAGTGGTAAGTTTTGAGGGGGTGGGTAACGAGGATGTAACCCACTCTTTAAATTTGCTAGCCTATAGAAAAAAAAAATCTGACCATGTCTTTCCTATGCACAAATTAAGCGATCTTGCTGTGTGATACGAGGTTTTAAAAATATAAGAGTTTTTAGGATAAAAGTAAACAAAAATCTTTTTTTCTTACATTAAAACTCCTACTTATAAGGAGTTACATAATGCATATGTGCATGGTGATGTAGATTATACATGTATCTATATAATGATCAAGGAAGGGGAGTATATTGCCAGTATTTCTATCACAATCGAAGGGCACTCCTAACAAAAATTTACTATAGTAAACTATACGAGGGTTGTCCGGTAAAATCGTTAACAAAGCGTTTTTCTTGAAAGACACTAAGCTGAAATTTTCAACAATTGTTTATTTATCATATTTAAAAACATCGTAATTTTTTGGATAAAATATAGACAAAAACAAAGTGTTTATTATGCTTGAATGTACACAGGGTACGGTCCTACGGCGCACGATAAATAAACCAGGGTTTCATTTGAAAAAAACATGAATATTATTTCGAAATAAAAGTACTAAATAGATAATGTTGGGGTGAAAATTATCCTATTTTTAATCCACTATCTATTATGTCGTCTTTTGTAAATTTTTAAGGCATTTCCTTAAACTTTGGCAGTTTCCTGAGCATTTGAAATGGGAAAGTGGTAAACGCAACAAGGGGAAAATGGCGATGTTTGGTGACGTTACGGCTAACCGTTCCGTTTGATTTAGATGTAGTAATTATGCCCTAAGAAACTTTAAATGACTAAAGAAGAAAAAAAATACCACTAGATCTTTAATATACAAGTGAAATGGGAGTTTTCTAAGCAGAAGCTTTTTGATCGGGTCCCCGGGTAGAACGAAACATACCAACAAACAGCAAGAGACGCTTTTCACTGTAGACCATCGATATAAGAGAGCCTATTTAGTTGAATAATAGTGAGAGTACTGTCCATAACTTATTTATAAATCTTCAGAAAGTTCCATGTGTGTGAGAGATTGGTTCCTTGACCGTTTATGGAGGAATAAAGGGGAACTCAAGTATGTGCACCAATGAAATTTCTGAATTTAAGTGAGGCTTATCTAACTTTTTTTAGCAAAGAGGAAACGTGACGCTGCTTTATACACTTTGACGTTATCATACATGTACATGCGCCGTAAGACGATACCACACATAACATAAAGTCTCATATTTTGTTTATTTGAGAACATATCTAATTGAAATTTGCTATGTATATTGATGAAAAGTGTACTAGTAAATAGTGAAAATTTTAGAATGTAGTGATGATTATTTTTTACTCCAGACAACTTGTCCACGATTTTACCGATCAACCCTCGTAGTTAACTATAGTTTACTATTACTAACTATAGTAAATACTTTGATTAACAATGAAACTTTGTTTGGAACTTTTTTGAGATTTCAAAGCTGAAACTTTCTTAAATTGATATCAGTAATGTAAAATTTTGGGATGATATGTTAATGAACAAGAAATACGAGGGGTAATCAAAAAGTTCAACTAATTGAAATACTTCCATAAAAGAAATAAAATCACATTTCGATGTTTATTATTTTTTAAAGTGGTCCTCTCCGATTTGAATGCACATCTGCCATCGTTCTCACAGGATGAAATTACACCAATCAGTTGACGAAATGGTAACTGAATGGCCACTGAAAGGTCACTGAAAAGTTCCTTTCCAGTGACTTTTCCGTGGTCTGTCAGTTATCATACAGTCGACTGAATGGCAGATACATTTCAGTGGTCTTTCAGTTATCTTTCAGTTGTATCTTTTTATTGGATAAACGGCTTATTTTTTAACTTAGAAATTTTATTTCACGTTTTCTTATTATAATGGATCTGCCCATGCGCGAATCATGTGATCCAGGCGTTCACGTGACATTTTCCGTAGCGTTCTGTTCACAGAAATTAAAAGATTTTTCCGAGTTTTATATTTCTTACCATGCAAGTTATTTTTTATAACAAGAATAGCCCATTTGTCACAAATAGGATTGGTGGATTAGGATATCTTTTCCTAGAATGAGCATAGTGACCATCACAACCCAACTCTTTTGTATTGGGGTGCGTCGTTTATCCATTATGGATAAAGTATGGGCGCCTTCTTTTTATCATATATGATATGTTTAAAATCTAAGGTAAACGATATTTTAGGGATTCAATAATTTTATTATTGTTAAGATATTCAACTATTTTTCTTAATGTAATTTGGCGATCTTTCGTTACAGTTTGCTCAACTAAGGACACATCTCTCCCCAAGCTTGCTTTTACTGGGCACCAGAACAAACATAATTTTTACCACCTCCCTTCCTTCACTAAAACAATCAATCCAATTAATGATTGAACTTCTGCCATGTCTTTTTGTCTTCATAAATCGTGTACAAATTATTATATGCTACCGAAAAGGAATTTCTAAGATAAATGTTAAGCCGTTCGTTGATCAAGTACGACTGAGTAAACCATTTTTTGTCACGTCATCTACATATTGAGTCATATTTATATTGTGACGTCCAAACGTGTAGCACATATCTGCTATTTATAGAACATGTTATGACTAAATGTGTGCCAAATTTCATTTTGATCTGAACCGTGGTTTTGTAAATAACGAGATAGTTCACGAACTTTTTGATTACCCCTCGTAGTTCTCTAAAATATAGAAAAAATGTGCACATATAAATTTAAGAACATAAAATACCACAATCATGTATTCAAACAATTACTTTGATTTACTATAGTAAAAACTTTGATACTGCAATAAACTATAGTTAACTTTGTAAACAATAGGGGTTTTTTTTGTTAGAGACTATCAGTGTTTTTCATATTGCGATCCTGATACAAACAATATATATATAGTGTTTCATAGTTAGCGTTATTTAGATACATTCTTTTTTCCCTACAATAGAGATAATATAATTCTACAGACAATAATTGTAAGTACACAAATTACAGGGGAAACAACAAATCTATGAGCCAGTGCTTTCTAGTGATACCCCACCCGCACAGACAGACGGACAAGATTTGTACCAAAATGAATATCACTGTATAGCATGCCGAACCAAAGAGTATATTAAAATTTCAAGCATCTGCGATGAGTTGTTGCAGAGAAAACTGCAACGAAAAAAATGTTTCGGACAGACATACACAAACACTCACCCCGCACACACAACAGAGAGATTCGCAGGGTACAAGGTATATACCCCCATTTCCTTCGAAGCGGGGGTATTAATATTCATGTAATAAATAAGGATAAATGAACCTAAAAGAGGGAAAAAGATATTATATGATTAAAAATGAAGCAGCAATTACAGTTAATGATAGCATTTCCATATTGGACGCTATTGGACTCTTCATATGCCGTGTTTTCTCTAATTTTTGCCTTGTCTAAAAATAATAATACAATACGTTTTTTGTTTCAATGCAATGGTGTATCCAGAAACTGATATACATGTAAAAGCTGGGTTGGAGGCAGGTTGAAAGCGGGCACAAATTTTAAGCTAGAAGTATGGGGCCACAAACTTGTCCTTTAAATAGTTTCCGATAACATCCATTCCATACAGGTATATCATTGTCAGAAACATATCATGTCATTTTTGGAACAAAACCTGTGAGAAAAAAAAAGAAAAAAACAAAACGGATTATATATATGGGATGCAAGCAAAAATAGCCATACTATATACATTGTATATCATGCTAGTATTGAGAAGTGGCGTTAAGGAGGGGAAGGTACTTTGCTCCTCCTCCAATATACATTTGAAAGAAAAAAAATCAGGAGACTCTAGGCCTTCACCGACCCTCCCCAACATCGGATTAACGCATTTCACACCCCATTTCTAAAGGTTTAATTATAAGATATAGTGAAAAAGTAGGGGGTAAGATTTCTATGGGGGTCATTTTTCAACGTGTGTGGAGTCGTAGAATTACCGGCCTGGAAGGGTTTTCTACGGTCGAAAAATGACCCTACTTCTCGTAGAAAATTGACCGGGGGGTCATTTTTCTACGGAGAAATTTGACCCCCCGGTCAATATTCTACGGGGGTCACTTTTCGTCGTTACACCGGCATATAAGAATTGCCGGCAAATCAGATACAACTTGTGGTTTCTTTTTGCCCCGGCCCATATCGGCCATCGTACTCAGAATAAGTGAACAAAGTCCGGCATTAGTATCAGTCTAATTTAAAACGAATAGCAAACTGATTTATTCATAACGGGTCTTAAACTATCTGATATTTTTTCATACAGATTTGTTTATAATTTTGCATATACAAAATACATATAGAATTCGATGTGAACCATTTCTTCTATAGAAAAATCATATTTAGCAGTGGTTCTTATTTGTATTTATCTGTAGTTATTATTACCAACTCAACTGATGGATGCGCTGTTGTAAATTCACAAGGAGCTTGTGATGCGGGATAAAGTTGCCAAGAATTCATAAACCAAACAGTAGCTTGTATGTAAGTAAATGTAATGTAAGTTTTGATTTTTATTTTCTTTTTCTTTCTTTCTTTTTTTTTTTTTTTTTTTTTATAAAATAAATGTTTTCATTTATTATCCATCATCTTTGGTAAATTTACCAAGAATGTTTTACTCATTACGATAATACTAGCAAAAAGCATTTCTAAGTAACCCAAACTGTGGACTTGAATATCCTCGAATTTATGTCTCAATAAAGTAGCTGGACAGAAGTTTTTTTTTATTTGAATCTACTTGCAAATACACAAGAGGGACTATTTCAAATTCTATGTAATTTACTTTTCAGCCCTATCATTAGTAAGTATATATGCTCTTTTGCGTTTTTTAAGTAATCATGACCCTGTGATATATGTCGTTTTGACATTATTTTAAACAATTCTGCAAACGAAATATAAAATTATCATAAATTAAGAATTATTATATCATGTTTTTTTCAATATACCTTTGTTATTTATCCATTTGTTCATCTTATTTTTGATTTTGAAACGACGAATGAAAGAGGTGTGAATGTGATTTGTTCAAATAGCTTTTATTATATAATTGATGTATTTATATGTTATATGTGCACATATATACATTCGTTTATATATTTAATTTTTAATGTTTTATTTAAAAGACAACATAATTTTAAGTGGTTTTAATCTCCTATTGCTATAATATGACTTAAAACATGAAATTTAAGTAACAATTTATTTTCTAATTTCAGATTGTTCATAACGGAGAAGAATCACTTTAAGTGATGATAAATATATGTTATAATAAAAATAAGAACAAAGATATATTTTATTAGCATAGTTTGTAAATCTCATTTAAAATATTTTCTTTTCTTAAAGTTTTTTTTTAATGATACACTTTAAATTATATTATTGAAATATTTTATATTGTTTATTTCATTTTTTTACAGGTATTTAATGCTGCTGGTGAGACAGAGGAATAGAAAAGGAGTATTTTTGGCTGAATGAATTTTGTAAATTTCATAAATTGTTACAAGTTGTTCGTTTCTATATACATGTATATATATTGGCTAAATTTTAACTTTTTATTTAGTAAAAAGGTATGTCATTGAAAATCTTGTTCAAGCGTTGTTGTATGGTTTTCATTATCCATACCAAGAGGAAAGGTTCCTACAATACCTACCATTTCACTAACAAATTTAGGAATGTTTCAGGACAGAATTTTAACTTTGGTCGTAATTCCCACTTAAATTATTTATGCGTATAACATAACGAAAACGTAATGAAGAAAAAGTGGTCTGTTTGATTTTTAATCCAACAATATTCACAATAATTTTCTGTACATCCAAAAAAAATTAGTCTTACAAGAAAAAATCCAGAAGTCTCTGACGAGACTGTAGCTCAACTGGTTTGTACTTTTAACAAAGGAAGAGAGGTACTTGTACCTTAAACTATGCAACAGCAATAAAGAGAATAATGATAATTGCTTTAGTCTTGAAATCAAAACTGATACACAAAACTATGTATCATAATGTAGTCAACTTGTATGCCAAGTTATACTGAAATCAGACAAAAACTGTAGGAGGAGTAGCATTTTGAAAGAATTTGACAGAATTTTTTTTTGGTAACCATGGCAACACCATTTATTAAAATCAAAATTCTTTATACAGAATTATGTATGTTAGTGTAATCTACTATTGTGCCAAGTAATATTAAAATCAGACAAAAAATGTAGGAGGAGTAGCATTCTGAAAGTATTTCACAGAAATTTCTATTCTTAGTAACCATAGCAACATCGTTCATCGAAATGAAAAACCGATAGACAGAAATTTGTATCTTAATGTAATTTACTTGTGTGCCAAATATTGAAATCAGACAAAAATTGTAGAGTTAGCATTTTGAAAAATTGTTTTCAGACAGACGGAAGAACTACGGAAATTTACTATCGCATATGCTCTTCTGAATAGTAGAGCTAATAAGAAGTAATTGCATAACATGAGGTCCATGGGCCACAATGCTCATCTAAGTCACTATGGTCCTTCTGTTCTTTATTTTTCCATACATAATCCTATGTAAAATTAATATCACCTATTGTGGCCCAACCCTAACACCAGGTGTCATGATTTGAACAAACTTAAATCTTAGCTACTTTAGGATGCTGCAATATAAATATGACTAATCTTGGCTTTGCTGTTCTTGAGAAGAACTCTTGTATAGACTTTTTTTTCTACGTATTCCCATGTAAAACTGATTTTCCATAGTGGCCCCACTCTATCGCCCGGGGTCATGATTTAAACAAACTTGAATCTACATAACCTCTGGATGCTTTCATATAAATATGAATAATCATGCCTAGAGGAAGATATTTCCAATATATTCCGATTTAAAACAATGATCGCCCATTGTGGCCCCAACCTACCCCTGGAGGTCGTGATTTGAACAAACTTGAATCAACACTACAAAATGAACCTGAAGATCCTTCCAAATAAATTTGATTATTCATGGCTTTGTTCACAGTTCTTGAGACTTTTATAGATTTGTCTTATGTATTTCAATGTAAAACTTTGATCACCCATTGTGGGCCCACTCTATCCTTAAGAGTTTTGATTTGAACGAACTTGAATCTAAACAACCTGGAGATGTTTTCATTCAAGAGTCCCAAGGGCTTTGAATTGCTCTTCTGATAAATTGTACAACATATCACTTCTATTTGAAGCCTCTAAGTATCCTGTATATTTAGATAAAGCCAAAAGTAGGTCATCATGACTCACATTTTGGTTAAAAGACTCTGAGAACCCAAGATGAATTAATCAACTGACAAAGTTTGATGATTCTAACCAATTAGTACTTGAAATATTTAAATACAGCCATAGAATTTCAAAAGTAGGTCACGGTGACCTACTTATCAGTTGACGTATTCTGAGGACCCAAGATGCATCAACTGACAAAGTTTGATGATTCTTAGCTAATTAGTACCTGAAATATTTAAATATAGCCATAGAATTTCAAAAGTATGTCTCAGTGACCTACTTTTCAGTTGTCATACTTTGAAGACTCATGATGCATCAACTGATAAAGTTTGATGATTCTAAGCCAATAAGTACCTGAAATATTTAAATATAGAGGCTTATAGCCACAGAATTTCAAAAGTAGGTCTCGAGAGACTTACTTTTCAGTTGTAATACTTTGAAGACTAAAGATGCAACAAAAGTTTGATGATTCTAAGCCAATTAGTACCTAAGATATTTAAATATAGCCATAAAATTTTCAAAGTAGGTCATGGTGTCCTACTTTTCAGTAGAGATACTTCGAGGACCCAAGATGCATCAACTGACAAAGTTTGATGATTCTAAGCCAATTAGTACCTGAGATAATTAAATATAGCCATAAAATTTCAAAAAGTAGATCACAGCGACATACTTTTCTGTTGACATTCTCTGAGGACCCAAGATGCATCAACTGACAAAGTTTGATGATCTTAGGTCTTAACGTGTCCAAAATATGCCTCAAAAACAATTATGAAAATGAATACCTTCAAAATTAAAAAAAGTAGGTCACTGTGACCTACTTTTGATAAATATGTTTAAGGCCCCAAGATGCACCAACTTACAAAGTTTGATGATTCTCAACCTCTCAGTATCTGAAATAATGACCTTAAATGTTCTGAAAAAGATTAGCCATAAAATTCAAAAAGTAGGTCACGGTGAAGTACTTTTTAGTTGTCGTACTCCGAGGACCCAAGATGCATTAACTGACAGAGTTTGATGATCATAGGCTTTTAAGTGTCCAAAATATGACTCTAAATCAATTTGAAATCAAATGCCTGCAAAATTCAAAAAGTAGGTCAACGTGTCCTACTTTTCAGTCAACATGATACAAGGTCCTAAGATGCATCAACTGACAAGATTTGATGATCCTAGTCCTTATAGTAAGCAAAATATCAACGTTTTAACAAAACATAATTTTTGGTCAACTTTGAAATGACCTTGAGACCACACCCTTTGCCCCAGCTTGATGCCTTGAACAATTTTTTCATCTACATATCCTCAACCTTATGTGTAAGTTTGGTGATAATCTGCCCAGTGGTTCTTGAGAAGATTTTGTAGGAACCAGTACTTTTGATTTTATTTTCCTAATTATCTCCCCTTGTTTGAGGGCACATCCGTGTTTATAGTATAAATGAGAGCCCTTGGGCAAAGGATACTCTGTGACAAATTTGACAAAAATTAGTTAAAGGGTTCTTGAGTTATGGCCAATATTCCAAAAAGTTGACGCACACCGCACAAATGACCATACGACTTATCATGGCTTTGCTGTTCTTGAGAAAAAGATTTTCCCTATAAATTCCTATTTAAAACTTTGAGCGCTTATTGCAACCCCTACGCCGTGGGGTCATGATGTGAACAAACCTGAATCCACTACGTAATATACCTGAGGATAATTGACTAATCTTGGCTTTGCTGTTCTTGAGAAGATATTATTTTAAGATTTTTGCCTGTATTCCAATGTAAAACTATGATTCCCCACTTTAGCCCCATGCACCCTTCCCCTGGAGATCATGATTTGAACAAACTTGAATCTATGCTACGTCAGATAGCTTCCATTTAAGTTTCATCTTTTCTGGCCCAATGATTCTTTTGAAGAAAATTTTTAAATGACCCCGACCAATTTTCACTATTTCCTAATTTTCTTTCCCTGGAAGACGCTGTGGCCTGTGATTTGAAGAAATCTGAATCCCCTTTATCCAAGGATACTACTTCAGAATCCTGAAATTCTAAGTTACTCCAAGGTTTTTTTTAAAGTAAAAACATATTCTAGGTCGCCATTGACGAAGTGGCTCTGGAGAAGATGAAAATGTGGAAAGTTTAGGACTCCAACATTAACGACAGACAATTAAACTTTGATCAGAAAAACTCACTTAAGTCTTCAGCTCAGGTGAGCTAAAATCTATTTTCTAATAATTTTAGTTTATTTTTATTTTGCAAATTTTTATACACCTTAGTAAAGAATTTCCATGAACTCAGCTGTAACAGTAAAGGAGAAAATGTATGGCTGGACCGGGAATCGAACCCGGGACCCCTGCATCACTAGTCAGGTGCTCTACTGACTGAGCTAACCAGGCCAATATCCACAGCCCAAATCATTACATTCCTCCCTCCTTAAATTGTCTTCACCCTCGAAGACACAACCCAATTTCTTATCAACCCATGGCAGGACTTTCACCTGCAAGTCCAAGGGTGGTCAACGGCACCAAATCTGTAACAGGAAAGGAGAAAATGTATGGCTGGACCGGGAATCGGACCCGGGACCCATTATTTGGTGGTGTATTTCATCACTATGAGTTCTGATAGTTTGATCACATGCAAGTTTTTTTCGAAAGACAAGAACCGCTCCAAGGGACAAAAAAAAGACTTGTAACAAACTTGTAGACAAGCAATATACATTAATCAGTCAACACATCTGCAGTATTTAAAGCATCTTTACTACCGTAAATGATACATGAAAAATATTTAATTATCATATTTTTTTGTCGAAAAATAACCGTCTGACATCAACAAAAAAAAAACAACAACAAAAACTAACTTGATTAAGATTTTATTCGGTTTTCAGAAATTTCATATAATGTTCCTTTGGTAAATTCATTTTCCAGCACCACTTATCAACTGAATACATTCCCAAGGATTCCAGAGACACATAGCCTGCCTTTTCTGGATCATAGTGAGCTCGGCCAATCTCCTTCAAGAAGGTGTGTCTGCGGCGTACTTGGTGGTGACTAGCCATCAGTACTCCTGGACACTCTGAGAGTTTCTGGGTGGTGATTCCCATTGCATGTAGTATCTCCAGTCGAGTCTGTACTGTTGTCTTGGCATCTAAATCAGAAAAAGAAATCAGCAACTTTAATTGCCTGTATTTTAGGCTTGAGACAAGAAGGGGAAAAATCAAGAGTTCAATGTCTGACAAAAAACTAAATTCACACAGTTTTCACCAAGAACTTCCCACGCATCCCTCTCTCTCAAAATCTAAATGTGTTGTATGTTGATTCAAACTTGATTATGGGGTATAAATATAAAATACACTGTAAATAACTTAAACCTCTTTCGTTAATTGATATAAGTAAATATTTTACATACCAATTACGCAAAGTCACATGTACAATATATAGTAAAAAATGCTTACAGCGAACACGCTTAAAATGAATTGATGTTTACAGCGAAGTGAATATTCAATACCCATGGCTTTAAAATATATTGCGAACTTAACGGATATAACGAATTACGTTTATAACGAAGCAAAATCGTCCATCCCTGGCACTTCGCTATAAGCATGTTCTACTGTATACGTTTTTGTTTTATGCTTAATTCTTAAAAATACACTCAGGTTATAAATACTATGAAAGAATATGTTTTCTTCATATCAAAAGTTGAGGGTCATACATATATTGGTCCAGTTCTGTTATTTACCTATCCATAACATACGCATACAATCCCTTTGTGCTAAAATCGAGAACTCACCTTCTGCAAAAATGAGGGGACATTTCAGAAATATTGCCTGTACTTGTGACTTTTCAAATCCCCAAATATTGTGGAAAAGGAAGTGTACATCCTACAATGAACAAAAAGAATGCACTGTTAAAAAAATATACAATCAGAATTAAAGACAAGTAAAAATTAATTTCATGTGCCATGTAACATTTTAATTTTTCCTCTACCACAGAGTGTTTGTATTGGGGTTATGTTTGTTTTGAGGTATGTCTTTGTATTGGGGTCAATATTGTTTGTATTAAGAGATGTCTGTTTGCATCCAGGTCAGTGTGCTGGTAATGAAAGGGGAAAAAATGTGTATCATTTGAAGATTCCGTTAATTTGAATTTTATTACTAAAATCATTTATATACATCCCTTGACCTCCTTATTGTGTGGCTTTACTTGTATTGGTTATAATTAGGGTTGCGCAATAATATCGACATTCTGGTATATTGTGATTCATTAACAAAAAATATCGTATTGTGATATATTTTTCGAGTACGGATATACTGGCAAACTGCTTGGGCTTTAGATTTCTTAAGTAAAATATGAAATTTAATATGTCAGAGACATTTTCAATCATGCCAAACAGTACCAAACGGTAAGGTTGTTGTTGTATGGTTGCATTTTGTTCCAAAACTAGTGACATTTGTTACAATGTATTTATGATAGTTTTACACATGTTGCTTATAGATGGAGGTTAATAAAATAAGCAAAAGAGCATTTTAACTGTCATAGAAAATATTGCAATACATATGGCAATACAGTTAAAAATATCGCAATACAAAATTCCCAGCTGATACCCAGCCCTAGTTATAATTTTAAGTTGTAGAAGTTGATTAATATTACCTGGATTTTCTTTCTATTGTGCGATATCAGAACTGGGTGAATAGAAAAGATTTCTCTCACTTGATCACCTGTTAAAACAATCATTAATTTTGTAAGTTAAAGCATCAAACAATGTTTCAAATCTTTCTTTAATCATTTCATTAATTATTCATGTTGAAAAAGAAATAGTTTTTACATAAATCAACAAGTACAGCTAGAGCTTATTATCACAATATTCAATGTTTAAATATATGAATTTTTAAGCAAATTTCATTTTAAAATTCTTCTAAATTTCTTAATTTTTTAAATTTTTTTTTTATTTTTTGAAAGAAAATACACACCAGAAAGCTCAAAGCAATAAAATAATATGTGTGAAATGTGGCTTGTGATCTCTCTCTCTCTCTTTTACATAAAAGATTTTGGAAAATTTAAAATGTATGGCTGTATGGAATGTACCTGTGAGTTGGAACATTTTCTGAAGCATCCCTAGCTTGGAATCGATCTGTTCCACTTCCATTATCAAAAACATTGAATGCCTCACAATCATTTTAGCGATCATATCAGCTGTAAATCTCTTAGACTTCAGGTAATCCACCACTGTCTGCAATTAGGGACAAATAAATCACACAGAGTGAATTGACCTTGTCTAAAAAAAATGCTGAATTTTACCTTTTCAATAAGAGAGATTCCTTTGAGATAATATACATTGTATATTTTGTGATGTTGTCAAAATTGAGTAATTGCTTAAATAGTAGTTTTCCAACTAAATGGCCAATTTCTCGATAGAAAAAGACATTTGACTCCTTATTTTATTCTGGACTTTCACATAAGTGAACATAATATTTGTTTATATTTATCATTTTTTCTATAGCATCATCACATAGGGGAAGGAAAAGATTGTTTTTGATTTACTAGCACAGAAGAGTATTAAACATGTGAAACACTGCAGTAAATTCACCATACAACTATTTAAACTAACTTGGCAATCCTACTACATTTATTTTGTAATGATTGTTTTGCAAAGTCAGTTTAGGAATTCTTCATCATCTAAATGCTTTTATTTTTTTTTATTTCTATGCTGTACGTACATGAACTGTGAACTTGAACTTTTTAACTTAATTTGTTCTAAATTGAAAAAAGAAATGGAACTCTACTACTACCGGTAAATTTTTCTGTAAATGGTCAAACAAGTTACAATGGCTTTAACCTTTATACATGACTACTATTACTACCCCTCCCCCCCCCCCCCCAAAAAAAACTAGAACTGTCCAAAACGGACAAATACCCCCCGCTGGGTTTTTCAGATGTGCCAAATCACTAATATTTTATGGATCTAAGAAGTGTTTTCTTATTTACATTTAGAGTGAAAAAATAATTGCTCATTATATTTTTTTTAATGAATGAAACCAAGGAACAACCTAATAAAACATCAATACGAATACATTGTAGTTACATTGTTTTTTAATACATTGAAAAAATAAATTGCAACTATCTGTCATCTTTTTTAGACATGATATTCTGCATTGATTGTTGAAAAAAAAAATCAATTAATTACAAAATCAAATTAATCTTGATAACTTTATATCAAATTCATTTTAAAAATGAAAGGCTGGTCATCCAGTATATGACAGACAATAAATTATAATGAAGAGAATTAAAGAACAGAGATCTTTAAATTCCCAGGAGATATAGATAACACACGCTTGCAGAGATGCCCTAACAACTTCCCACACTGAACTCATTAATTTATCTCTAACTGGATGATGTCCACTCATTAGTCCCAAGGGACAAATGGATTTACACTATCTGCTGTGTAATGTAAAAATTGTTTTTAATACTTGGTGATTTTTTTTTGTTTTTGTTTTAATGAATAGTTTTAAGCTGTAGTTCACATTTTTGTACAGATGTTCTAGATTCTGTGTCTCAAACCTTAGAAATAAACCCAAAATGACTAAGTCAATCAAAATGAAAAAAAAAAATCTGTAAAATGCAGAAAAATTATCAAATAATTTTGAAAATACCAGGTGCACATCTTCATATGGTAAATAATGAGTGTACAAATTTTCATACAATTCTATGAAATAGTCTTTGAGTAAAGGTCAGGACAAAACCACATAATAAAAATGAAAAAAAAAACGCCTGTAAAATGCAGAAAAATTATTCAATCACGATGAAAATACCAGGTGCACACCTTCATATGGTGAATAATAAGTGTACAAATTTTCAGACAAATCTATGCAATAGTATCTGAGAAACGCTCAGGACAAAATCTTGTCTACAGACAGACGGACAGACGGACAGACAGACGGACATGGTGATTCCAATATACCCCCCCTAAACTTCGTTTGCGGGGGGTATAAAAATCCTTGAGAGCACATGCTGGGTTTCTCTGCCAAATCAACATATATGTAATTTGCTACAGGCCTACTCAGTCTACATTGTAAGAAAACTCTATGCATCAGAAAAACCATAGTATACTTGAATCAAATCAATAAATGCAATTGTTACCTGCAGTTTATCAATAGGATCCTCCAGAATATAAGGGTTGGTAGTAAGGACATTGCCAATGTTGCGGTCATAAACTCCAAGGTCTTTCAAGTACAACAACTTTGGCACAATGTCTCTGTTAAAATCTTGTCTTATTAAGAAGTTTGCAATAAATGGGAATTCTTCTACAGCAGAAAGATCAACCCCTGGACAAAATAATTCAACAATGGCTATAGAAAATAATATTACATGTCATTGTGTACATGTAAATTCCTTTATTACTCAAATAAATTTTATTTGAATAATTTTAAACATTTTGGAAATTTAAATTATAACATGTATAAGTCCATGCATTAATTCACACAATTTACTAAGTGAATAAAAATATTATATTTACCCAGCATAACAAGTTTTTGCAGTGTCTCTGAATATTCTATGTAACTTCCTACACTGCTGGATATTCTTGGCAAGAAGTCATATTTTATTTCTCTGTTCTCATCTGGGTGGGCTATAAGTGAAGTCATAATGTCCCATTCCTCACTGTCAGGGTCCAGTCTGTCCACTTTATCCAGATAGTTGTTAATCTCAGATAATGTCTGTGCATTACAAGATCTAAGATCGGAGTTCACAGCTTTAAGTACCTCATTCACTGATGAACTTTGAAATAAGTTATCAAAATCTCTGGTGTTAATGGTGGAACTAAGAGAGCTTCCAACAGCTGAGGTCATCTTTTCCTGATTCTTAGTATCTCCACACTGAATCATTTCAACATGTTCTATCAAAATCTTGTCTTCTTTTAAACAGTTCTCAGATGAACCAACTCTTCTACTCTCTTCCACTGAGGTCCTTTTAAAACTGTCATTAGTTGTGGCTGAGATTTTTGCTAAATCTTCAAATGGGTCTCTTTGTTTGATAGATTTTGTAGATAGATTTCCATTGTCACTGTGGATCAATGCAGTTAATCTGACACAAGAAGAAATAACACCCCTTCTATGTTGTAGAACTAGTTTGGAAAACATTTTCTCTGAAATTATACAAATGGATGCTTAATTATATTTCAACTTTAGAGAGACTTGTTTATTGGTAGGCTATATGCCCAAATGAATACATTACTTTCCATGCTCACAGTACCTGGGGTTCCCTCTTTCATTCAATGTTCATTTTTAGTTTTGCTAATTTACATGTTGTGCTGTTTAAGTACAGTGAAACCTCGTTATCTTGAGCTCGATCAGACCGAGAAAAAACTTATATCAGAGGATTCAAGATATTGAGGGTAAAATACTAAAAGAATATGTGGTTGGGACTTCCAAAACACTTCGACATATGTATTTTGTGATTTATGTGTTTTTCTAGGTACAGATATATATATATTTTTAAAACTTGCCAATTTCAGCAATTTTTTATTTTTATTTTAATGAGTGTATTCAGACACACCTAGAAAAACACATAAAACACAAAATACACCATCCTGAAACCAAGCGCCTATGGACAGAAGTGAAAATACTATCACAACAAATTACAAGCAAAGATATTCCATGAAAGTTATGTTTCAGAGATGGTTAAATTTAATTTTAATAAAGCATATCACAAAAAGTTTCTCATAAAATGCAACATTTTTCATATTGTTTAGTTTTAGAAAAAAATCATTTGAATCAACAAGTAATGCTTATATAATTTATGCAGAATTTTCCTGAAGGCATACTTCTACAATTATTTTGATCAGCAAATTTCATTTATTAAGTCAGCAACAATAGAGGGCACTTGATTTGATACTGAAAAATCAATTTGAAACTAGGAAAATAGAGGGTGTTGTTTTTGACATTTCTGTACCTCTATTAGCTGCAGATCTGTAGCTCCCTGGTCTGAAATAATTGGAATGGACAGCCAAAGAACTACACTGCCACCCACAGAAAACATAGGTAATCAAAGATTACGAAGCTCACCTCGACGAAGGTTATCTATAAGTAAGGCAAATCTCACATCATATTTTTTCTAGTTAGTGTTCATCCCAAGATCAATATCCATACAAGTTTGGTTTAAGAAGGACTTATAGATACTTGGAAATAGACCTGCTCAAAAAACTTTTAACCTGTTTACTAATCAAGAAAATTTTGGACAGTTGCAACATCCAAAGCAAGTCTGGAAGTTTTCATCCTTAGATGTACATGTACCATCCAAGCTGTTTAATCATAACATGCCATAATACTATATAGCTACTCAAAACATTACTCTGGTCACCCATCTGGAAAATGAAGGTTAGATTCAGAATCCAAAACAAGTCTGAAAGTGTCCATCCTAAGATACATCATCCATGCTAATTTGATTAAAATATGGCTAAAATTCACTCATATGGAAAATCTAGGTCAGATTCAGCATCCAAAGCAAGTGTGGTAGTGTCCATCCCTAGATGCATCATCCATGCAAGTTTGGTTCAGGTAGGGCTTATAGTTACTTGGGAATGGACCTGCTCCAAAAACTTTAACCTGGTCACTCATCTGGAAAATCTAGGTCAGATCCAGCATCCGAAGCAAGTGTGGTAGTGTCCATCCCTAGACGCATCATCCATGCAAGTTTGGTCCAGGTAGGGTTTATAGTTACTTGGGAATAGACCTGCTCCAAATATAGGTCAGATCCAGCATCCGAAGCAAGTGTGGTAGTGTCCATCCCTAGATGCATCATCCATGGAAGTTTGGTTCAGGTAGGGCTTATAGTTACTTGGGAACGGACCTGCTCCAAAAACTTTAACCTTGTCACTCATCTGGAAAATCTAGGTCAGATCCAGCATCCGAAGGAAGTGTGGTAGTGTCCATCCCTAGATGCATCATCCATACAACTTTGGTCCAGGTAGGGCTTGTAGTTACTCGGGAATGGACTTGCTCCTAAAACTTTAACCTGGGACGCCGACGCTAACGCCAACGCCGGAGGTATAGCATAAGCTCATCTCGACTTCGTCGAGGTGAGCTAAAAAAAGTGTATATTTATTGTGCACAAAAAGTGTGCTGTTTTCTTGTTTTATTTCTCTGTTTATTTATGCTGCCATCTCAAAATTTTACTACCCATGTGTTCCTATTCTTTTACTTCTTCCACAACATTTCCCAAAACCGTTGTTTATAGCCCTCCTGGGCCTGAAATTGAGACCATCAATTAATGATCAATACTGCCATATTAGGTGGCAAGATAATTCAGTCCAGTGTGCTTCGTGCATGGCTTGTATATGCAGTTTTGTTGTAGCAAAAGAACATGTTAGAAACACACAGCTAGTAACAGTTTGAAATATAAGGTGAAAAAAAAATCGAGAAACAGTGCACTTTTTTTGTGCACAATAAATATATACTTTTTTCAATGGGTGGCGCTGTAGCTCTCTGGTCGTCCATCTCAATTTTATCAGACCAGCAAGCTACAGATCTGCAGCTTTACCTCTACCACTCATATTTTTTGGAATTTTGGTACCACTTATTTGTAAAGCTCAGAAATACAAATTAAACAACAATCAATAATATTTGGATATTTGAACATGTACGTAAAAAAACAAACTGATTTGTTACCGGTAAAATGACTGTACTGGTCATATTCAGCGATTGGAAATGCAAGAATGTAGATCATCACTCAATCAATTATTAAAAATCATAATAGTGAGCGGCGTGAAGTACCGCTCGTCACTGCGAGCTCTTAAAGCAACACCTGGGCGAAGAGAAAATTTGGACTTTGCACATTGAGCCAAATGAATTTTTCCGCAGTTACCTGTGGTCCCATAATGCTTTGCGAATTGCATCTCGCTGCAAACAACGTTCTCGCGGTACCAAGAAGTTCCAAGAAAAATATAAACCCACGTTTATTTGATGGATATATAGCAGAAAAATAGTAGATTAAACCTTCTTTATTAAAATAAACACTGTTCAGACTTCGTTTTGGTAATGCAACTTACAAGCGACGTCATGTGACGTTAGAGTCTAGACGTACTAAAACTTAAAGTCTCATGCGGTTTGAAGCAGGTCCAGTACAATCAATACATTTAGCTACGTAGCTAAAATTACCTACTGTACCTTTATTTACCTACCTCAGGTAGCTTTATTTAGCTATTTCAAGGCAACTTTTCACAATTTTGCTTTTTATTTTAAAAAGACAAAAAATCGCAAATAAATGACTGCTAATATTTATACTAGGGATTACTTAAAAAGCAATCCAAAGCAGAGATAGTTTTAACATTGCTGCATTTGAATACTTTTAAGGAAAAGGTGTATTTCTGTTGTTTAAGTAACTGTACACCACCTTGTGTGCGATGAAGCGTGGATAAGTATGATTGCTTCTCATTGTGCTCATGTTAACCAGAACTGGTTTTCTTTGTTATTTCATTCAAGAAGGAACTGTTTGGTCACAAATTAACTGTTGCATATAGCCCCAAAACTTTTAGAACTTTGATTGCAATTGTGCAGAAAAAGACACATCTCCAAGAGTGATTTTTCATGAATTGTTTTCAGATGAGTTCAAAGTTGAAAATTATCACTGCATCAAAGTGCAATTTTAAACAAATGTTTCACATCCATCACAGTTTTAGATGACAATAACCAGGAGCCACCAAATATAGTGTCTCGATGTACATGTAATGATAATTTCCCAGATATAAAAATACAAGAACATGAAATTACCGACATAATTCCTATTATTCCTTTTAATAAAGCATTTGGGCCTGATTGCATCAGTCATAAAATGTTAAAATCTTGTAAAGACACTATCTCAAAACCATTGTGTATATTATTCGACAAATCCTTATCATTAAAAACTTTTTAAAGTTCAAAGTTGAAAATTATCACTGCATCAAAGTGCAATTTTCTGCACTTTCTGGGAAAAATGCTAATTTAAGAAATAAGTTTGATTTAGTAGCTAAATAAAGCTACTTCAGGTAGGTAAATAAAGCTATGTAGGTAATTCAAGCTACGTCGCTAAATCTAGTGATTGTACCAGACCTGTGAAGAGCCCGATCTAAATTAAAAGTGAATAAAGGTATCTGCGCTCGCCCTAACGGTTGCACCGTCAAATATTATATTTCTATAATCTTTGAAAACTTATTATACAATTTTTTTTTACAGATCTAACAACATCTTTTACAGGAAAAGTCTTCTCTAGCTAGAATTGCCTCAGCAATAAAAAAAATGCATATTCTTCTCGTTTCTCCTCCAAACACATTACGATTCATTACTAAATAAAGTAATCTCCAGTATTTCTGCATGTAAAAGGCAGAATGTTTTACCTACTATTCGCCTGAAATTTTAAGCTTTTGCTCTATGTTATTATTGTAGTTGATAGCCAGATTCGCAAGGGCTGCAGATTTTAGGTAACTTGTTCATCGAATGTTTTGATTATCTTGTACATTGAATTGCAGTGCCCAATCAGTCTCCAGGTTTTATCTAATATAAATGTAAAGATTTTGGTGGGTTTTTTTTTGTTTGTTTGTTTGTTGTTGTTTTTTTTTTTAGTTTGCTGTTTTATCTAAACTTTTAGTTTATTTATCTTGGAAATAAAAAAAAAAAAATTACATTCTTCTTTCTGACAATCAATATCAATTTGTAATATACTGAAAACAATTAATTAATGAAGTGCCAAGTTTATTTGAATAATTTACTTTCATTTGCTAGATCTAAATAATAAAATTATTTTAAAAGAAAAATCTTATTTTATTTGGACTAGCACTTATATTTTCCTTTTCTGTATGCTAACCCTGTTTAATATTGCAATTTCTTGATTATCTTTGATCAAACTTTTTTTTCTTCCCTGAACTGCTATGTATAATTTAATTATAAGTTTATAACTAATAGTCATAGACAATTTTTAAAATATTTACTTGATCATATGTCTATATGGTCAACCTTTTTTTTCTTTGCTAATCTGACAGTTACAATTTCTATTTTTAGTAACATATGGCCATTAGTGAGGAATCATATCATTTTAATGCACCACCATGACTGGGGCATATAGCATTTCTCATGTTTTTCTTTCACCTTCTGTCTTTCTGTCACACTTTGTGTTTAGCTCAGTTTCAAAGAAACTCTTCAAGATTTTGTCAAACTCCATATGCTGATACATATTGATTAGAGCTTAATTCAACTGCATCAACAATTTTAGACTTTGAACTTTCCTTTGACCTTTACCCAACTTCTCTTAAATTAATGTTTAGCTCAATTTCAAAACATACATAAGATATTTTTATCAAACATTAATTATTATAATATGCTGATACATATTTTTAAGAGCTTAAAATTCAACTTCATCAACATTAACCTTGACTTCACATTTCTTAAATTTGCATTTAGCTCACTTTCAAAGAAACTACATGTATATTCAAGATATAAGATGTAAGCTTATGCATTGATACATTATTTGGTAAGAATTTATCATCTGTGGCTATTTTTTTTCTTGACCTTCCCAGTGACCTTTGACTTTACTATTTATTTAAAATTATGTATAAAACTCAGTTTAAAAAAAAACATAGGCGTCAGAAGCAAATTGAAAGTGAGGGGGCTAATTGAAAGTGGGGGGGGGGGCTAAACCAACAAAAAAAGGTAAGCCCCAATTTCCAATGCCTATATTAGGTCTATCTTTGCAAAAAAAAAGGGAGGGCTAAGGCCCCCCTAGCCCCCCACCCAGTTCCAACGCCTATGGAAACTATTTAAGATATTTTCATTAAACTTCATACACTTATGCAAATATTCATATATAAGGATATTTGTCTTAATTATCAACAGTGAACTTCATATTCAGTTGGGTTGACAAGTTAAATTTTCAAAATTTATTCTTTTAAATACATATTATAATGCATTGGTAAAATACAGGTAATTCCAGGTAAATCTCAGACAGAGATCAGACTATAATTTCTATCAAAACATATTTTACACTATTGTTCTATGCCTAATTATCAAATATATTTGCACACTTTAAATGAGTGCAAAACGGGAACACAACATTATAAGGACCCTCTATACATTAAAGTCAAAAGGTTTTTGGACATTGAGAAGATTATATTGTATAAAGATGTAAGTACAATGTATTGAGTTTTTACATGTAATTTTCAACTTAGGGTACATGGCATTTACCCCCAGGAAAAATGTTCAAAGAGGATGGAGTATTGATGAACAGAATTAAATCACTATTATTAATTAAAGTGGGGAAAATACATGCAAATAAATTAGTGTTAAATTGATTTGTCTTGGCATTTCAAAATGTTAAGAATGCTTGAATTGATTATAAATTGAGTAACTTACAGTAGATATCAATTAACTCTAATTTAGATCAAAGGGAAGATTACTCTAATTCCATAAAAATTCAGTGTACCACAAAATCGAAACTCTTTAGTGTGCAATATATAGAGGGTTCTTAATATAAAACTTTGACTGAATATTGTGGCCCCATCCTAACTCTGGGGTATATGATTTCAACAATTTAGAATCTACACTATCTCCAGAAGCTTCCACATAAGTCCCCATGGTTCTTGAAAAGTTGAAAATGTAAAAAGTTTACAGACAGACGGATGCCAAACAACAGGTGATAAGAAAAACTCACTTGAGCTTTCAGCTCAGATGAGCTAAAAAAGGCATTCTATACATAATATGCCATTTTAAAATTTTAATACATCTGCAAGTAATTTCCTTATTAAACCATTTTAACACTTCACTGGGAGACTCAAGTTGTATATTCAGGTGTGAAATGCCTAAAGTAGGGAGATGTGTTGGATTTGGCTGGGCCAGCAGCCATGAGACCCTTGTGTAAGCTCAGTAAAGCTAGCATGGTGAGCAGATGGTGATTCAAGCTTGCAGTCTTGTATCGCAACAATGCTTCTTTATTTTCTCTTTTCTTGCTACAAATATGCAAAGCTGTTAATAAAATAACTTCAGAAAATCATGATAAGATTTCAAATGACTATCTTATTTTATTCAAAATACCAGTATGAGGCACTCATCCAACAATGATATACATGGACTAGTAAAAATATGACACATCTTATATATACATGAAGTTCCCCTGTTCATTTGTCAAAAATTGAAAATTCTCCATTGAACAGTTTCAAATCTGAACATACATGATTTAAATATACAAACATTAACATTCTAGATCCATTTTTAAAGGGGACTCTGGGGGAGGGGGTTGTATTATTGAATTTCTCAAGAGATCTAACATAAAAGCTGAAAGAAAACCCTAATAATCAAACCTGCAGTGTTTCTCTTAATTAGAAATATTATGCACATTTTACTATAGTATGATCATTGAGAACATATTGAAATCCACCTGTCCTACTCCAAGAAAATCCAGGTAGTTTTATTACAGAACAATAATATTAAATATCAATAATAACAAACACTTCATGCTGCCCCTCTTTGTCATAAATCTGCATATTGGAATATGTGATAGCTTTCACCTCTGTTCCCTGAAAAAGCAATTGAATTTGGTCTGAGTTTCTATTGTCGTTTAAATTATTACATACAATTATTAATTATAGATGAACTTAGGTACTGCGTCCATCAATTTTGAAGAAAGTTGAAAGGTCTATACATGTAATCAATTTTTCTTTAAGCATTTTAATCTGAATATCTGGAACCCTTGGATATCTTGAAGTTTTTTCTTTCAAGTTTGAGATAACAAGGTTTGACTGTATTATTAATTATGGTAAAATCTAGATGAGGGATTTGTTTATATATAATAAGTCTGTAAAAGCTACACTAAGTAATTTGTTCTAACATATTCTGTCTGTACCTGTGGATGTTTCTTTATATCAAATTCTTCACCATATCTACAAATTAAGAAAAATTCCTTGGTCTAAATACTGGTAGTCAATACATACATCAGTTCACAGAAAAATAAAAGAACAAAAATAATGAGGAATTCTTTTTAAGTACATGCATAAAATATTTCACTGTGCATAGAAAAATTTAAAACATAAATATTGAACAAATAATAATTTATTCAATAATGGTTTAATTACATTTCTTTGTTTAATACTTATAAATTAAACTTGAAATTAATTAAAAAATACTAATAGATATACATGAACTTTATGGTAATGCTTACCCTATTGATTTTATTTTAAAATTTTCTTTATCAAATTCTGTAATAACAATTTTCTGTAAGAAAAAAGAAATTACATGATAGTATATAATGAACATATGATCATAAAATACAAATAACTAGTCTCATGCACATGATTCAAAACATAACAAGCCCATTTAAAGTACAAGTACTGGTATCTATCAAGAAAATTCTACCACCACTAATTAGTTAGTAGTATGATAATAAACTGTAGATGGATCATCAAATATCATGTGTAGATCTAAAGGAGGAAATATGGGCCTGACCCCCCCCCCCCCCCCATTTTTCAAGTTTGAACTGGGCACCTTTTTCTTTTTTTGTATGGAATCCAACTTTCCTATTTTAGGTAAAAAGAAAACTAAATATCCTTGATCCAACCCTGATTATGGAAGCCAGAATTTTCATTATTTATTATCATTGCATATTTATATAGTACTTTATAATTGTAAAATTGAAAGGAAGACTAATAAACTTGTGAGCTTGCCTTACCCTAGGTATAAAGAAAGAGTCTGCCGAGAAGACAAATAACCATTCATCTAAAAAATGGAATAGTAAACCCATCAAATCATCTCCTGAAAAATAAAACAAAGAATATCATAAAAAAATTATCTTAACATGTTTGAGTGTGTCTTTTAACTACAATACAGAACAAAGGTAATCAAAGATTACAGAGGTCACTTCAACGCATGTTATCTTTAAGTAAGGCAAAGTCCCACATCAAACTAATAATCTAGTAGTGTAAAACATTTATGCAATTTTGGTCCAGGTAGGGCTTCCAGGTACCGTTACTTGAGAATGGACTTGTCCTAAAAACCTTAATTCTCACTTAACCAGAAAATGCAAGTCAGATCCAGCATCCGAAGCAAGTCTATTAGTGTGCTTCCCTTGATGCCTCATCCATACATGTTTGGTCCAGATAGGCCTTATAGTCTCTTGAGAATGGACTTGCTCAAAAAAGCTTTAATCTGGTGTCAATCCTCCATAATGCATTCAGCATCTGAAGTAAGTTTGGTAGCATGCATCCCTAGGAGAAATATCAATGTAAATTTGCTCTATGGAGGGCATTACAAATCTGATATCCGAAGCAAGTCTGGTAGTGTGCATCCCTAGATGCATCATCCATCAAAGTTTGGTCCAGTTAGGGCTTGAATTTGCACTGGGATGAACCTGCTGCAAAAATTTTGACCTGGCTCCGGGGCCATGAAACTTAAAAGAGCTCACTTTTGATCTCAGTCTCACTTTTACTTAAGGAATATATAGTGGAAAAATGAGACTGAGATCAAAGGTGAGCTCACCTAAGTTTTATGGCCCTGGAGCATGGTCAATCATCCAGAAAATGTAGACCAAATCCAACATCCCAACCAAGTCTGATAGTGTGTATCCCTAGATGCAAAATCCATGCAATCTTGGTCTAGATAGGGCTTGAAATTGCACAGGAATGAGCCAAAATTTTAACCTGGTCATTCATCCAGAAAATGTAGGCCAAATCCAGCATCTGAGGGAAGTCTGAGAGTGTTAATCCCTTGATGCATCATCCATGCAAGTTTGGGGGGGGGGGTTTACACTGGAATGAACCCACTCCAAAAACTTTGTTCTGTTCACTCATCTAGAAAATGTAAAGTCAAATCCAGCATCTGAAGTCTGGTAGTGTGCATCATTAATTGTATCTTCAATGCAAGATGCATAGTATAGGGCTTATAGTTACTTTAGAATGAACCTGCTTCAAAAACTTTAACCTGTTCGTTTATCTGAAAAATTTTGGTCAAATCTAGCATCTGAAGCAAGCCTGGTAGTGTGAATCCTTAGATGTATAATCCATGTAAGTCTACTCAACATAGGGCTTATAGTTACTTTACAAGGAACCTGCTCCACTGACTTTAACCTGATTGCTCATCCAGAAAATGTAGGTGAAATCAAGCACCCGAAGCAAGTTAAGTGTATCCATTCCTTATATGTATCATTCATGCAAGTTTGGTCAACATAGGGCTTATAGTTACTTTAAAATAAACCTCCTCCAAAACCTTTAACTTGGTCACTCATCCAAAAAATGTAGGTCAGATTTAGCATCCAATGTGTGCATCCTTAGATGTATCATCCCTGCAAGTTTGGTCAATATAGGGCTTATAGTTACTTGGAAATGAGACCTGCTCCAAATCTCTAACCTGCTCCAAAAAAATACATTGAATATTTGAAGAACAGAGCATTGTTCCTGTCATATGTACTTAATTATAATTAATACTAGTCTTATAAAACACAATCAAGTTTTACATTTTATAAATATTTCCATTTCTATTTGTTTTCTCTGTGAAAACTCTTTGAAAGTTAGGAGAGTTGATTTCTTGATCATTCCACCGGAATGCAAATTTCGCCAAGCGAGGGCAGGAGCTAAGAAGGCCTAATATGCATGTAATTCTTGTGTGGCTGTCTTTGTGTCTGACTCTAAGGAGGCCTAATATGCATGTAATTCTCGTGCGGCTGTCTTTGTGTTTGACGTCAGTGGGCGGGGACTATTGAAATTGACATGTGAGGCCTCGTGTAATTTAAATCTATTAGTCTACATTTTTAAAATCTAAATTTACAATTTTATTTCACAATGAAATGGAAATATAAGGAATCACTGTCTAGTTAGTAGAATATGCCAGGGACATTAACAATAGTTGGAAACGTGGGATAATCTATGCAGAGCGGGCTTTGCCCGTTATGCAAATTATCCCACGTTTTCAACTATCGTTGATGCCCTGGCATACTCTACTAACTAGACAGTGATTCCTTAATTATCACCTTCAGCTTCAACTTCTTGTTCACCAGTCATTTCCACCGTGTCATAATCTGTGGTCATGTAATTAAACATGGCGGTGGCACACTGCTCAAATGCCTCCTCTAAACTGTCACCCCCTGTGCAACTAAGTCAAGGATACAGCAATTTAAAAAATTCTATATATAATTACATATCTTTTTAAATTTATTCAAAATATCATTTATTTTATGTATAGGTACTTTGAAATCTTCAAATCAAACAATCCAAGAAATGATTTATCCTTTTTCTCCATGCACAATTATGATTTCATCAACAAAATCTTTTCAGCGTTGTCAGTCAGCATTTTCTTGATGAAAAAGGATACATGCATGTAGTCTGGAAAAAAAGAAAAGTTTGTTAGCAACAATGCTAATTAAGCTTGGTTTCTTAGCTCTTACTACATATCAGTACTGAGAAATGGACCCCCCCCCCTTTCAATTTTTTTTCCTTTTGTTTGTTGTTGTTTGTTTGTTTTTTACATACTAAAATAAATTCTTCTTTACCATATCCTTTTCAACATCTAGAGGTCATTATTTGAACAATTTTAACTGGCACTTGGCAGTGTATGTTAGAGGGGATTTTTTTCTTCTATACAACCATCTTAGCTTTACTATTTATCACTAATTAATAGCGAGTCATGAGTCCATTTCTTAAAAATAACTCAGACCTACTAGTATTTCTCCTTTGTCAGTTAAACTTTCTTGGCAGAAAAAAATTAGAAAATATCTAAAGATTTTGACAAAGATGCATTAAAACACAACAGACAACTTAATCTGATCAAAGAGCCCATGTAAGCCTAGAAAATGCAATGAGATAAATTACTGTTATAGGTAGAAATCAAAATAAATGTTTGAAAAAAAAGTTCAATCTGATAACCATTGTCCAAGTACTCATTTTGATTATTTAAAATTAGGCATAAAGGCCAGGGACTATCGGGCACAAGAAACTGTATTTATGAATTAGCACATAAAAGAATGCTCAAAGATGCAACATTAAAAATAATAACTGAGTACATAAATGTATACAGAACTATGAATACTTACTGAACATCTGCTGTGTGATCCAGATCTGCAAAAAAAAAAAAGATAACCATAATATCATGAATACCAGGTACATGAAGATGTCTAGATATTTCTCTCATGAGTTGTTTTGAAATTTACAAGCATGTCAACTTTAAGATTTATAAATGAAATTTATAATCATACAAATGCTTCAAACCCCATACAAATTAATAGCAAAACAGGAATCAACTTATCAATGACTATTATATGAATAAATCTGCTCCAAATCAGCAACCACTCCTTCAAACACTCAGAACTGCTTTGTATTTTTCTACATGCATATAAATTGATTCATCTTTTTGAGATACATATGTAGGAAGGAATTCACACTCTTCCTGACATACACAAAAAATCTAATTTTCTTTCCCAGCTAAGTCATTCGGTTCAGCTTTAAGTTCAGATATGAGTTTCTATGAAATAGGTGAAGATAAGGAACAGTGATCAATCTCCAAAAAAACAACAAATAAAACAAATCTGTGAACAGGGCATAAAACATGGACCACAAATAAAACAAATCTGTGAACAGGGCATAAAACATGGACCACAAATAAAACAAATCTGTGAACAGGGCATAAAACATGGACCACAAATAAAACAAATCTGTGAACAGGGCATAAAACATGGACCATAAATAAAACAAATCTGTGAACAGGGCATAAAACATGGACCCATGGAAATTTCAGAGGTTGGATCAGGTGCCTGGGAGGGGTAAGCATCCCCTATCGACCAGCCAGACCTTGATTCCAATGTATTAATCAGGTAGACAGAATATTCTGTATTCAAATTTTGTATAAAAACAAAGGCCTAATAATTGGTATTAAATATGTCAGTCAAAATATGATCCAATGATAGATTGTACTTGCTAATAAGGTCATTAAAACAATTATAGAATTTATGTCTTCAAATGAGGCTGTTAATATCCTGTAGCATTAATTTATTTGTCAGTAGCCTGTCTTGGTTTAAAAATTGATTGAACTCAGAGCATGCTCTTGAGTATCAAATTAGTTGGTAGAAATAAACACTAGGGATGTGCAATTTTATCGGTTTACCGGTATATCGTGATTTTTTATTGCGTGATACGTATCGCGATACACAGACAAAAATACCGGTATTTACGTACATAATTAGAAATTTCAGGAATAATTCATTTACTGATTAATCTTTCAAATTTCAATTACAGGAAGTGTAAAAAATGTTGCAAACGGCAAGAAAACCCGGCATCCTAGCATCCGAACATGCTTTATATTAAGTAAATAAAAAATGAAAAAAGTGAAGTTATATGTTTTTCCAGCATATTTCTACGAAAAATTAAGAAAATTCTTTCAAAATCATTGTAAAACTTGATTATACACATATCATGATATTATCGTGATATTTTGGGAAAAAATCAAGATAAATCATGATACGAAATTTTTTGCGATACCCATCCCTAATAAACACCTTATAATGAAATGAGGAATTATGGTGGCATAGTTCTGCCACCACTTGTCACCTTATGACTTGTCAGATCATTTTGTGGACTTGTCACTTATTCTCCTCTTTCTGCCACCATTTGTCAGATAATTATGTAAACTTGTCAGATCTTTTTGTTGGCAAGTATTCACGTGTTTAGAAATTCAACATGAAAATGTGTCCATAGCCAGTTTGTGCCATCCACAACATATTTATCTGAAATATGTAAATCAGGATCTGATATTAAGTCAACATACAGATCTGACTATGACCAAAATCATCTGACAAGTTGAACCACTTTCTAGTAAGTAGCATAATTATATGACAATTCAACATAATATCTAACAAGTCAACATAATTTTCTGCCCAGTTGACATAACATTTTACAAGTCGACTTCATTATATGAAACATTTCATTACATGATAAGTTGACATAGTCAGATTATTATGTCAATTCATCAGATAATTATGCTGTTTCATCAGGTGTTTATGTCGACTACTCAGATTCGTTATATATAAACTTGTCAGAAAACCATGTTGTCAAATGGATGGAAGAACTGGGCATGGACAAGTTTCCATGTTCACTTGAATTTTTAAACATATTAGAATAAATGACTAGTCAACAAAAAGATGACAAGTCAACATTATCATCTGACTAGATAGAACATTCTATCGTTAAAATGATAATCATATTGTCCTACGGACCCGGTTTAACGATAGAATTCGTTCCGTGTATTGGCAATGTTGCAAAACAGGGATGGGCACGATTACTGAAAAATGTAATCGATTAATAATCCATTACTTAGAGGAATTTTGTGTAATCGATTATTAATCGATTACACTCATTTTTGTCCTGTAATCAATTGTAATCGATTACTTTGGAAGATGTAATCGATTAATAATCGATTACTTCCAAGTTTTTATCCCTTCAAATATCAAAGCAATATTTAAATGGTAAATGTTGATGTTATCAACTGAAGTTTGAATGTGTTCCTGCAGTTTCAGTGCAGATTCTGGCTAACATTCTCACTAAATGCCCAAATGAGGGATTTTCTACCATGGAAAGTGGAGACATGATTCCTAAAATAAAATATGCCAAGGAATTAATTATTCCTTTCAACCTTAGATCTGTACCTCCATATTTATTGACTTGTTGAAAAAATTATTTAATACTTTATTGTGAATTACTTCATTAGAAGTATTTGGGCTGTCTGTATGTTGACAGTACACATTAAACATTCCTGTACGTGTCTTTTTCAAAAAAATAAGTAAATTAGAACGAACTCTTAGTAATTAACATGTAAATTAAATGTGTCTTTAAGTAATTTAACTAATACATGTAACACAGTTTCATTCTGTATTGAAATAAGTGTTTTGAGAGGTATTAATTCTTTTAATAATATTGTTTGTCTTCAATGGAATGATAGTTAAACACAAGGTAGTTCACAGTTTACACCTCATTATCTGCAATCAGGGATATGTCTCAGTCAATTAATCAGCCAATTAAGATAAGCAAACACAGTGACACTTACTCCCTCTCTTACAGGCACTTATAACCCCTCACTGATATAAAAGCAACCTTACAATTTTGAATGAAAACATGAGAATGATTTTGCAAATTTTAAAGTTACTAAAACACAAGTTTGAAGTTGTTTAAACATTTTCAGATATGAATAAGTATTTCCATCTTTTTTTTGAGTACTATGTAGTTTATTTACCAAATTATTTATATTTAATACAGCACTTAAATCTGTTTTTGCTATTTATAATTTTCTATTACAAGACAAAGTTTTTCAACATCTGAAATATGAAAAAGGACATGCAGCAAGAGGACAGTGGGTCAAATGTAAAATGCACACGAAAAATCTGTATATTTTATTAATAAATGGTTGAAATATACTTCTGAATTATTTAATACTAGACCAGTAGGTCTATAATGCAAATTTCATTGAGAACATTATTAAACTTATGATAAGAAAAGTTAGGAAATCCAAACATTACACTAGCTGGTTTATATTTGATATTTATGTGTGATTGACTGGAATTAATTCTCCAAAATAACATCCATTTATGTATAAAATAATTGAAAGTAATCGAAAAAGTAATTATAATTACATTGAAAATTTTAGCTGTAATCGATTAAATTACGTTAAAAGTAATCGAAAATCTCTTCGATTACAGATTACTGTCGATTACTTGAAAAACAGTAATCATTACAATCGATTACGATTACTCGATTACGATTACCCCATCCCTGTTGCAAAATAAACTTGGGCGATAACTCGAACTCTGTGCATTTTCTATGAACAATCCAGAGAGTTCTGAATGACAACATGACGTTAAATTTGAAGCGAGGAAAAAACATTGAGAAAATGAGTAGAATTTTCGTATTTATGGACTATTTTTTAGGTTAAAAAGCATATACAATCTCAAAAAGGTTTGTTATGATTAATTTGGTAGTTATTTTCAGTGCAACTCCTTTTGTATTCTTCAGAATCATTTCGGAGTGGATCCACTCCAATTTGCTACATTGCAAGTATATGGGACGTATTCTAACTGTGGTGAGGGCTTGTCCCAAAACACAGTTAGATTATTCTAACTATCATCTGACATGTTGACATGAATATCTGACAAGTGGTGGCAGAAATATGCCACCATAATTATGTTTTCTTGTTGAACACGTATGCATCTGACAAGTCGACTTGGACTTGTCCGATAATATCATATGATCGGTTGATGTCAGTAAGTGGCATTAACATGCTTTAATAACAAGATATTGAGTCCTTGTTATAATGTTATTATCCGACAAGTCGACATAAACATCTGATGAGTTGACATAAATATCTGACATGGCATCTGATAAGTCGACATAAATCTGACAAATTGGTAGAAATATGATTGCTTTATCACAATAAAAATTTTGCACCTTGTATAAATCAAATTGATTAATTTTCAATAGATGCTTTTGAATATATATTACTTAAAACAACTTACATTCATATTTCACTTGTGGTAAGTCCCCACCATGTGCCATTCTTGTGCAATCTGACCCAGATCGTAAACAACAAATCTGTCTCTACCAGGTGCTTTAATTTCCTGTCAACCAATCAACGTCGTTTCTTCTCACGGAAACGACATTTGTTTCAAAATGGCGGAAGATTTTGTTGAAAATGAATATACCGAAGCAGAAATTACTAAGATACAGGTATATGTACATTAAAATGATTATATGCAATATTTTATTGCATACTTAGCAATTTGTGTGTCACTATTTAGAAAGCTACATTGTCTTTCTGCATGCATTTCGCGTGAAAAAATTGGTTCTGAGGCCATAAAACATAAACCTAGATGACTTTTCCATCTGAAAGCAGAGACATATAAAAACCATTTTTTTATATGTGTCTGCTGAAAGTGAGGCAGATCAAAACGCGAGCTCGTCTTAGTTTTAAGGCCCCAAAGCCCGACCTAACAGGTCTTAGGTTGACCACAGGAGTTCGCAATTTTATCAATACAGTTAATAGAAATCACTCGATTGACCAAACCATGAGCTATGCGTAACTTTATTGATAAAATTGCGAACTCCTGTGGGTTGACTATATAAATATACATGGAAGATCTCAGTGACAAAACGCCTTAACGGAGGAGGAGTATTAATCATACCTAAATATTTACATTCAGTGTAATTTTCTGTATGGAATCCATTGGAAATCTACAGCATTCAATACCCTATAACACACACGAAACCTTGTCACTGCATGATAGAATACACATTAGGAGCTATATGCATTTTCAATACTCTAGGAACATCATAATGTATAATAATTATAGATAGACACAATTGAATTCCTGTCAATTAAAATCTATATTAAATTATTGTTAAGTATAACAAATGTACATATAAATTAATTTGTCATTTTCTTTCCTCGCAATATTCATCTTCGTTATTTAACTTTTCTACATCACAAATAGCTCTTACGTCTATTTAAAGGACACCAGTTCTGAAAAGAGCTAACAGATTAATGAAATTAGCAATTATGAAGAGAGAAAATTAGAGAATATAAATATAAGCATTGAATTCTTATTTTTGGATGTTGTTGGTCCTATAACAGCACCTGTCCGTGCCGACAAATTATCATACCGCACCTTACAATGCTTAAATAAATAAATTATCATTTTCATATGAAAAATTAGCATGGTTTCTAATGAATACTAGTAGTACTTTTAGAAAATTGTTTGACAAAGAAAAAAAAAATGTAGGGCATCATTTAGATAAGAATAATCTCTGTCTCAGGACAAGCCCTCAACACAGTTGGAATATGTCTTAACATATAGCCCATTTATTACAATATCTGCCAGATTGTAGAGAAGTGTATTTAAATACAATTTGAAGTAAATTCTCAGGTGCCATGTTTAATTGAGCAGGGGTAATTGATCCTTTGGTGGTCTACTGAGGGTGAAGATCAAGCAATGATGTGTATACAAGCAGTGATTATAATTCAGGTTTAAAAGGCATGAAAAAATTCAGTGTTTTTTAACTATATTTTTTGGTAGCTTGAGTTGGGTACACCATTAACAATCATCTTTTATTCTTAATTCAACAGTTGGTAGACATAATCTGTATAAGTGATCATGATCTACTTATTGATGTGTTGATATCAGGGATTCAGGTTTGATATCCTAAACTGAACTGTGATTTTTCAGAATTTACCTTATATTTCATTACACATCTTCTTTATTTACACCTGTGTATTTTTGTTAAATAAATGATTAAATAAAATGACGTTATAACTGTTTAGAGCTTTATATTTTAATACCATGCAAAGTGTGATGGTACTGATAATTGAGTGGTTTAAAAATTGATTATTGATACAGAAACATGTATATTTCCGATTTAAATAATGAGTTTCTGAAATGAAATATTTTGCGTTGGATTTAATTTTGTTGGTGTACTCCAGACACAAAAGTAAAGAAATTTAATCCAAAACAAAATTAAATACATGTACGTTATATGGGTATATGATTGGTAAAGTTTTAAAACTATATATTGGTTATTAAAAGCAAACTAGGCAAATTAAAGAGGCAAATGATTGAAAGTTGGTGAAATCTCTGAGAAATGATGAAACTTACAAAAATGTAACATTCAGAATGATTTTTTGATATAAAATTAAAAGGTTCTACATTGTCATCTTTGATAATTTTAAAGAATTATGTGATTTAAGTAGTGCATAATTTAAAAATAGTAAAAATAGGGCATGCAAGAAATCACAAGATTTTGAACAGTTGACTTTTGAATCTCTGTTATTTATCATGTTTATATCTCTGATCCTAAAATTCATACTATTGCAATGTAGAAAAATAGAGCGGAATTATGCTCTAGCACGATTTTGGAGAAAACAGAAGGAATTCTACTGTAAATAACCACCAAATTAATCACATTAAACCTTCTTGAGACTGCACCCCCTACAGCTGTACCCCCCAAAAATATCCATTAAAGAAATCAACACATTTTCTCAATGTTTTTTTCTTGCTTCAAATTTACATACCTCACGACTCTCTGAATTGTTTATAGTACATGTATAAACCTAGATTAGAATTGTCTATCCCTGTTTATTTTGCTACAATGCCAATTAACACAAGGAAGTAATTGTATTCGTAGACTAAGTTGGTAGGAAAGTATTATTTTAAGGATAGAACGTTTTATCTGCATGTACATGTAGGCATTGATCTGTCCTAAGTCATTATCATTTTATCATGATTCCTTGATTTAAAGCCACATAGAATGTGAAAATGATATTGTTAAATTTAAGTGATTGGATATAAACAAGATATTAACTTAATAGTCAAGTTATTTTGAATAATGCTTCAAATGATATTTGATTAAATTCCAGCTACATGTACATGTGTATGGCTGAATCAAAAGGTTGCATCACGAAATTATGACAATTTCTTACATTTTTTAATTTATTAAGAATTTATCCAGTGTATTAAATTACTATGACATAAGCTGTACAATGCATACTTTGATATCATTTTCAGAATGACCAGACCTGTATCTCTTTCTTTCTTAATTCTTTAATCATATTACCAGTAAATGCCTAATCCTTTCATCACCTTTTCTTAACTCAAAATGCATATTTTGTCAATATGGGATATTTTACTCATAACCTTCTTTTTAATTATACAGGTATATATCATTTATTTCACAAAAAATATATAATTGCCAAACTACTGCCAGTATATATGAACATACAGTTTAAATTAACATTTTTCTTCATTTTATGTGCTTTTTCTAGGCATTGTTCAGAGGCATTTTGGTTAGAAAATGGATGAATGAGACGAGAAAGGAGTATGATGACATATTTAAAGAAGTGGAAACCAACAGCCAAACTGGGCCAATTTGGATATGTGAAGGACTGTGTAAACCAATTTTCCAGAAAAAAGCCAACAAGAGAAAGACACAGAGAGAGATTGACAGTTCAGTTAGAGACACATCAAAACAAACAATGTCTACTCAGGCAGAGCTTAAAAATGGTGCTACCAGAAAATGTAAAGACACTAAAGAACTGTGTGAAGTAGGAGTTCAATCAGCTAGTCAGGCTTTTGACCACGATTTCCTCACAGTTGAAACTCAAACAAGTTTCTGTGAATCCAGTACACCAACTCAAGATATCCACAAGATTGAACAGTGTGTAACAACAGAGACTGAGACAGGGGAACATGGAGTGCTAAATATTCAGGACATACCAGAAAAAAATAAGGAATCAAAGCAAACAGACATATCAAAAACTCTAATAGAGGTGGTCAAAGAATCAAATCATTGTACAGAGCTGGCAGCAGAAAAGTTCATCCCTGACAATATAACAAAGGAGTCTGCAATATCATGGCAGAATGAGTCATCAAAGCAAATTACAACAAATCCTCCCAAAGGAATCCCATCTCCCAGAGGAAATCATGGTATCCCAGTTTTCATGGGGACCTCTGGGCAAACTAATGAAACCTCAGTCTGGGACAGTTTTCATAGCATTTCAGGTACAACAAAAGGTACTCATCTTAAAACAAAATTTAAAAAAACTACCTGGGTATATTATGATAGAAAAAAGGACAGTCCTGTACAAATTGATTGACAAAAGCATTTAAAGATGTTGAGAGCACCGAGAGTAAGTAATAAAGTATTCTTGTCTTTGCAGCACCTGCTACTGAGTCTAAAGAGGTTCAACAGGAAAGGGAACCCCACCAGTACCCTCAAGATAAGGAATCACTGCAAGAAATGAGAAAAAACATTGCTTTAGAGCTACTTTGGGTTCAGCAGGCCATTAACAGTAGAAAAAATGTAAGTTAAGGGACGACCATTTGATTCGCTGGGGGGGGGGGGGGGGGGGGCTGGCAGATTTTGGAAATAATCTGTCCACAAAAAAGTTGAAAATAAATAATCTGTCCTTGACTAGTGCTACTTACTTACCCCCCACCCCACAAAATATGTTCAAGTTGTGACCTTGGAGGTAGGGTGGGGCCACAACGGGGGATCAAAGTTTTACATTGGAATATATTGGAAAAATCTTTAAAAATCTTCTTCTCAAGAACAACAAAGCCACGAATAGTCATATTGATATAAAAGCATCCTCGGGGAGTGTAGATTCAAGTTTGTTCAAATCATGATCCTGGAGGGTAGAATGGGGCCACAATGGGGGATCAAAGCTTTACATAGGAATATAGAGAAATAAAGCCTGTAAGAATAAAGCCATGATAAGTCATATTGATATGGATTATGGAAGCATCCCACAGTATTGTAGATTCAATTTTTTTAAAGCTATTTCCTCCATTAGCAGGGTGTGGCAACGACGGGGGATCAAAGTTTTATGAAAGAACATATATAGAAAAATTCTTTAGAAATCTTCTTCTGAAGAATAACAAAGCCATGACTAGTCATATTGATATGGAAGCAACCTCTGGTAGTGTAAGATTCAATTTGTTCAAATCATGACCCCCCAGGGTAGGGTGAAACACATCTTTAAAATTCTGTTCTCAAGATCAGCAAAGCCGTGATTAGTCATAATAGTCATGATTAGTCATGAATAAGGAATCATCCTCAGATAGTGTAGATTCAGTTTGGTTCAAAACATGTCATCTGGGGGAAGGATAGGGGTAGAAAAGGCAATCAAAATTTCACATATGACTATATAGGAGAAGAAATCTGCTATTGAAGAACAATAGAGCCATATTGACTCAGGTTAGTGTTGTGACACATGAGCCTCTTGTTTTATTATCATTTGGGACTGTGTTTTTCTTAAGAACTAGGAAATTGGCTATTGGCCAAATTGACCGCTTCAATTGATAAAAATGCCCCTTTGAAATAATTTTAAAAAAAGATAAAGATTTAATTGTTGTAAGGTCCACAGAGATTTGTCATAAACCTCAACCCAAACCCTGTTACAATTGATCTCTAACCCTTTACTTTGAAATAAATGTAAACACTGCTTTGAAGGTTTTCTGTTTTTCTGAAATGGGTGACACTTCATTGAACAGAATTCATGATCCCTCAGAATTGACTCCGTGGAAATAGCATGTTTACAGTACTTTAATTACACATATATAAATTCAAGGCTTAACCCTATGGTAACCTAACAAATAAACTTTATGATAAACGTGATGACTTCAACTTTTCTATTGTCAGTTTCCCTCATTTATGTAGCAATATACCCTTATCACATGCATATGGGATTTATATCTCCCATTTGATTTGATACACAAGAGCTTGCTCCATGTACGAACAATTTCTTAAATGAAGCAAGTTCTTGACAAAAAAGTTGGTGAAACAAGGGTATCAACAGTCTTGTTTAAAGTCATCATTTTGCAAGTTCTATGGTCAATACAATGACCTTATCAGCAAATACAACCTATCATTAAGTCCCAATTCTGACTGATGTTTTTCATACTAATTTTTAAGGCCATTATTTAAACACTGAATTGTCTACGGATTTTTCTGTTTGCCCGATCATTACAATGAGCACACAGTGAGTATGACCGGTCAACAGGGGATGCTTACTCCTCCATGGCACCTGATCCCATCTCTGAAGTTTAAGAAGTCCATGTTTGCTCTGCTCCCAGTTTGCATAGTTTCAATGCACTTTTGAGCTTGATTATACTGTTCATTATCTCCATATTTTATGCTTGTGTTCCCAAGCAAATTTCAAGATGAATGAAGTGCCCCGATTACTGAAATGAACAGTAATAATTACTTGATTTCTACAGAATTTTACATTCTGTACCCTACAAATTCCTACAGAATTGTACATTCTGTTCCCTACTATCAACCAAAAGTTAAGGTGTCCAGATTATTGTCATGTGGATTCACAAGACTCCACTGTAACTTGTTTATGAAGACATGTAGTTTTAATGCATTGCTTCTAATTACTGGGATACATTTCTCAAAATGAATAAATATGTATTTTAAATACAGTTTTTTTTATTTTGTTTTTCAGTATTTAAAATTGAAGGGACAGATAGCAGTTTGATGTTAGAGCAAAAGGACATTTTGAAACAGCAGTGAGATTCCTAAGACCTAGATTGTTTCAATATAGCTATGAAAACAGGAAGGGTTTTTACTGTAGTGTATTCATGTAATGTGTAACAGGTTATCAATATCTTTGAGGCAAAAGAAAACAAATTTGAAATGATTCTCAAAGTTTCCAATATTTGTGCATCAATCTTCATAAAAAAAATTGTAGATTACATGTTTATTCACCATAATAAATTTTTACAAGACATTAAGACTTTTTATTTAAGCAATTATATGAGTTAAGTGACCACATATATGACAATTTCTGTGGAAATCCTCATGGCTTTGTCTATAACTGGAGCCTTTGAAAGGCCGCATTCAGAATTAAAACTGAATGTTTTAATTTTCCCAACAAGTCCAATTTTCCCTGAAATTAAAGAACATTTAACTAGAGATTCATTTATAATAACTAGATTGGCTGCACTCTTGTTCCTGTATATTGCAGAATAGAAATTTAGTTTATAACAAACACCAGAAATCTAAAATAAAATCCTAAGTTAAAATATAATGAGTGCAGATTCAAGTCGAGCGTATAGGGTGGGGCCACAATACGGGATCAGAGTATGACATGGGAATACTAGTACATAAAAAAAAATGTTTTAAAAATCTTCTCAAGAAGAGAAGGGCCATGATAGTGATATTTAAATGCAAGCATTCTCAGGTAGTGTTGATTCAAATGTGATCTTCTTCTTCTTCCTATAGGATGCTGCCCTCAGTTACTGGGTGTATGTAGCACACTGAAAACAGCAAAAAACCTCATGTTTACATGTTAAAAACTGGTTAGAAACTAGATCTCCAGATTTTTATGGGTGGTAGGAAGCAGCTATGTTGTTGATTAGCTGCTCCTTGAAGCCCTCTATGGTACTGGCTTCTTTGACATGTTCTGGTAGGCTGTTCCAGTCCCTCATGGTTCTTGGGGGAATGAGAGAACCTGTACATGTCACGGTATGTTGGTAGCTGATGGTTCTTGCTGCCCCTAGTCCGAGTATCTCCTGGTGTCAAATAAGATGCTGCTGAATATTTATCAGGTTCTTGCTGATCTTCTACATCATTATAAAATCTTAATTGTCGCATCTCAAGGGGCTCCATGTGCAAGTCTTTTATCAAGGATTACGCAGCCTGGTGTTCTGGAATAGTAATTGCCCTTGACATACCTTGCTGCTCGTGTCTGGACACTCTCTGTTAATTGTATTTGGGACTGTTGGTAGGTATCCCATACTGTAGCTGCATACTCCAAGGTGGGTCTGACCATTATAGTACTGTAGGCAGCAGATTTAATATCAGCTCTACATCCCTGGAGATTGATACATCCATAGGAAATGAGTGCCCTACCCTAATGTACATTAGGGTTAGGGCACTCATGTCCTATGGATGTATAAATATAGTTCTAGTTTTCAATAAATTCAAGTGTAAAACTTTCATCTCCTATTGTGGCCAAATATACATGTACATTTGTATTGCAACTTAAAAAGAATAATTTTCATAAACAGATCTGATACCTGCAGTACAATGAATTGGAATGTAGTGTTGATTCATTCCATCCATCATCTAACAGCTAAATGAAGTCTCATTGTTTCAAGTTTATTTTCTCATATTTAGCAAATTTTAATACAATCCCTAAGGTATATGATTAAAACACTCTTAAACAGATTTATCTGTATATGGAGTTTTATGAAGTTAACCCTAATAGAATAAAATAGGATGAACTAAGAGCAAAATGCCAAATAATGAATTTCAAGGTCACAGAGAAGGTCAAGGTAAAAAAATAATTGCTCTCACCTCTTTGTATCAGTATACAAAGTTTGGTGAAAATATCCTGCACACCTTTTTTGAAACTTAATATGTAACTTCAAAATGAGGAATAGTGAGGTCAAGGTCATAAAAATTGACACAGTTGAATTGCTCTCACCAATATGTATCTTTTTGTGAGGCTTGATTAAAATATCTTCAAAAGAGAAGGTGAAGGTCATTGAAAGGTCAAAGTCATGAGAAAGGTCAAGTAAGAAAATTATAACAAATTTAATTGCTTAACCAATATATAACTTTGTATAAAATTTGATTTAAATGCATGTACATGTGTCTTGAAAAGTGAAGTTTAGGTCATACTGAAGGTCAAGGTCAGAAAATTATGAAAATTGAATAGCTCTCACCAGTTTGTAGTAATGTTTGAAGTTGGATGTAAATATTATGAACAGTTTCTTTGAAATTGTGCTAAATGCAAAATAATAGATATATAGTGACATCTAGGTCATAGGGAAGGTCAGGGTTAGAAAATTTTGACACTGTTGAATATCTCTCATCAACAATATATCTTTGTGATTTGATGAAAAATATCTTAAACAGTTTCTTTCAAACTAAGGTAAATCAAAATGGAGAATAGTGGGGACAAGGTTATAGGGAAAGTCAAGGTAAGAAAGTTAAAAAACAGTTGAATAGTTCCCATCAGTACGAATCAGTATACGAGTATATGAGGTTTGATAAAAATGTTTTTATTAGTTAGTTTGAAAATGCAAAATATGGAGGGGTGAGGTCAAGCTCACAGGAAAGAATTATGTCACAGTTGAATAGCATAACACAGAGAAATAATATCCCAAAATAAATGTAAAATTTTGCAATTTTAATTATTTTTATATCTGAATATTCTGTAACATGAAAATAGTGGACAACAAGTAACAATAACCATGGCAACACATTGTCATATTATGGATAAAAATATTAATACACAATAATTAATTTATATTCTACTCATCAGCTATTTCTGTATGCAATGTCATTGTACAAAAAAGCCTGAAAATAACGTACAAGATTACAAAAACACGCGAGCACTGAACAGAGGTAATTAGGCTTCCTAGGTAGATAGTGCAAATACATAATAAATCGTGAAGAAAAAAAAACATAATTCTGTGTGATAAATACTGTTAACATTCTGTTAGATTCACTAACATGACCTTTGTTTTTGAAATCATTCAACTAACACTTTGCAAAACTTTTTATAATAATTATTCAAAATGTTTGACAAGATCTTTTTCAGATAATAAACTTAATTTTGATAACATTTTCAAAACATTTTGGTCAGTCCCAATGTTAATGATGAACATCTTGTGTTACAATACAGATTAATGCTTAAATGCAATATCCTTACAAAGAATCCAAGACTACATACAATACTGGTATGTTTTTACATTACACACTTATAAACAAATAAATGTACTTACAGTGCAGTAAGGCACTCTGAATCTCTTTCTCTTAAAACTGATTTTAATTACTTCAATTAATGGAGCCCATTGATTAGAAATTACTCCCATTATGTCTAGCACACAGAAAATGCAACAGAAAAGTATTAAGGGGAACTGCCAAAAAAATTATCAGGTGCCTTTTAAGGTTCATTAGCCCCCTGTTCACTCCTATGAAATTTTGTATTAAAGCTTATGATTTTCTTAAAGAAATCTAATTGATAACTGAAATGCGAACTATTTTAACTAGGGATGTCAATGAATAGTCGACTATTCGACCATCAGTCGAAAGGACCGACGATCGAATAACAAAACGACATTCGAATAATTAAATTCAATAAAAGAGTGCTAAAGGGATGGAATTCTCATCCTAAAATTGAGAAACCGTCTTTCCTCAGACACAGTCGATAAGATAATTTTCCTCATTAAAAACTGCTGACTTTACATGTAGAAATTACAGTGATTAGAAATGCTTCACTTCCGCGAGAATTATTTGTCAATTAATGTGTTGTTTTTGTAATAAAATTGTCTCGCTATACTGCGCTTTCTATGTAAAATTATTAATTGGACTTGATCTCATATCATGGGAACAAACCATACCATGTACCCATTATAGCCGTGACATGTTTGGACACAACGGTAATTATTATAAAATTAATATTCTTTTACATATTTTAAAGACATTTTGATAGTTGGTATAAAAAGTATATTCAAATATTTAACATTATCACAGACACCTTGTGTGCCTCCCCCCCCCCCCCCCCATTTTAATAAGCTTTAAAAAGATATATTGCACAGTCATTTTTTTATGCTTCCTAAAAAACCGACTTTACAGACCGATTTATGAACATGATTGACGGAGAAATCATGCATTTTGGAGAAATTAGCGGTCTATATTAAGTAAATAAAAACACGCTATCCACATTTTAGGTCCATGTGAACATCTGTGTGTAACATTTGATGGAACTTTTTAATAAATTTTAAAAAAAGGGGGGGATTTGGGGTTAAATATGTGATGTACCAGTGAAGTTTGAAATAAAATTTTAGTTTCGAATATATTCGACTATCGTTCGAATAATGCAATCGACTATTTGACTAAAGAAAATAAATATTTTGACATCCCTAATTTCAACATACCTAGCTGTGCAAAATTTGACAAAAATGACAACTTTATAATGTGGAATATTAGAAATATGTCTCAGTAAGAGTTATGTCTCCTATCTGAGGACCAATGAACTTTAATACAGTTGAACTTTGATATCTCGAACACTAATATCTCGAATACCATGGATATGCCGAAGTGATTTGGAAGTCAGAACAACTTATTAAATATTTTACCCTCGATATCTCTAATCCTCGGATATCTCAAAGTTTTTTCTCAGTCCTATCAAGTTCGAGATAAAGAGGTTTGACTGTGCTACAAATAAGATAATACAGATTATCTGTTTACTGTTTGTAATTTACGTAATGAGGAGTCATATTTTGGCACTTTCCACTTACACATGATCTAAATCTATGGCTGGATATCAAAATTATGATAGAACCAATAAATGATTATATTCTATAGCACATAATATACATTTATGCTGAATTTTGTATACTAAAGTATACTAAGAGCTATTGCAAATAAAAACCTTGGAAATCAGCTTTTACAAAGACTCAAATTATTAAAACACTGGCCAATTATAAGGTCTCCAATAAGGAGACTGTACTTACTGCCTACTTGTGAAAGAGACATAAAAACAGAGAAAATTGAGAAAGCTCACTTAGAAATACATGCATCATTCAACTTCATAAAAACAAAAACAGTAATCAAAAAAAATATGAAGTAATGGTATTTTCCTTTTTAAGGTATTTTAAAATACATAATTGTGATGTTGTATAAAAGAGTCTCTTTGTTACATCATTGTACATATTGTTTGTATGAATAAGGCAAGTCTAATGTTTGAACACTTCTACATCCTTAAAAATAAAATTTAATAAATGCCTAAAAGTGTTGATAAATTTACAACCACCAATCTTTGTATAATGCCTGTAATTAAGGTCAGATGCAACTGCCTCTAAAACGAAGTCACATAAAATAATAAATTCTTCAAAAGTTGTCATAAAACATTAAAAGCTTAAAGTAAAAATTTGCTCTATAAAATTGTCATCTTGCACAGTAATGCAATTATCAGTAAAACATCAGAATAAACTAGACCTCAATACTTCTGCTTTCAATCTGTCATACAGTATATTTTATTTGCAGTTACATGTAAGCAACATCACTCATACAAAAGTGATACACATAAAAAAGATCTTCATGCATAATAATTTCCTAGCAGCATACACAGGCACTATGCAGACATAAATCCGAGATACAATGCACTTTTCTCCTTTCTTACAAGAACATGTACAAAACAAATATTGCATTACATTGTATATCAGAAAGCACACAACCTCTATCACATGGCGAGATGTATGAAATATCTGTCATACAAAGATGATCACGTTTTTAAACACTCTATCTTGTAACACAATCATGTAGAAGAACAAATCAATAGAAAACAAATACCAGAGCTTTCTAAGAGAGCTGTCTATATTTAGACATAGCTGCAAATTCATTAATGAAGAAAAATTTCCAACAGATTTTCTTGTACTGACAACGATTATAAATACAACATCCAGACTGGCAGACTATTTTACCATGCCAGTTTAAAGCACAGCTCTTGCTTGCCAGTCCTTTTTTTTTAAAGCTTTTAGCAAGGACTATTGAATTTATTCTATAGAAAACTTCACAGGTAACTTTTCTTTGCTCCGTGCATTTTTTAAGTTATCAGACATTTCAAAGTCAATCTCTGCATACCCTTGCACAGGGGGACCACTATCATCTGGGGAGGAAGGATGCCTTGTCTGGCGAAATTTCTGTTCCCCTGGGATTTCTTCGCTTGATCCAAGATCCAGCTTAGCATAGTTCAGTGTAGGTCCTACTGGGAGTTGTTGACTGGAAGAACATTTAGACCTCACAGTTGGGAGAGACATTTCTTCATACTCACTGGCAAGGTCGGAACAACTTCGACGATTTATATCCCCCTCCTGTCCATTATCACCACTCTGTTCCGATTCCATGGCCATGCAGGGCATACTAAGTTGTTTATGAAGCTCTTGATTTGAGGTCACAGAGAGTGGAATAGAGCTTTTTAAATTTAAAGATTCACAGCTTCTTTCTGTTTCTTTTTTACCGTCTCTGAACACATTGTCTTGTTCCTGGAGGGAACTCACACTTGTCTTTTTCTTTAGTCCAGAGGTAACTGGCTGATCTGATCTGGCACCTTCATTCACTGGACTAGCTCTCTGTTTACTGTCCTGTCTCATAAACAAATCACCATCCACTGATGTACCTTCTGAAGGATCTCCTCTGATTGGAGACCTTGGAAGGTAAGAAAAATCTGAGCTCCGTTTATTGTCCCCAAAGTCCAGTCCAACATACCCATCATCATCCTCAGTGTTGTCTAGTAGCACTACTTTCATTGGGAGCACCTGTTTGACAACAGCACTATTGCTCTCCTTTTTGCTCTCTTTACTAGGTTTTCTATCAAGTTCAGACTTTGAACTTGCTGGAGCATTGCTCAATGGTTTTGCAACACACTCGAGTTCCAATCTCTCAGTTGTATCCTTCGTTGGTTTGGTCTTCTTTTCCTCTTTTGAACTTGAATCTGTGTTAAAATATGATCGAACAACTGTTGGACTTTTCAGAGAAGTATCCACTGTAACAGATGTATCTGGTGCATACTCCATATATGAATAATTATCTGAAGAATTACTTTTTGGCTTGGTGACAGAAGTATCCTGCTTTGGTTGAAAACTAGTGTCCGTATTCTTATTGGACTCACTTTCTCCACTTTTATTTTCTTTATCTTTAACTAAAAGCATTGCTGAGAACAAGGGGTCAGCTGACATACTGTACTGAGGAAGTTGGGCACTTGGTTTTTGAACAATTGTCGTGGACTCATTCATCACATTGCTCTCTGTCACTCTGCTGACATTCTGTGGATTTTCTGTCAGGTTTCCTACATCTACACTACCGGGTTCATAGTCAATATACTGATTATCATCTGATTGTTTTACAGCCTTTTTGTCCACACTTTTAAGAGCCTCACTGGACACTAGGCTTGTTTTGGGACTATGTCTGCCTAGTCGGGAGCTCTTGTGAGATTTCTGATCTGCTTTGAAAGATCCAGATCTTGGACTGGGCCTTGAACAATTGCCAAAAGAATTAGATCTGGAATCTGGATTTTTTTCTGAGCCAAATGATCCAGATCTAGATCCTGGTCTTTTTTCATAAGAAAGTGAATTTGATCTTGAACTTGTTTTTTTGTCTGACAATGATCCAGATCTGGTCTCCTGCACCTGATTTTCTCCTGAAATTCCTGGAGCATAAGGAACATAACTTTCATCCTCAGATTCTCTTCCTGATCCACAAGGACTCCTGCTGGCAATGGAGGATCTAGAACTAACATTTAAACTTGATGATTTTTGAGCAATTCCATCACTGGATTTGATTACTTTTATACTAGGTGATTCTTGTTTTATTCCAAAACTGTTTATAATTGCAGGAGAAGAACTAAGGCTTTGGTTTGAAGAACTCCTAGAATGACATGCACTTGACTTTGCACTTTTAGGGGTTCCAATACTCATATCGATATATCCTGTATCATTACTTTTGTCCAAGTGCATGTCCACATATTCAGAGTTTCTACTTGAGTTACGCAAAGATTCAGAGGATGAAGCCTTTGATGAGAAAGACATATGTTCAATAGAGTCATTAGAAGTACGATGAAATAATTGTTTATCAATACTTGAATGACGAACCGATTCAAATGACCCTACTTTTCTCCTGACATCATGAGCAAGTTGGGCTAGTTTTGATTGTTGTCCATAACTTGATGAACGCTGACGGGCTTGTGACAAGATTTTTCCTACACTAGATGTTCGAGGCCTGTAGCTTTCACTTGTGGCTCTAGGTCGATACTCCATCTCCATCATTGAGTCTTCTGAGAAAAGTGATTGGCTCAGTGGACTTGAACCTAAAGAAGAGTCAGTATTCATATAAGAGTGAGTGGCTTGTGCTTTCTTCTGAGCAATGAGATGAGGAGCACTCTGCCAGCGACCACTGTCTGTTGATTCCTCCTTGGCCTTTGGTTCAACATAACTGGTATGGTGCCTCACTATTTTGGTACTGGGTTTAGATCCTAAGGAGAAGGATCGTTTTGGCAGATCACCAGACATTGAGTCATCAGAAAGGTAGCAGACCACTTTGGCAGGGCGGAGACTGTCTGAGCCAGGTATTGGACTGTTTGCTGTTGGCGTCATTGGTAGATATGCTTCTCCACCTAAAACAGAAAATAAACATACAGTATTTATTAATTTCATAAAATTTCCAAGAAGTTTCAAGTGAATTCAAATTTGAATTTAACTCATTTACATCGTAAATTATTACACATAATTTTTTTTTAACTAATACTAAACAGCAGTAATATAACAATTAGGATAACACTCCAATTTATTTGGAGTAATTTATCATAATTTATGACCCCAGTATGATGAAAACTTACTTCCTCCCTCCTTGATCTGAGGGAGAGGCTGACTGGAGGGACCCATCTCCATGTAACCTGGCTCCTTGGGCTGTCTGATGGGAATCGGTGCTGATGCTGCTATTCTCCCAGCATGCCCTGCTCCCATGGGGATGTACCCACTGTTCATCTGAGTGGATGCTGCTGCAAAATGTAAAATGACACTTTCACAATAAATACCAAAAAGTCATATCCTTCATAAAATTTGTTAAAAATTCTAGAATTATCTTTAATTTATATACAATGTACTCATATTTTTCAGAAGAGTCTTGTAGAAATTTTATGATGTGATCTTACCTTTGTCTGCTTGTGGACTTGACAGACTCATGTCAATATAGCCAGGGTCTGGATTGTTACTACACACTGACCCAGGCTTCATGTCCATATACCCTCCTTGCATCCTGGGCACTGGTTCATGGTCTGAGGCAGAGGACCCTGTAAACAGACATCAAGGATAACTGAAGAATTCTATCATTCAGTGCTCTGTTATCTCAGAGAAAGATAACATATACATGTAAAGCATGCAGTGCTCGTCATTGTTCTCTTAACAGATGAAACCTATTTTTTTGCCTGTAGTGAAATCTTTTTATATGGTATGTCAGACATACAGTTAAAATATACCGGTAATTTTATCTGTACAAACATTATTTTTAATGCCTAATTCAATAAATTTATTTTTTCCATAAAGACTTGAGTTACTTAAAATCAAATTTTGAAAATCCAGAGATCTGTTTTGAGAAAATATGTCAATGAATAAGAACAAGAGGCCCAAGGGCCTTAACGGTCACCTGAGTATAAAACAACAATCCATAGAGTATAAATTGAAAGCTGCAAAAACAAACCCAGGTTATACAATATATATTAATTTTTTTTATTATTTTTGTTTTTGAGAAGATTTTTAAATGATCTTTCCTATATATTCCTAACTAAAACTTTGATCACCTGTTGTGCCCCCTCCCTACCCCAGGGGGTCAAGATTTGAACAAATATGAATTAACATTACCCAAAGGTGCTTCCATATAAATAAGACAAATCATGGCTTTGCTATTCTTGAGAAGAAGATTGTTAAAGATTTTTTCATATGTATTCATGTATAATCTTTGATCGTCCATTGTGGCCCCACTCTATCCCCAGAATCATGATTTGTATACTATATCTGAGGATGCTTCCATGTAAATATAACCAATCATGGCTTTGCTGTTTTTGAGAAAAGAATTTTTTAAAGATTTTTCCTGTGTATTCCAATGTAAAATTTTCATTGTCAATTGTGGCCCCACCCTACCCCCAGGGATCATGATTTAAACCAACTTGACTCTACACTACCTGAAGATGTTTCCACATAAGTTTCATCTTTCTTGGCCCAGTGGTTCTGGAGGAGAAGTTTTTTTTCAATGTATTCCCATGTAAAATTTTGATCATTCATTATGGCCCCGCCCTTCCCAAGGGGGTCATAATTTGAACAAATTTGAATCTACACTACCTGAGGATGTTTGCACACAAGTTTCATCTTTCTTGGCCCAGTGGTTCTGGAGAAGAAGATTTTTAAAGATTTTTCCTATGTATTCCTATGTAAAACTTTGATCGTCCATTGTGGCCCCACCCTAACCCCAGGTGTCATGATTTGATCAAAATTGAATCTACACTACCTGAGGATTTTTGCACATAAGTTTCATCTTTCTTGACCCAGCGGTTCTGGAGAAGAAGATTTTTAAAGATTTTTCCTATGTATTCCCATGTAAAACTTTGATCGTCCATTGTGGCCCCACCCTAACCCCAGGTGTCATGATTTGATCAAAATTGAATCTACACTACCTGAGGATTTTTGCACATAAGTTTCATCTTTCTTAGCCCAGTGGTTCTGGAGAAAAGATTTTTAAAGATTTTTCCTATGTATTCCTATGTAAAACTTTGATCATTCATTGTGGCCCCACCCTAACCCAAGGTGTCATGATTTGATCAAAATTGAATCTACACTACCTGAGGATTTTTGCACATAAGTTTCATCTTTCTTGACCCAGCGGTTCTGGAGAAGAAGATTTTTAAAGATTTTTCCTATGTATTCCTATGTAAAACTTTGATCGTCCATTGTGGCCCCACCCTACCCCTGGGGGTCATTATTTGAACAAACTTGAATCTACACTATCTGAGGATTTTTCCATATAAGTTTCATCTTTCTTGGCCCAGTGGTTCTTCAGAAGAAGACTTTTAAAAGATGTCATTAATTTTTCACTAATTCTTAATTATCTCCCCTTGGAAAAAGGATTGGCCCTTCATTTGAACAAACTTGAATCACCATTACCCAAAGATACTTTGTGGCAAGTTTGGGTTGAAATTGGCCCAGTGGTTCTTGAGAAGAAGTCGAAAATGTGAAAAAGTTTACGCACGACGCACACCAGCACGACGACGGATGAAAACAGATAGCATTAGGTCACCTGAGTGACTCAGGTGACCTAATAAAACGGCTATACAGTAAAACTTGCTCAGATCTACAGAAATTCAATGTATTAGACAACATTCTAAACAACATTTTGAACAACTGAATTTATTAGTCCCCTACCGGTGAAACCGGAGGGGACTATAGGTTTCCTCTGAGTCTGTCCGTCCATCTGTCTGTCTGTCTGTCTGTCCGTCTGTCTAGCTGTCCCTCTGTCTGTCTGTCAGTCTGTCCCACTTGGTTTTCCGCACTTTTTTCCTAAACGCTTGCAGATATTGAGCTGATTTTTGGTATGTGAGTGTATCTTGACGAGTTACAGACCAAGTTTGCATTTCGTTCCGCTTCATTGATTTCTGACGGAATTATGGCCTTTTCAATTTTTACGGGTTTTCCGCAATTTTCTTCTAAACGCTTGTAGATATTGAGCTGATTTTTGGTATGTGGCTTTACCCTGATTAGTTAAATATCAAGTTTGCATTTCGTACCGCTTCATTAATTTTTGACGGAATTATGGCATTTTCAATTCTTAACGGGAACCAGATTACACTTGCCAGTTGGGGACTAGTATTACTAATGCAATACTCTCAGAATGCTTGTTCCAAGGGACTTCCAAGTTTTCATCATAATAGATCTTTGTTACCAAGATTATTTAAATCTTCATTTTCCATGATTAATATGTGGACTTGACACAAGATTGTGCAAGACTGTATGTGGACTAGAATTGTCAGATTGAACTTTTGTTTATCTTGGTTATACATGTATTAACCAAGATTATGTAACTTTTTTATTTTCCATGATTAATATTTACCCTGGTACATCATATTTTTTAGATAAATACATATGGGGGGGGGGGGGGGGGGTCATCATTCTGATGACAGACTGCTATCACAGGGATTGACATTAACGGTTGTCCAATTGCCCGGGACAAGTAAATTCTCAGTTCGGGCAAGTAAAATTGTCGACGAACTTGTCCGATCGGACAAGTGAATTTTTTTCATACAAATGTACATATTTATTTAGTTTTCATTAATTTATAAATAGCACAGTAAATTGAATGCTTTACCGTTCATTTAAACATCGGGTTCGTTATTTTCTTTCGTAGTAAATACGCTCTACATCTTACAAAATTTTGTTAACTTCTTATTAGGAAATTAGATTATTTATTCACGCACAGAATATAAGTACAGTGTAACACGATGTATCCTGATCAAGATAAGATGTATGTTTCGTAGCAACTACTAGTATCTTCCTTTAGCGTTGCTTCACAGTTATCTCCGAAAGTCACGATTCAGAAAAGGATCCTACCGAAATTACTTTTAAGAAATATGAATTTTATTAAAAGGAAACGGAGGGTTATTGCTGCATGAAAGTGTGTGTTAAAAGGTTAAATTCACAAGTACAGTAGTATATATTTATGTACAGATGCAGCATCAACATTTTTTTCAAGTAGCTCAACTTGCCAAATTGACAGTAGTGTATTCGGTCACATTTTTTTCTTATCATAACATTTACAGTAATTAATAATTTTCTTCTCCTCAAAAATTCTTTCCTAATTTTGGGCAACAAAGTTTTGCATTCGAACGAGTCAAAGTTTGAGATCACTTGCCCGAAGGGCAAGTGAATCTGAAAGTTAATGTCTATCCCTGTATCACTAGTTAAGGATATGATCCATACCTGATCTCTCCATTGGGTGGTCTCTGAGTGGTGAAATGGACCGTGAGGTGGGTGACATAACAAGATAGGAATTGGTGTTCTCCACTGAATTAGGACTCCTTACCTCCAAGTGTCTGTAAGCAAATATATGAAACCTTATAAGGAAAACTAAAAAACCCATATGTATAACTGATATACAAACTACAGTTGTATCCAAGAACTCACGTTTAAGCTTAAAACTAAATACAGTAAAATATGCCTGTAACAAAGTGCCAGCAATGAATAATTATGATTTGTTATAAACATAATTCGTTTAGTATACCCTCAAGTTCATAATATGTTTTTAAACTAGGAGAAATTAGCTTCACTGTACTTTAGGGAGATTCTTGCTTTAAAGAGTACCCTGGTATAAAAGATTACATTGTCAATTATTTAAGTATTTACTTGACAATGGTTGAGTCAGGTCCTGGACTAGAGCCATACAATTCTGGACTTTTATATGTAAAACTGTCATGACGAGGTTTCTGCTGCTCCATTGAATTGGACAGGCCACGCTCACGGAAGGATTCAGATGGAGCCTTGTGGGAACTAAAATATATAGATCAAAGTGAAATTTAAGAAAGAGCAATATTAATTAAAGAGTAAAACACACATATAACAAAGTGCCAAAGACAGACAATATCGCTTCGTTATAAACATAATTCATTATAACCATTATGTTTATGATATATTTTTAAGCCACTTGGAATAAAAATTGAATAAAAATTACTTCTTAGTAAGCGTCAATTCTTTATAAGTGTGTTGGCTATGTGTTTTACTGTTCTAAAACTTCTCAAAGGATAATCATGAAATCTCAAAATTCACTCAAGAACTTTAACTACAAAGCATTTGCAATAAATAAATGGATATGTTTTGGTACCTGGTAGATGAACAAAAAAATCTTAATATTATGAATGATAATAAAAAAAATAGCTACAAAGTTTTAGTGTTTTCTATTAAATCTTTAGGGTACACATGTAGGAACAGTTACTTTAGTAGGAACAGTTACTTTAGACAGCTCTTGGGGATAAACATACATGCAAGCATGGCATACAACACAGACAACAAAATATCTGTTGATGTTACTGTGGATGATAATGATGTCATACTGATGGTATTGACTAACAGTGTCCAGATTATAAAACCAACTGATCATGTGGATAAAAGATCAATTAATTTAATGTCCTAAAGGTGCTTGGTATGTGACCTTTAAGTACGTCATATATAAGTACATAATAATTATTGTGTTTGCAGACATTGGAAATTCCAAATTATGACTGGTCAATCCCAGAGATCAACATTTCTCTCCTAAAGTACAATGATGCAAACAAACAGCATGAACAATCACTTTTCTAGCACCACATGTTTAAGAATTCTATCAAAAAAAAAAAGAAATTTTGTAACATCCTCATTTTATTTATCATTCAATTTGTTCAGAAATATTTAATTCCTGTGTTTGGCCAAAGTTATTGTACTATTCTGTCCTGCTGATTCTAAAATCTATTAAGCATTTTATCAATGAAATTAGAGATATGTCTAGTTATTAGATGTCAAGTACCTTATACTTGTGTAGAATATTTGGGGGGGGGGGGGGGGGGGGGGGGGCAAAAAAAACTACTGTATATGCCCCTGGCCATATTCATGGCAGGGCATGAAAATAGTATGCATGAGGTCTAGGGTGGGTGTTTTTTGTTTTGTTCTTTTTTAAACATGCCTATTTTATATATAGTTGTTTTTTTATTCTCAATTGTGTTCATTAATGAAAGCTTGAGAGAATAATATACTCCTGGGCCAGAAAATCGCCCTTCATTTTCATCAATATAGCAACTGCAAAATGCACAGCACTTTCAATTCTCACTTCCAGTCATAGAACAAAATCCAACCACATTACATATATTGCATAGAATTCAAATAAGAAAAAAAAAAATCTGTTCATTTTCTTCAAAAACATTTTAAGTGCATTTCATTACATAAAAGTTGTAGCAGATGTACACCAACAGTAGTGCTAAGGTTCACATAACACAATTTGTAAGTAAGAGGCCCAAGGGCCTTGACAGTCACCTGAGTATAATACAACACTGTAAAGGATCCACAGAAGTTTATTTTTATTTATCTATTATTTACATGTCTATCTAATCATTAAAAAGTATTGAATCAAAATTACATTATGTAACATCCATTAAAAATTCTTGTATAATTACTTTATTCAATTGACCTATAAATTACATTATTTACATTAATTATCATAGGTAAATAGCAAAGGGGGATTACTTCTCTCAGTAGTGTACATATTTCCCTACAAGATCAACAAAAAGTCTGTAAGCCAATGCTCACTAGTAATACCCCCGCTTTGATGTGAATATACATTCTGATGTGCATGTACACAAGTTCAGTTATGGACAAAGAGATGACAAAGATGAACAAGAAGTTAACATCAGATTCATACAAAAATGAATCCCACCATATTGCAGGCCTAAACAAAGAGTGTGCTAAAATTTCAAGCATCTGCAATCAGTAGTTGCTGAAAAAACTGCGACCAAAATTTTTTATGTATGGTATGGACAGATGCATGGATAAACAGGAAGTTGACATCAGATTTGTACAAAAATAAATCCCACCATATGGCATGCCTAAACAAAGAATGTGCTAAAATTTCAAGCATCTGCAATCAGTAGTTGCTGAGAAAACTGCGACCAAAATTTGTTTTGTATGGTATGGACAGATGCACGGAAAAACAGGAAGTTGACATCGGGTTTGTACAAGAATGAATCCCACCATATGGCATGCCTCAACAAAGTGTGTGCTAAAATTTCAAGCACCTGCGATGAGTAGTTGCTGAGAAAACTGTGACGAAAATTTGTTATGGACAGACAGACACACAGACACACAAGGGTAAAACAGTATACCCCCACTTTCCTTCGGAGAGGGGGTATAATAAAATCTGGTAAAAACCCCTTGCTCATTACAACCTTGTACTCTGAACCCTATAATTCAAGGAGCAGAAAAAAAGAGATTTTCAATGAAATAATGCATTTTCACTACATGAATCAATAGAGCCCTGCCCTTACAGAAGAACCCCTAACCCTGGGGCCATGAATTTCACAATTTTGTTAGAGGGCTCAGTGCTTATTACAATCATGGAAAAAGTCTGACTGCTTGATGCCACAGAGTAAAGAAGATTTTTGAAGGTTGCATTAATTTAACCCATGGGGGCAGGAACCATGAAATTTAAAATTTTTGTTCCCCTTCATCCATAGATGCTATATGCCAAAATTGGTTGAAATTGGTTAAGAGGTTCCAGAAAAGTAGCTAAAATGTTCATATGTTAATTAACACATGATGCATGACAGACGAAAACAAAAAGCAATAGGTCATCTGAGTGTCTCAGGTGACCTAAAAATGTTCCATTTTCATCGTTATCATTGACCCTGTCTTAAAAATCTAATGCTGTACTTGTCCAATAAAATTTAAAAAAAATTTCTCTTCAAATATTTCAAGCCAATGTGTAATTGTAACTAATGCTTTACTTGACCTTTGACCTCTGAGAATGACAGGGACTTTGCATGAGACTGCAACATCTTTTATTTTCAACTTGGCCAAAACATTAAGTTTATGTCAAGTCATGACAAAGTCAAGAAAACTTGGAACTGAGCAAAGATACTGAGAGACCCAAATGATAACATATCCCCCCCCCCCTTTTCCATCTCTGATTTCAGATTCCATACAATTCACTAACTCAACATGTAATATATATGTAAAAAATCAATAAAAAACTAGAACTGTCCAAAAGGGACAAATACCCCCCGCTGGGTTTTTCAGAGAAGGTACCAAATCACTAATGTTTTCTAGATGTGAGAGGTGTTCACAATTTGCTTAAACATTTAGAGTGAAAATTTAATTGCTCATTATATTTTTTTTAATGAATGAAACTAAGGTGCAGCCTAATAAAACATCAATACTAATAATTACGGTGTTTTTTATTACATTGAAAAAATAGTTCGCAACTATCTGTCATCTTTGTGAGACATGACACTCTGCAAATTGATTGTTGAAAAAAAATTTATCATAATTAATTATACAAAATCAAATTGATCTTAATACCTTTATATCAAACTCATTTTAAAAATAAAAGGCTGGTTCCAGTAACTATGTATTTTGACAGACATAAATTACAATTTAGAGACTTAGACAACAGAGATCTTTATTTCTTTCTGCCCAATTCCCCAGAGATATAGATAAGACCTGCTTGATCAGAGATGCCCTAACAGCTTCCCACACTGAACTCATTAATTAATCTTTAACTGGATGCATGTCCACTCATTACTCCCAAGGGACAAATGGATTTACACTATCTGCTGTGTAATGTAAAAACTGTTTTTAATACTTTGTGATTTTTTTTTAGTTCTAATGAGTTCTTTTAAGCTGTGGTTCACATTTTTGTACAGATGTTCTAGATTCTATGTCTCAAATCTTAGACATGAACCCAGAATGACTAAGTCAATAAAAATGAAAAAAAACAACTGTAAAATGCAGAAAAATTATCAAATAATGTTGAAAATACCAGGTGCACATCTTCATATAGTAAATAATAAGTGTACAAATTTTCATACAAATCTATGCAATAGTCTCTGGGAACAGATCCGGACAAAACCACATAATAACCAGAAGTCTCTGATGAGACTGTAGCTCTACTGGTTGTATTTATAAAGGAAGATAAAAGTAGCACTTGGACTTGAAACTTTGCAACAGCAATAAATAGAATAATGATCCTTGGTTTAGTCTCTTTTTGGCAAGATTTATTATTATATCAGACTAAAACTGTAGGAGGAGTAGCCTTTTAAAACAATTTTACTGAAATTTTGATTTAAGTAACCATGGCAACATCATTCAACAAAATCAAAAAACAATAACACCAATTATGTATCTCTGTAGTCTACTTGTATGCCACATTATTCTGAAATCAGACAAAAAGTGTAAGAGGAGTAGCGTTTTGAAAGTATTTCAAGAAAATTTCTATTTTTAGTAACCATGGCAACACCATTCATCAAAATCCGAAACTGGTACAGAGAATTATGTATCTTAGTGTAGTTTACTTGTATGCTAAGTAATACTAAAATCAGACCAAAACTGTAGGGGTAGCATTTTGAAGGTATTCAAGGAAATTTCTATTTTTAGTAACTATGGCAACAGTGTTCATCGAAATCAAAAACTGATGAACAGAATTATGTATCTTAGTGTAGTCTACTTGTTTGCCAAGTTATATTGAAATCAGACCAAAACTGTAAGAGGAGTAGCATTTTGAAAGTATTTCACAGAAATTTCTATTTTTAGTTACCATGGCAACGTCGTTCATTGAAATCAAAAACCGATAGTCAGAATTATGTATCTTATTATAGTCTACTTGTGTGCCAAGTTATATTGAAATCAGATCAAAACTGTAGGAGGAGTAGCATTTTGAAAGTATTTCACAGAAATTTCTATTTTTAGTAACCATGGCAACACCGTTCATCGAAATCAAAAACTGATACACAGAATTATGCATCTTAGTATAGTCTACTCGTGTGCCAAGTTATACTGAAATCAGATCAAAACTGTAGGAGGAGTAGCATTTTGAATGTTTTTCACAGAAATTTCTATTTTTAGTAACCATGGCAACACCGTTCATCTAAATCAAAAACCCATACACAGAATTATGTATCTTAGCGTAGTCTACTTGTGTGCCAAGTTATATTGAAATCAGACCAAAACTGTAGGAGGAGTAGCATTTTGAAAAATTGTTTACAGACGGACAGACAGACAGACAGACAGACGGACGGACGACGGACACATTACTATCGCATAAGCTCTTCTGGTCTCTGACCAGTAGAGCTAAAAATGAAAAAAAAACACCTGTAAAATGCAAAAAAATTATCCAATCATGATGAAAATACCAGGTGCACACCTTCATATGGCGAATAATAAGTGTACAAATTTTCAGACAAATCCTTGCAACAGTTTCCAAGAAATGGTCCGGACAAAATCTCGTCTACAGACAGACAGACAGACAGACGGACAGACAGACGGACAAGCTGATTCCAATATACCCCCCCTAAACTTCGTTTGCGGGGGGTATAAAAAATACCTGTAGCAAAATGCATAAATTAAATACATAAGTTTATGTGACTGTATGTTTTGTTAAATGAATTATGACATATATATATATAATAATATATATCTGAAAATCATGAAAGAAGACATAATATTGACACACCCTATTGCCTCAGGACAAAACTAAACATATTGGACAATACACTTTACAACATAACAAGTTAATCTTATAGACAGACATTTATGTCATCTCTTTTTTGCACAGATTCACACTAAATCAAATCAAATACCAATTTTGAGCAATGTAATCTACATCAACATAATGACAGTGAAGTGTTAGCCTTAAATCCTTTAAAAAGCCAGCGATTCTTACTTCAGCAGAGTGTATGTGAGTTTTGTGTGTGTGAGATGGTGCGTGTTTATGTATTCAACCAGTTTAGATAAGAACATGCACACTATATGTATATACACCTATATACACACCTGGCAGGACTTGTACTGATCTGGGGCATTGAGTTAACTTCAGGGGGCAGGGCACTGCCAGGACGAGGTACTTTTTTCTTCTTATTTCTAAGTGAACTATCGAAAGAAATTCAAACAAACATTACATACATGCAAAAAGTGATACAAATGGTTTGAGAGATTAGAAATTGTTCAAATTAGACATGATGCAAAATTAAAACAAAAGACACATTGGCCTTTTAATGGTCAAAAGTGTTTTAAAGCAAAAAATATCAATTTTTAGCTTTAAAAGCAACAGCTCAAAGCAACTCTCTTAGGAGCATGGATATCAGCTAATGTGCATGTACTTTTAAATCAGATAGTTGTTCTTAAACACATTGTTCATGCAAGAACCTCCTAAACAAAAATCTTTTTTTTTAACAAATCTATCAATAAATATGCTGTTGATTAGCTCAGAGCTCCTTCACTTAGATCTCCCAAACAAACCTCTCCCCCCTTCTTTCTCCCTTACAATTCACTAAATTCATCACTTACCCTTGACCTTGACTGCCCTCTCGGCTGCGACTTTCATGAGTCTCCATCTCTGCATCTCGAAGACGACCAGAAGAACTTGTGTTACTGCGAGAGCGAAAAGGCTCTCTCATTGCACTGCAAAATTACGTTATGTAGCATAAGAATTTGGCATAATTTTTCCATTCTACAACACAACAGTACAGTAAAATAGTAATATTGCTATTAGCATCATTGAAAATATAAAGCATCTTTAAGTATAAATTTCCTTCCAGTTGTGATTCCTCCTTCTTAGACACCAGTCCTTAGGCTTCATTAAAACCAAGTTTTCTTATGTTGGAAGCTTTGTGTGCATGTTAGAAAATGGAAATGTATGTATGAAAGGTTTTAAAACTCTGGCCTATGGCTCAAGTGAGCTCAAAATGGCAAGAAAACTGAAATAAAAAAAAAATGCCCCCTCCCCCACAAATATCATAAGCATAAGATTTTTCATGGTAATACAGCATATGGAACTCGATCATTGAAAAACTCTATGGCTTTATATCATGGAATCCCAGTTTTTTTAACACTAAAATTTAATCAATTTTCAAATGAAGAAGTCAATTACAGTCAAACCTCTCAATTCTAAAGGAATATGTGCATAGGACTTCCAAATCACTTTGACATATCCATGGTATTCGATATATTGGTGCTCAAGATACCATAGTTCAACTGTATTATAAAACTAATTAACACATAACAGCTAGTGTTTACACTATCTAAGAAAAAAAAAGAGTCATTATAATGATTATGAGCATTTAAAATAACTTATGAGGGTCAAGGAAAATTTTAGAAGGTCAAAATGCACTATGGTTTTGCTTTTGATAGATCATGATAGATAGCTTTGTTTTCTAAGTCAACCAAGCTAGTGGTCGAGCCACTCTTGTCTAAACTTTCTGTATATAAATTATAACTGGTGTTGTTGGAACCAAGACCAGATTCATTGTGGTTCTTGTCAAGAACTTCAGCTTTGATGCCGTTTTTATTACCATCTCCACACCAGCCTTTTTGCCAAAGGCAAACTTACAAGATAATGACCTGTCTTTTTATTTGGGCTTCTGGTTTTATTTGGGGTATTGCATAGGTCGTTCGAAAATGTTATTAGCTCTGGCGGGATTTTTAAATTTTTTTCATTTCTTTATTTACTTTTTTTGTAGCATTATTTTGACACTGAGATTTATTTTTTCATGCACATTTACATTGGTATTTCTATAACTGTCTCCTCTCTTGACTAAGTTTATGGTGCCATATTATTGTGATAATCACATACATTTGTCATTTTTATATTTAATACATGTACATGAAATAAATGATAATGACAAGCACTCCAAACATAATACAATTATTTTTTTTTTTAAGAAATTGCAAAGACCAGGCTAGTATTGTTAATTCAAGTATCTTTTAAGTAACAGGTTCAAACGGTCACTAAATAAGTAAATGGAAAGTCAATACTGATACACAGCACAGATCAAACAATGTGATATATAGGGCTGGGACGATATATCGAGATATCGATAATATCGATTCAATGTGAAGATGATATGCATATCGATACATATGAAGAAATATCGAATATCGCAAAAAAAATTCTGACTTATGTTTTTCTCTGTTTTCTTAACATTTTGGGTTAAATATATAAAATAAATATGCAAAATATAAATATGAAATACATAATAATTAATACCACTTGGGTAAAATGATTTTGTTTTACAACAGATATAACACTTCTTTGAATAAATTATTCTTATTTGTGAAGAAATGTTTCGTTCATTTCACTATAAAAATTTTTTATAACCAAATCAACATATCGTGATACATATCGTATCGTGGTTCAAATATCGTGATACGTATTGATATACAAAAAGCTGTATCGTCCCAGCCCTAGTGACATATCATTTTCTTATTTCCTATGTAGCTTGTAACACGAGCTTTGATTGGTTACAAAGTCGGGTGTAAATTTCCGTACACCCGACTTGAGCTGGGGGTAAAAAACGTGATGTCACAATGCATAGTTTCTCTATGATAAAAAAGCAAATAACGTCACGACTTGTTTACAAAGAATTTATTTGGGTACATAGGAAATAAATTTGTTATCCAGGTCCAATCAAGGGTGTACGGGGATTTACCCTGCACTGGCCGGGGTTGTATTCCATACACCCTTCGGCCTCTGGGTGTATTATATAAAACCCGGGGTAAATCCCTGTACACCTTTGATTGGACCTGGATAACTAATAATATTCATGGTTGTGACATCACAATGGTTTTTGCATGAACTTGATCAAGTAAATTGTTATACTTTCATGTTAAATAGTCAAATTTGATTTGTTTAAAAAAAATTGTTAAATAGTAATAATGCCCTACCATGTGCATAAACTACATCCTACAGTTAACATTACATAGTAATGGTTGAAAATGCTCACCAAGGCTCGGGGATAAAAACAAACAACTAGCTGGATAAAAAATCATATCCAATCCCAAACCATGGGAGATCTTATATTTATGGCACATAATCATGGTAATAAGGTTCATTTCTGGGATATTGTACCCAAATGTGTAAATCCATGGAAATATATACCTAGTATGTAAAGGAGTACACAATATCTGTTCTAATCATAGCAATTGGTGGAAACAAGCTCATTCATTAACAATTACCTTTTCCCCTCAGCCACATACAAGAAATCAATTTGTAACAGCAATTTAAGTTGGAACAAAGACTATTAACCTAGTATGTCTGAATAGTATTTAAGAGGATGTTATTGCTATTTCAAATGCATTGGTAACATAAATTTTATTTCAGTCATGGAGTGGAATATAAAATCAGCTAGCATAATGCACCTATTCATCATCTGAGAGTGAAAAGCACTAAATACAACCTCCTCCTATCAGAGCAACAACTATTGCATTTGTCTCCCACTTATCACCTACACAGATGTCATCACCACTTGTCCATGACAACACACAAGGACTGGTATCTCATCAGAAAATCAAATCGTTTTTAGTAATAGAGTAATTGACAAACACAAATCACAACCCTAAAAATTAATTCCATTTTCTATAGACTTATATGGTATACAATAACATAGTACCATATTCTCCCTATAAACTGTTTCACCATAACTGAGATACTGCAGGGCAAAATAATATACCGGTAGTTTGGTGAAAAATGACATAAAAGCAATTGTTTGATATACCGGTATGGTCATTTTTAAAATCATTTGTCAATAAAAAATTTGCCAAACAATATTTTGGCCTGCAAAAGAGTAGTACCGCAGTTATCATGAAAGGGCTAATTAAGCATCCCCGGGCTAGAGAATTTTCTGACTGTCTGAGAATAAGAGCTCCCCTTCATTCACTTACTGTCTCATCAGAGTTTTCCAAATCCATAAGATTTACATGCAAAACCAAAGAAGATTGGAATATGTTCTATGATATTGACCATGTCATTGATCTGTGTAAGCAGAAAAGAGTGACTGACAGTCTTGAACAATTTATTTTACCCACAAAACTTTTGAAGGATAGAGTTAGGGCATAAACTTACTGTAAACCAATTACTATTCGCAACTCTTTTATTTGCGATTCTTCAGTTTGGAATCCATCCGCGACTACTAATTTTCGCGACCGATGCAACATTCTACATAAATACATGGGCAAATAATGGTTTGCAACAATAAATATTTGCGAGTAAAAAAGGGTCGCGAAACTTGCGGAAATTTCTTGCTCAAGAATAAAAGTTGGTTTACAGTAATTAACTTTTGACACAATTTCAACATGACTACCAAAAACTGTCGCCTCTTTGCAATTGTCTAAGCTCCAGGAAGCTTAGTACAGAGAATACGGTTCTAAATTAATGTCCAAGTTACCTCTCCATTCCTTAAAAGAATGGAGCTGAGGCCCCAATTAGGGCCCATTGCTTTTGAGGAATGGGGAGATAGGAGGATACTGACCTACTTAAAATCCACTTTTTTAAATGTTTGTAATTATCTTTGTCTATATATGATACAGACCTGTTTTAAGATTATTTAGAGAATGAAACAGGTCCTCTATCTCCACCCCCAAACTTGTACCTACAATAGAGAACCTGTCCAGTTCTCTAAATGATTTGTGACACAATTCAATCAAAATAAGCAACTCCCACTTTTAACTGTGCAACATCTGCAGTATATATAGATCTGGGGACAACGTAAGAGTCAGTCAGATCATATATGACAATGGGGTAGCCACATGTTGAACTGAGCTCTCTTGATTTCTCAACGGTGGATGATTTAACCTAATAATGTGACATTAAAGAGACTGATGCTGATTGATACATTTGAGGAGTTTCAAAATCTAAGTTAACCTAGATACAAATACTGGTGATACAGACAGCTCTTCTATGGACTTTGATGTTACAATTTTTTTTTTAATTTTAATGCAACAATAAGTGAAGTAAAGAAGATTTGGGTTAATTGCCAGGAGATGAGACTTTAAGAGTTTTTAAAAATCAGAACACTAAATCCAATAAAAATTACATCAGTCTTGGTAGGCTGGTAAGCAGAGTACCCACTTAGATGGAGAAGGCCCTAGATTTGAAAACCAGCATCACCACACAGTTTTCTTATTAAAACATAACTACCACGTAACTTTATAACATTTTCTGCACCTTAGCACCAATAGAGGTACAAGTGGATTTTAATTAGATTGATGTCAAGTTTACTCATATATACCATGAACGCACCTCTGATGATTTTTTGATGAAATCCTTGAAGTCTGTCACTTGAAGGGAGTGTAATACTTAAACATGGTCAATCAGTAAAGGGTCATTACAAAGCTATTGTTCTTTTGTAACACTTAAAAAAACTCAAATTCCTATATCTTTTTTAATTTTCAATACACACAAGGCTTACCATTTGTGTCACACAAGGCTGACCATTTGTGTGATGACAATTTAAAAGTTAATTAACATCAGTAATTAGTACACATTATGGAACCTTTTTCTCCCTTTACTAAAATTCTTCAAAACAGTCTGTACGTTATTACTGCACAAAACACTCACAAAACAATATTACACAGCACAACATGATGTCATAATAGGCGCTGTACGGGAGTGATGAAACTTATATCGGGGAGAAACAATTTCACAAACCATAGACACCTGAATATATAATTATGTCATCGGTGGGGTAAATCTGTTGTGTAGTTTTGTAGTGACTGGCTATGGGGTGATACCTGGTTAGTAAATATCATACCTGACTCACCACTTTTGACTCCACATGAGCTAAAAACTCAGATTTCATACTGATATCTCTACTGAGTGATTTTATCAGAATTTAATAATGATTGGTCTATAGACAGCAAATCTTATAAAGAAACTCTACAATAATTCACTGTGTGATGATTTACTCACCTCAGTAGCACCTCGTGCATGCTCTGTGCTATATATGCATCATCCACCTGCATCCAGAGCTCCCCTGAACCTGTTGGAGAATGGCGGCCAAGCTCCATGAAGAAAAATGCCTCTTTATGGCCACATCTCCTTATGTTCATCATCTAAAAAATTAACCAACTGTAGACTAAAGAGGTAGATTTTGAAATCATAAACAGGGTAAATCTTCAGTTTTGTTTGAATTATGGAATGTCACACATTATATATATATATGTACGAGAGAGGGATATCAAAAAATGGTGAAAGAATAGAAAATGTCCACATTGTCAAAGGAAATACACATGACAAAATAGTCATGTAAGGTTGAACACTATTTAACTAACTTAACATTTAGCCTTTTCCTTTTCTTACCTCCCCCCCCCCCCCCCCCCCCAGCTTTTATACACTGTATATATAGTTCTTGAATTTGAAGCACTTAACATCTGGTTCACTGATGTTTTAATTATTAACTAGATATCATTGAGATGGTGCCATCTCAAAGGGCCCTGCTTTTAGCAACAAACAGGAAAATGTAAGGTAGCCTATTTTTTACCTTGACCTAGAAACTTTGTTCAAGTTCACTGCACATCCATTGACCAGTGGCACTCTGTGAGTGAAGTATGAGCCACATTGGACCAAGGGGAGAGAAGATATGCTCCAGACAAGGATTTTTCATATAATTCTGCTATGACCTTAACCTTAGACTTAGACACATGGTTCAAGGTCACTGCACACCCTTTACCCAAAGGCACTCTGTGGGTGAAGTATGAGCCAGATTGGGCCAAGGAGAGAGAAAATATTTTTGACCTTGACCCGTGACCTAGAAACTTCATTCAAGGTCACTGCACATCCACTGACTAGTGGCACTCTGTGAGTGAAGTCAATGAGCCACATTGGACCAAGGGGAGAGAAGATATGCTCCGGACAAGGATTTTTCATATTATTCTGCTATGACCTTAACCTTAGACCTAGAAACATGGTTCAACGTCACTGTACACCCTTTACCCAAAGGAACTCTGTGGGTGAAGTAGGAGCCAGATTGGGCCAAGGAGAGAGGAAATATGCTACGAACAAGAATTTAAACAGAGAGGCTATTTTTGACCTTGACCTTGAAACTTCATTCAAGGTCACTGCACATCCATTGACCAGTTGCACTCTGTGAGTGAAGTGTGAGCCACATTGGACCAAGGGGAGAGAAGATATGCTCCGGACAAGGATTTTTCATATAATTCTGCTATGACCTTAACCTTAGACCTAGAAACATGGTTCAAGGTCACTGCACACCCTTTATCCAAAGACGCTCTGTGGGTGAAGTAGGAGCCAGATTGGGCCAAGGAGAGAGAAGATATGCTCCGGGCAAGAGAACGTCGGATGGACAGACTGATCACTATAGGGTGCCCACAGAGCGGGGCCCTAATAAACACCTTTTATCTTAGAAAAATGACTTTACAAATCAGACAAAATCTGGAAATGATAAAGCAGCAATTTCAGACTACTCACCTGGATTTCAAAGTCCACTTTATTGGAATTATTCCTGACAAAACAGACTGTATCCTTAAGACAAAAGCGGTAGCCCCCACACAAGTGCTTGCTTACTCCAAGTCCCTTAGGTTTTATTTCCACTTGCCATATATAATCTGAAGTCAAAGGAAAGATACATGTATTATATAACACAATATAAGGATCTGTTGATGTAGTGAAGAAAAGAAGGGAGAAAGGAAGGAAGATATATCTATTTTTTTTTGGGGGGGGGAGGAGGAGGAGGGGGAGGGAGGCATTTCATAAAGATTCCAGTGGTAATTCTTACACCTTTACTTAAATTTTTTTCTAAATTTTACATGTATAACAATTCATGTAAATCTGATGTCTTATTTTTTGTGCAAAACTATAGATTTCTATACAACTGAGCTGGCCGGTATTAAAGGTGAGGTCAGCCATACATTATAAATGAAATAACTGCAGTGGGTATTTTTCACTTAATAAAACAACAACAATTTTAAGATGATTTACTCTTACCTTCTTAAACATTTCTTTTTCAATTCTAATAAAGCCATGATCAACAAAAATAAACACTTTCAAACACCAATTATAACCATATGTAGAGGATAGAAAAGTACAAATGACTTCATCAAGTCACGTGAAGGAAACTAAAATCTGAGACAGATAATGAAATAATTACATCTATAACTTACTGGTAAATCATCAAATATTAAAAGATAAAATGATTCTTATTATCCTCTGACAGACAAAAATCAAATTCATTTACAACTGACAGACAAAAATCAAATTCATTTACAACAATTTAATAATAATTAACATTAAGACCTTTTTTTTATTTAAAACCGGCTGCTCATTTTTTTGAATTTTTAGGAAAAAGATAAAATTGAGAAAAACATAAGTAAAGGTAGATCAAGATGCATGGCTTGGCAGCAAGTTGGCTTAGTGTAAAATTTATCAATGGGAGTGCTGTACAAAAAGTTTTCGCCCGTTCAAAGGACAACCAACATGCTGGCAACTTTGTTGTACAATGGCATGTTGGTGAGATAATTATGTATCTGTAACCAAATGTACCTGCATATATATTAATTTCATCTCACAGGTTAAAAACTGCCCATGTTAGTTAGAGACTTCTTCATGTCATTCCTATTGCTTACAGGCTAACTAACATTCATTAGAAAAAGATCACCTATGCATAACTTAAAATGTAATAATGAGTAAACCTATGGAAGAAATAAAGCCTATTTGGAAAATAAACAATAGCAAAAAAACAAGATGTGTTTGTGAAACACTATGCACCCGGTGGCAACAAAGTTCAAAAAAGCTATTTTTAGCGTATAGGTCACAGTGAAGGTCACAAGGTCATTGACCTTGGTGTCATTTGAAAGAACTTAATTAGTGGAGTATGCATATCAAATATGAAGTCTCTATCTCCTATGGTTCAAAAGTTATGGTGAAGGTTAAAGTTGACAACAGACAGACAAACAGACAGACAGGACAAAAACAATATGCGCCCCCGAACTATCGATCCAGGTGCATAAAAAAAAATGAAATACTTCAACTACTAAAGAAAACACGTCCCTGCCTATTATTTGCTAGGAATATCTAATTCAGGTTTCAAGTAATATTTTAAGAACAAATTTAACACTCACTCAACATATATTTTCAAAAAATTCAGATATATTGAAGGAGTGAAGAAAATTTACATTGTTGAAAATCATATATTTTGACCAACATCTCAAATTTATATCACTGGCCTCAACTGGCAGATGATAAAAGAACTGCGAACGATAGTATTGTTCTCCCGCCTACCTCCAAGTCAATTTTCAAAAGTTAACACATTTGAATGATTTTTCATATCTATATAGATATTTATATGAATTTTTATAAAACATTACTTCTTTGGGAAAACAAAGAGAGATAACTCTATAATTTTGGTAAAACTTGTGTTTTTCACTATAGAAATCAACGGAAAATATTTTCAAAACATCCCCCCCAACTGGCTCCTTATCAAAAAAAAAAAGTCGCCAATGCATATTTTTAGTCACCGGGTAAATTTTTCTTAGGCACCAATTTAAAAACTGATACTAGTCAATATTATATAGAGACATGTCCATTGCTAACTTTTAAACTTCTTTTCTGCTCTTCATAAAAAAAAAATGAAAATGTTTATGGACCATGGAATTAGCTCTTATCTTATGGTCTCTGACCAGTACAGCTAAAAGGAAAAAATCAATGAATTTATATTAAAATGTTTACCAGTCATACTGACTGTTAGATAAAATGTCAAGGGGAGCCCTGGGATTTAAGACATTAATGGACTGATGGGGATCCACTACTACAACTCAAAATTCCTCACTGTCTATACTGAATGCAGAAAATTGTTCTTTACATTATTCCCAAACTTCTCTTAAAGCTATCCTACTGCAATATTATAACACATACAGAGGCATCATTTAGTCATTTTTGTAATTATCTGTAAATTAAGCTTTTAATAACAATGAACAATTCAGACTCATTTGATAAACAAGAGGACCATGGGCCACATTGCTCACCTAAGCACTTTGGCTAGGAGTTCAGTATTTTATGAGTGGTATCAACCTATCTCTAAGGGGAGGGGGACATAATTTGAACAAACTTGAATCTACACTAACTTGAAGGATACTACCATATTTCTTTGACAAATCATGGCTTTAGAAGTTTTTAAAGAGATTTTTTCCTTGAAGTTTTATCTTCTATTGTGGCCCCAATCTACCCCCAGGGGTCATAATTTGAACAAACTTGAATTTAAACTATCTGAGGATGCTTCCATATAAATATGACCAATTATGGCTTTGCTGATCTTGAGAAGAAGATTTTTAAAGATTTTTCCTGTGTATATCTATGTAAATCTTTGATCGTCCATTGTGACCCCACCTATACCCGAGGGTCATGATTTGAACAAACTTGAATCTACACTACCTGACGTAGCTTCCATATAAATATGACCATTCCTGCCTCTGCTCAGTGCTGTTCTTGAGAAGAAGAATTTTAAAGATTTTTCCTATGTATTCCTGTGTAAAACTTCTATAGTTCATTGTGGCCCCACCCTATCCCCTGGGGTCATGATTGAACAAACATGAATCAACTCTACCTGAGGATGTTTCCACAAGTTTCATCTTTCCTGGCACAGTGGTTCTGGAGAAGAAGGTTTTTCCTATGTATTCCTATGTAAAATTGTGATCATCCATTGTGGCCCCACCCTACCCCTGGGCATCATAATTTGGACAAATATAATTCTACACTACTTGAGATTGCTTCCATATAAATATGACCAATCATTGGTTAGTGGTTCTTGTAAGGGTGCAACGATAAACCGTTTGACGGTATATCCCGGTATATTTTTCAAAGGTTCAATTCACAATACGCTAAACTGATATCGCGGTTCGGTTCAATCGGTCAAGAATTATCCGAATCGTCCGTTTTGTTTCCTTTTTTACAATTTCAAAATGGCTTCCGCGCAAAACGTGAGGTCGCCGATAATGCATTAACGGAAGTTAAACTCATCTCCAGCATCTTACAGACCTCAGATTTAACACGGAGAAGGACGTAATGTGATTAAAAGTTATAGATGTTAAGACAAATGATAAACCCTTTAGATCGTAACGTATTCTTTGGTAGTACACGATATTTCATCACATGTGTATTTTGATGAAAATTCACTGTCTTGTTAACTAAAACGTGTTAACACGAGGAATATGACAACTGGTTTTCTACGTAAATAAAAGAATGAATGTCTTCCTTTTTCATTCCAATTTAAAAGGAAGATTATTAGGAAAGGTCCCCGTAATTCCCTGTAAATGTTCATCATTGGTTTAGAATATTGTCAAAACTCAAAGATCTACCTAACAATCCAATTCAAGTTAACAAAATTTTATTTTAATTATTATTAAAAAATATGAACATTTTATGTAACCCTGTCAAGTTTTAAAAAAATACGATGACAAACTTGAAAGACTTTAACCTTGTCATGTATCGTGATACGTATCGTGTCGTGAACTGAATACCGTGATACATATCGTATCGTGAGGTTAGTGTATCATTGCACCCCTAGGTTCTTGAGATGAAGATTTTTCAAGATTTTTGTATGTAAAATTGTGATCATCCATTGTGGCCCCACCCTACCCCCGGGAATCATGATTTGGACAAATATAATTCTACACTACTTGAGGATGCTTCCATATAAATATGACCAATCATTGCTTAGTGGTTCTTGAGAAGAAGATTTTTCAAGATTTTTGTATGTATTCCTTTGTAATTCTCTGATCATTCATTGTGGCCCCACTCTAAAGATTTTTTTTTAAGTATTGCCATGTAAATCTTTGATCATCCATTGTGGCCCCACCCTATCCCCTGGGGTTATGATTTGAACAAACTTTTATCTACACTACCTGAGGATTTTTCCATATAAAAATGACCAATCATGGATTTGCTTTTCTTGAGAAGAAGATTTTTAAAGATTTCTCCTATGCACTGAACGGTAAATCTTTGATCATCCATTGTGGCCCCATCCTACCCTGGGGGTCACGATTTGAACAAATTTGAATCTACACTACCTGAGGTTACTTCCAAATAAATATGACCAATCATGGCTTTGCTGTTCTTGAGAAGAAGATTTTCAAAGATTTTTCCTCTGTATTCCTACGTAAAACTTTGATTGTCCATTGTGGCCCTGCCCTACCCCGGGCGGTCTTGATTTGAACATACTTAAAACTACACACTACCGGAGGATGTGTCCACATAAGTTTCAGTGGTTCTTGAGAAGAAAATGTTAAAAGTTTACAGATGGACAGACAGCTAGATGGATGATGGACAAAATGTGATCAGAAAAGCTCACTTGAGCTTTCAGCTCAGGTGAGCGAATAATCCAGTGTATGCTAATGAGTGATTGCCTAAAGGATTGTCCATGCACACTCTAATCTAACCCTGGATAATCCAGCAATCAATGCTGTTGATCATGTCACATTTTTTTACAACTTGTAAAGTGTTAAAGTACTAGTGAAAAAAAATTCAAAAATGATATATCTCTAATACATTTGGTATTTAAACACAATTAACCAAGTCTATAAAATGATTTAAACAGTTGAAAAAAAAAACACCTGTTAAGATATTTTTGGCTGTGCCTCATAGAAAATCTTGTTGATCAAAAGAAAAGTATATAAATTATTTATGCAGATTTTTTTTTTTGGTTGCTTTTTTATTATTATTTTTTTTAATTTTATTTTTCTATGGTGTAACATGCTTGATCTGGTTGACAGACTTTATAGGTCACAACCAAATAAACAAAATTTGATAAACAAAACTTTACAAAAACACTTGTGCACCTGTACTTGAAAATGTTTACCCAGGGTTTGACATTAATGGTTGTCCAATTGCCTGGGGAAAGTAAATTCTCAGTTTGAGGAAGTGTTATTTCTGAAAGCAAAGAATCATATGTCTTTATCTTACATTGATTTAGTTAATAAATAAAACAATAAATTGAACACTTAATTAATTTAGTTTATCAATAAAACACTTGATTTCCACTAGGAACACGAACATTACTGATATTGTTTTTGCATTCAGAATCCCTCAGTAGCATTTCTAGATCATACTGTTCATTCAACCAGAAGTCTCTGAAGAGACTGTAGCTCTATTGGTTTATGCTTAAAAAGTAGGATTTGGGCATCAAACTATGGAACAGCAACAAACAATATAATGATCCTTGCAGTGATTTTTCTACATTTTTTAAAAGGGGCCTGGGCCTTTACAATTGGGAAAAATCATCGACTTTTGTGCCAACTTGGGAAAAATCAATAAGATTATTAGTTAACTTTAATTTACAGGTAAAGTGATATATACAAGTAATTTTAACACCATTTATTCAATTTATTGCTGATAAAATAACAAATTAGAAACAGTTCTACATGTACATTAAATTTTATAACTTTCTTTTTTTTAATCTTTGAATTTGTCAATGATTGTCTTTATTTTTCATCATGGTTTTATTTTGGGAAAAAAGCAAATTAAATTGGGAAAAACTTGGTAATTTTTGACAGGGGAAAGGGCCAATATTCGGACCTAAATTTGGTGTAGAAAAATTACTGCCTTGGTTTAATTTTTTTTTCAGAGGCAAGTGTTATTGCAATCGGACTAAAATGTAGAAAGAATTTCACAGACATTTCTATTTTTAGTAACCATGGCAACACTGTTCTTAAAAATCCAAAACCAATACGTAGAAATTTTATTTATTCCAGTGCAGTCTTTTTGTGTTCAGATCTTTATTGAAATCAGATCAAAACCGTACAAGGAGAATCATTTTTGAAAGAATTTCATAGAAATTTAAAACTACATGTACTTTTATTAGTAACCATAGAACACTGTTCATCAAAATAAAAATTAAATATCAAGAATTATGTATGTTAGTGTAGTCTACTTGTGTACCAAGTTTTATTAGACCAAAACTGAAGGAAGAGTAGCATTTACCAGAATTTCACAGAAATTTCTATTCCTTGTAACCATAGTAACACTGTTCATGGAAATTAAAAACCAATAAAAAGAATTCTGTATGTTAGTGTAGTCTATTTGTGAACCAGTTTTTTTTAACTGTAGGAAAAGTAGCATTTTGAAAGAATTTCCCAGAATTAGGGGTATGTATTTTATGGTTGCTTTTAGCGAGTATTTCTACTTCATTTTCAACCCTGCCCATCTTTCTTTACAGTTGCTTAACAGACATCTCTGTTAAAAGTTTTTCAGGGAGAAAGAAAATCAAATACACAAAAGGATCCCACTGGAAATAATTTTGAAAGATATTAATTTTATTTGAAATGGGGGGGGGGGGGGATTACAGATTTAATTGACAAGGTTCAAGGTTAGTGGAATACATGCATGTACAAAAATAGCATCAATGGCACATCAACATTTTTTTCTAGCAGCTCAAACTGCCGAAGAGACAGTATTTGGTCAAACTTTTTCTTATCCTCCCAACATTTACAACTATATATTACAAATTCTTCTTTAATTTAGGAACTGCTCATTTCTCAGTCAGGCTGTTGCTGAGTAATTGGGTGAGAATGGTGATTTTACAAAAGGAGGGTTTGACGTGAGCTGAGCATATATATAGAGTCAAAACTCGTTATCTCAAACTCAAGGGGACCAAGAAAAAAAATTTGAGATATCTGAGGATTCGAGATATCGAGGGTAAAATACTTAAAAGAATAAGTGGTTGGGACTTCCAAATCACTTCAACATATCCATGGTATTCAAGATATCAGTGTTCAAGATAGCAAAGTTTAACTGTATATAACATGCAATGAAAGTTAGCTGTGAAATGTGAAGTTTATTTCTAAGGTGTGTGTTTTGCTGTGAGAGAAGGTATGAATCATGTTAGGGTATAGCTACCGTAGTGGGGAAATGGCTGTTGATCATCTGTCAGGTATTCATATTGATGCTCCAGTAACAAATCCAGCCAGACCTGCATCTCCCCAGAATCTTTTACTATCACAGCAAAACACTCATCCACCAAATACAGAGCAATGCAGTTCTTCTGGCGAGTGTCTGACTTTTTGTTGATATTAAAGCAGTGATGAAGAAATATCTGTCGTTTCGGAAGTTGTCCAGCTTTGAACTTTTTCTCCGAGTCATGGTACTCCAACCTTGCTGGGCCACTACTACTGGTGGAGCGTAACACAAAAAACTTATCCTTCTTTGTCTGAAAACACAACAAATAAAAAAATACTCTATTTTTACACAACTTTATGTATGAAATATCTTACATGCAATAGATGTTAAAATAACACAAGATTATCCTGTGAAGACGTGTAGTAGTATACAACGTATTTTTAATGCATTTGTACCTTTAATTTCTTCAGATATCCTGTTTTTAGTATATCTGACCCTGGCAGCTCAAATGCCATAAGAGACCATCTGTTAGAGCTGGCACGACTGATGTTGTCATCCTCGGAATCGAAATGCTCCATCATTTCGTCAACCTGACAGCTGATTTTTCAAGTTACGAAAAGCATCATGCTACTTGGCCTCTAAATTACAACACCATGGGACAAACCATGTTCAAAAATATCTTCAAGATCATCCACATAAGTCTTGCAGTTCAGTTATACCGTGTACATCCATTCCTAAAAAGTTGTTTACAACCAAATTTGCATGGGTGTTAAACTGGGACTGCGTGGCAGTATGCGCCAAACGTTGGTCTTCTGCTTTAAAGCTAATACTTTGTCACTGTACCTCGGTTCAACGATATTTGAGTCTAAAACCAACATTTCCGTGTCTTATTTAAGTCAATTGACGAGTAATCTATTGATTTCATATGTTTGTCAAGGACAAGAAATATTACAGTAGCCATATCTGTCACGTGACTCGAAAATTGCTAGAAAAATTTTGTAAACAAAATCTGCGCATGCGTAAAACTTGTTAACTCGTGCGTCGACAAATCTCTCTCTAGTACAAAAATTTCATATCTTTAATACTGAATATTTTTATTTCTAATTTAGAGCCTAAAATTAGACAGATATGATAGTATAACAAAATAGAGTAATGACATTGCTCATTTTAACGATGATCTTATGACAACACTATTTCAGATTAAAAAGAATACAATGTATAAAAGTACATATGACTACTATATAACGTGTTATCCTTTATAAATTTGCCTACAAAATTAAGAATTTCTTTGTCTTCAGTATTGAGTAACCCCAAAAAATTTTGTTTATTATCTAACAAGTCTATAAGATGAAAAAATTGGACAGTTTTTAATGAATTGAAATATTTCTTTTCTTTTGGTGATCATATTTTTCACGTTATCAAAAAATGTGTTTCATCATGTATACTGTTAGATATTACAACTGATACATGAGCGATCTTTTCTAGGGATGTTGGTAAACCTCAGTACATAATTAAATTTGCAACCTGTGACAGGCCTGAAATTCTTATACACAGAGATCTTCTGTGATCCAGATTTTTAACTACGGATTAATAATTTTTATAACCCCAATTTTGTTTTAGTTTCACAAATGTGCTAATTTTGTCATCAGTATAGGTTTGTTGCCTTGTATACCAGTTGTTTTTTTTTTCTTTCTTTTTTTTTTTTTTAAATTTTTAAATTTTTTTTTTTTTTTGGAAAACATAATAATCTAATATTGTGTTATATGACAGACTAACTTAACTTTATCCTTCCCATAACAAACTAGTTCATCTCTGATATATTCAGGTTGTACATGAGAAGGAGAAAACACTTGCTGTGGCCTTCAACTCGACATTTAGATCGATATATCGTAAATATATATCGTATTATCAATTAACTATAGTCACTATGTACATGTACAATTCATGTGACGACTCCATATATCCCAGTGAAATTGAAATAAAAGATACCACAGAGTCTGAAGCGTCTCTTCATATTTGGATATTTTACTAGAAAAAGACGTTAATGGTAACCTAAACAAAAAAGCTCTGTGATAAACGTGACACCTAATTCCACTTTTTCCCTTACTTATGTACATGTAGCAATATACTGTAACCCTTATCACCTAGCTGCATATGGGGTTTATGTCTCGCAGTTGATTTAAGACGTAAGAACATGCTCTGCATATGAACAACTTCTCAAACGAGGCAAACTATTGAGAAACAAGTTGATGAAACAAGAATATCAACAGTCTCGTTTAAAGTCTTCATTTCGCAAGTTCTATGGTCGATACGACGACCTTGTCAGCAATTACAATCTATGATTAAGTCGAATGCTGACTGACGTTTTTCATACAAATCGTTAGGCCATATTTTCACGCTGAACTGTGTACTGATTTTTCCGTTTTCCCGATCATGACAAGGATCACATGGTGGGCAGGGGATGCTTACTCCTCCATGGCACCTGATTCCACCCCAGAAGTTTTAAGAGGTCCGTGTTTGTTCTGCTCCCGATTTTTATTGTTTCAATGGACTCATGAGCTTGATCACTGTTCATGATCTCTATATCTAATTCATTTTTTTCCCTAATTTCTGTATACATGTGAACCATGAGATCTTGCCAGTCACAAACAGTTTTTACTACATTCATATGCATCCTTAAGTAGAGTATATGTATTACCAATTACCCAGGAAAAGTGACAAGTTTTATAAAATACAATGCTTTCTGATCACATAACTTTTTTCAGAAACCAGCATGCAATATATACATTTTATAATAGATCGATTTATGTTCATATAGACAGAATAATGTTTAAAACACTTGCTAGAGTAAGTGTGGTAATTTTCCAAGATTTTTGTAATTAAGTCATATAATGTTTTATTATATAGATATATATAGGAAATTAATGATAAAATTTCAACCTGCAGTAATGAAATGAGATGATTTATATTATATCCATCCCCATTAATTTATAAGTCCAAAAAAGAATAGACAGGTGGTTCATTTGTTATATGTAGAGAGAGAGAGAGAGGGAGAGACAGAGAGAGAGAGAATATAATTGCAGTTCAGTAACTTATGTTCATATTCTCATTGCCCCTTTGATAAAAAAAAAGAAGAAGATATTTAAGCATGAATAATTACATGAAGCTGTCTGAATTTCACTAGACCCCCCTCCCCCCCCCCCAGCCCCCAAAAAAATTTTTGGGACACAAACCGTGACACAACTTTAGTTTCAGGGTGGTTATCATTTCCTGCACACACATTAAAATCAAATTCATTCATATAACTGATTTCAATTTAGCGATTAAATCATATAATCGTTAACCAAAAATTGTGATATCGTCTTGAATGTGTGACCTTAATATTAAAAAAAGAAATATCTCTGAAGTACAACAGTTATGAATTTTCATTGTAAGGTTGCCAGGCCTGTATGATACGTCAGCACCTATGGCGCAGAGAGAGAGAGAGAGAGAGAGAGAGAGAGAGTCATGTTTAAGGTCTGACGGCACGTAACTTGAAAATCTCTCTCTTTTTTCATATTTTCTTCGTAATATATCAAAAATATTTGTTTGAATTTCATACAAACGTAATAATAATCTCTTTTTCTTTCTTCTCTCGTCATACCTGGAATTATCACCCGATACCCATGATCTGACACACGTATGTGATCTAGTCCTTTAAAAAAACGTTCATCTGCAGTATCACAATAGCGCGTGGGTTTGTCCCTTGATAAGATAGAAAATACGTATATAGGAATAAGTATATTAATCCGCATATATGTGTATACATATAAATTAACATTCCAGTATCAATATTAAATTATTGTGCGATCACAGAAATATTGCTCTTTACAAAACAGCTTGTCTTTATACGTGTATATATTTACGATAGCATTTATGTATATACATGCAAATGTATATAGGTGACCCTCTTGATCTCTCGAATGAAAACCTCAGTCCCAGTTCTACATAACTAATCATTTACTACTGGCCCCGGCACCATGAAATATCTTAAGCTTAAAATCTTTATGTTGTACTAAAATATTAAGTCAAGCAGACCAGAAATAAAAAAAAAATTCAATAAAGTTTCACAAAAATTATGTTCCATATATCTGCAATTTAATTCCATTATTAATGAACATTTCACAAGCAATTGAAAATCTCACTTAAGTTAATCTAATATATGTAGATATTTATATAAAGTTGGAAATTCCAATTTTAATCTTGGTTTAGTTGGTAATTCCAACTGTAGAGTTGGCTTTTTCAACTTTAATCTACGGACGCGTATTAGTGCCACATATTTTTTTTAAGTTGGAAATTCCAACTTTAAAGTTGGAAAATTCCAGCTTTAATCTTGGCTTTTCCAACTTTAGTTGGTAATTCCGACTTCACAGTTGGAAAAGCCAAGGTTAAAGTTGGAATTACCAACTTAAGGGTTGGAATTACCAACTTCATAGTGTTACCACTCCAGAGTGTCGCAGTGATTAGAGCGTTTGCTCTAGAGTCGCGGGGTAAGGAGTTGACCTCACGACCCACTTCTGTCGAGACCGTATAAACCGATTTATCCTGCAACTACCCCTTGTATTGACCTAATAAAGGTAACCTAATAAACCAAAGCTTTATTCGGTCAATGCCCTAATAAAGCCTCGTGCACGTATTCCGACGTTCTAAAAGCATTGTGACGTCATGAATATTGCAATGTTTACGCCATGGCGTCTTATTTTCAACTGCTGAGATGTATCTAAATCGGTTGAAAATAGCCTGTTTTGGAGGTCCTGTAAAAATGGGTTGCAGGATAAACAAAATACATCGATACTGTCTTGAAATATAAGCGATATTTGGGCTCGGGTCGAAAACGTGATAGAGGGCTCGGCAAGCCTCGCCCTCTATTACATTTTCTTACCCTCGCCCAAATATCGCTTATATTTCAAGACAGTAACCATGTATTTTATATGTCCGTGTCGCAGAAGGTGCTGGCACGAAAGAGAGCCCTAACTGCTCAATGGCCCCAAGTGCCGAGTATAGCTCTAAAATATGCAGCCCTCCATCGGCAAGTGGTGGCGTCTCAATATGAATGAAAAATTCTCGAAAGGGACATCAAACAAACAAAACCAACATAAAAGCGGGAACAGCCGATAATAAAAGTTGGAAAAGCCAGCTTTAAAGTTGGAATTACCGATTTAAAGTTGGAAAATCCAAGATTAAAGTTGCAAAGACCAACTTTAAAGTTGGAAAAGCCAAGATTAAAGTTAGAAAAGCCAACTTTAAAGTTGTAATTACCAAACACGGACCCCAAAACATGAGGTGGTATCAGCTAGATGCCATGGAGAGTGAGCATCCCCTGCAGACCTGTCCCGGTCAAACCCGCCGTGTGCTCCTTGTCATGATCGGGAAAACGGCCGGAAAATCCGTAGACAATTCAATGTGTAAATAATGTCCTAACAATTAGATCTAGTATGAAAAACGTCAGTCTCCACTTGATTTACCACTTGCAAACAAGTGCCACTTGCTGACAAGGTGACTGGTCATTGTATGGACCGTCATATTTAAAAACTTGCGAAATGATGACTTGATACCCTTGTTTCATCAACTTGTTGTCAATAGCTTGTTTTAGAAATCGTTCATACGTAGAGCATGTTCTTGCATATCGAATCAACTGGGAGACAAAACCCCGTAGCCTATATGCAGGTGATCATAATTAAGTTGACGATCGAAGTCATCACGTTTATCATAAAGCTTTGTTGTTATGTTACCATTAAAGTCTTTTTCTAATAAAATATCCAAATATGAAACAGATGTTTCAGACTATAACCTAGGTCTTTCGAAATTTGGTACCCTTTCCCCCCTCTTGTGCAAATATGAAATGTCTAAGTACAACTTAACAAATTTTGCTCTACTTTTTTGGTGACCCGGAAGTTGAAACTGAGACACACACATATTTGGGGAAATTTCCGTCGTTTCCAAACTAAATAGAGGAAGAATGGGGCAATTGTTTAGATACTAACTAACAACAAAATGGCAGTCATCTTAATATCTTTTAAAGTTTGACTAGACTTGTTATAGCTGTTTTGGAAATCGCGACCTTTTGATCTCATTATTTCGCCAAAATGTCAGTGTCTGAGATGGAGATTTTGGATACGAATGGCGAAAGTATAAGCCTCAGTGATAAGTATAAGGAGATAACGCTAGACGCATTAAGGGTTAGTGCAAGAAAAAAATTATCCTTGTATTTGAACGTCCAAGCTGAAATAGTGAATGACGCCAATGGGTTAGTTAGTGACTATAATGGCCTAGCAGAAATGGTGGGCTTTGGATTCTTGGAGATCAAAGATTTTGAACGACAGAAAAATCCAACGGATGAACTGCTTACTGAGTGGACTAACCGTCCAGATCTTACCCCGACTATTGGAAAGCTTTGGGACTACTTGGTGGAGCTGGGTCGCTTTGATGTTCTTGGAGACTGCAAAAATCTCATCAGTTAGTTATTGAAATCATGTTATTTTTGACCTTTTATTTCACAGATTTTGCAGCACAAAATGATACATGCATAAGAACTGTTGCATTTTTTAAAAAGTTCATGAGGGCACAAACTGTAAACAGGTCTGGCACAATCTCCTGATTAAGCTATATAGTGATTTAGCTAAATAGCTTTATTAATTAAGCTATTCAGAATAGCTTGATAAAGCTATTTATACACAGTTTTTCTCAAAAGTGTTTTTGGTACGAAGTAGACAAAAAGTCGCAAGTATTTGACTATTCATATGTGTACTATGGGCTATCAAAAAAGCAACCCAAATCAAAGAGATTCTAACATTGCAGCTTTTGAATACTTTGAAGCAAAATATACTCTAGTTTGTGTGCGTTGAGGTATGGATAAGTATGATTGCTTCTCATTGTGCTGAATTAGTAACAATCAATTATCTTACTGACCATAACTGACCTTTATAAGTTAATTCAAGAAGTAACTATGGTCACAAATCAATTACTTTATATAGGGCCATCATTAAAAATATATTTGTTTCCCCTAACCCGACCCTAAAATCTCAAGTTGGGTAGGTAGGTAGGTAAATAATTTTTTTTTCTGCCAGCAGCTTTGAAAGGGATACATTCTGAAATTAATACCTTTACAAAGTACAAAAGAAAGCGATTTGTAAACAAACAGAATATATTACAAATGCCATTTAAAATCAAAATTTAAGGTAAATTAATAAACAACTATATTCAGTTGAACTAGTGAAAAACCGCATCTCACACCATGCAAAGTAAATTTGTTTGAAATCGAATATTTAATAAATAAAGACAAGATTCTCATATGATCTTAAATTCACTGTCAAGGAATTTTTGTTACATCACTCAAAGCTTTGTGTCCAATATTTCAGACTTAAGATATCACTCTAAAAATTGTTGCAAATTGAAGATTGGTATCTGGACCAAGTCACCTAGGAAGGCCGAGATAGTTGCACTTGAAACAATTAAAATACAATTAAAATTTAATTCATTAATATTGAGTGATGTAACGGAGACACTTCAAGTTTAATTCAAATTAATTAATTACAACTGAATTATATCTTACTTGTGACACTCATTTTTGCCCCTTTATAAACAAAATTTCTGTCCATTGTTCTCATTTACACTCAAATCTAAAGACTAATACATAAAAAGATCACCTTCTGTTTCAGACGTAACAGGACACAAACTTCAGCACACAGAAAAGAAAATTTCCTCCAAAATTAAAATTAATTGAACAAATTTTTTATTAAAGGATTTGCACTTACATTTGGGCATTTTTTGGCCAAGTTTGCATAATCATATGGCAAAGGAAGAAAATTATATGCCTCATTTTAACATATAGAGATGTAACACTGGACACTGAAGCCTTCCAACAAACTTTTTTTTTAAATTTACTTAATTGTTAAGTTTTTACTTTGAATCAGATCACAGGAAACTTTAAGAAAATTTTAACTTAATAAATAAGTAAACAATTGGACAAATTTTCAGTTTTATTTAAATAATATACATTGTATTGTATATGCCCCTTTCTGCACAAATGTCATTTTATCTTCTGTCAAGAGATCAATCTTGATCTTTTCCAAGTTAAAGAGTCACAGAAGTGATCAGTGGCCATTCTATGACCTGAAAAGAAAAGAAAAAAAATGGTGAAAAGGTAATTTGACAACTGAAGGATATTAAGATCTATACTCGTACTTTGATAGTGATGTAACACTGATCTCATGATATTTTCACAAATTTAACTTGGACACAAAAACTGGTGTCCTATGTTACATCATGTAATGAAGTTAAAGAATGACAGAACAATGTATAATACATACTATTTCACTCAAGTTTATTGTGTGTTTTGCACTTCTTAAAACACCAATTAGGTATTTTTGTCAGAAGCCAATCAACAAAAAAATATGCACATTCATAAATAGTGATGTAACAATGACACATTCTGTTGTGGCTTAATAATCTTGTCAAAGTTACATCTTTAATAAATTTTCATATATTTTCTAAAATTTTCTCTAAAATAGAGTTTACAATGGTTATTACTTGATACAATTAAATTAAGCTCAATCAGTTGAAATTTAATCACATGTAAATTAACATTTTTGAATTAAAAGATTTAGGTAATACTTGATTGGGGGGCGTGATGTAACTGTGGACACAATCAGTCCAACCATAGTGTGAAAATAAATAAGCATAATTCTTATATTAATGTAGCATAGTTCAATATTTACAGTTTATTAGAAAATTAATTCTTATTTCTTTGCAAACACGCAAATCTGGCATTATATATGTTTCAAAATACATCCTTAAATCGCCGAAAAAGATGAGGTCCCCAAAAAATGAGAGACGTAACATGTAAATGACCTACCTACTACTCGCGTCTCCTGTCATCTTTTTCTTGGAACTGATCCAACTCGTGCACGGGTCTCACCAAAAATGAAAGTAGAGACCAGAAAATGTCATACAAACAGGATGTCGTCCTCTGGTCACCCGAGTATTTGATGTATGACACGTGTATACAGACGTAACGTTTTGACACGAAAATACAGATAAAATTATGATGATTATTTTTGAAATAATACTTTCACATTTGAACACAGCCATAGTTCGTAAATCTTTTACGACGTCTCTAATTGCTATAAATAGAACATATCGATCGAAGTTTCCTTCGATTGTATCTGAAAGCGGCTGTGCGCGAGACGTAACAAAATTGACACGAAATGTTACATCCCCAAGCATAAAATTTAACCATTGTTTAATTTTAAAAATATTCAATATTTTTTTGACAAACCCAGTAAATTTAATAAATAAATTTGTATATAATAAACGAATCAAGAAAATTAGGTGGAATGATTTTATTTACTGCTGCTATTCCTTCATTTCTTCGGACCATATGAAAAAATGTCACAGAGATTGTCCACTGAATTGCATCAAAAACAATCATTACAAGTTTGATTATTCGCTTGACAATCATTAAAACATCATTAGTTATTAAATATGAGCATCAGAAAATTATTAAATAAGTTTATTCATCAAAGTTGTGAAAGAAAAAGAAATAAATGGCATTTTAGATAGACGTAACGAAAATTCCTTGACAGCGAATTTAGGATCATATACGCAAAAACCGGATGTCCGAGCATCATTTTTCAAACCAGTGCTTACGCACATGCAATGTACTTTTTCAAGGGCCTAAATTTGTGCAGTGGTTCTAGAACGCATACATTTCGTTTTGGAGTCCCAAAGTAAGGAATTAGTTCTAAGTCATAGGTTCAAATCCCAATGCGGAATGTTGAGACTGGTCCGGCGAATGAGAGCGTAAAACATAGTTCTAGTGTCACAGTAGATGCTAGCACGAAAAAGATCCCTCCCTGCTCAATGGCAAAATGTGTCGAGTACAAGTTCTAAATTTGGAGACCTTCACCAGGCAAATGTTCAAGTCATACATGTAAATGTTTTCATCCCAACAATTCTGAAAGGGATTTAAAACAAAGAAACAACCAATCTTCAAGGGCCTAATTAGAACAAAATACACTGCACGTCTCAGGAAGCTGTATCATGATTTCAAAAATATTGGAAAAAGAGTATTTAAACAATATTTAATTGAGCCAAACCATATCTAAATTTTATAAAAATGCCATACACAATGTCAAAGTCACGAAGTTTAACCCCTGAATAAAAGGCATTTAGAAAGGACGTCTGAATTATTTTCACAGGATGAAATATGCAGATATATTTACAACAACTCCTATGGTCCTGTATAATAAACATAGGAACATAGATGAACTGTTTATTAGATCAAAACTCACATTAAATAATATGTAGTGAAATTGATTGATATGTTCACAAGGTGCAGAGGTGGGCCCCTCATCTGCTCATGAGATGGGCCTTACATGCTTACTAGTACGTACCTTGATTTTTAAAGACAGGTTTGTAAATACCACAGAAACACTCTTAGTCATGGTAAATATTATTAATGTATTGTTTCAAAAGTGTGGGATTCTAATGAGCTAAAGGCACAAGTTTGATACGTTGCCGTTGATTAATTACATGAACTGTGAACACATGTTGAGGACACCATTTTGTTTCCAACAAATGCTTCAAAATCACAATTTAGAACAAAATCTGCCGTTCTGATAAAAGGGATTTTAATGAAATTGTATTTTATAAAAGTTGATAAACATTAAAAAAAATATTTGAATTATCTTCTGAAAAAAAAAATTCAGTCGGCGCAATTTTATTGCGTCGGTCGCGTTAGGGAAAACAAACGTATTTTTAATTTTGGCCTAGCTCCAAAACTTTTAGAACGTTGAGTACAAAGTCTCTCAAGGAGACATAATTTGATGAGTGATTTTCACAAGCATTGTTTTCAGAAGAGTTCAATGTTGAATATTATCAATGCACCAAGGTGCAACTTTTTATACATGCTGAAAAATTACACGATTTAAGAAAAAAGGTTTGATAAAATAGCTAAATCAACCTATTCTGAATAACTTAATAAAGCTATATTGCTAAATCAAGCTATATAGCTTAACCAAGAGATTGTGCCAGACCTGGTAAACTTGGACTTCTCACTGAGATTTGGCTTGGCTGGATATTTGGACTGATCAATGCCTTCCTTCATAATCCATGTCTGGAAATTAACAATCAACTTCGGTTGGTTCTAACAATTACATGTATTGTGCACCTAGATGACACTGTAATTCACTAAACTACCCGACTGACCCTATTTTTTGCATCCGACCCTAAAGTTTTTTTTAGTTTCGGAAGAAAAAAAAAATCAGGAATTTCCGGAATTTCATCTTTCTGTCACTGTAATCGGTTTCCGTGTTAACACAAAACAAGCATTTCATGAAATTATATGTTTTAAATATGGACTTTCGTAAAATACCACTTGAGTTAAGCATCAAAAGACATGAAATTTAATTTTAAAAGATAATATTGACCTGTGACATGTTTAATTTGATCTTGTGTTAGTTCATATCCAAAAAATGCCGTCAGAAAAAAATGAAATAAGATAAGAAAATAAAATAATTTTCCTACCTACCTACCCTATTTTTTTCAGGCTGGTAGCAGGAAACAAGAGTATTATTTTTTTGGGCCTAAAAGTGATTTGAATGTACAGTTTATCTAATTCTCTATATTACTATTGATATTGCATTGCTTACTGTATATAGGTATGTAAATCATTAGCTACAAACAAGCACCAAATTTTCCTTCTAAATGATGGCTCCAATGATGATTTTTATCTCCAGATATTTGAAGAGTTTCTGTAGTCTTTTTAAATGGATTTGCTTATTGTCAATTTGTGTAATATAATTTACTTGGAAAACAGACTATAGGAACTCTTCAATACCAAGTCTGAGGAGATAAAAGACATGCATCATAGGAGTGATCATATGAACAGAAAAATTGGCATTTGTTCTCATGTTGGGATTAACATTCCTAAACTGTAAGCAATGAAGTATTTAAAGTGATAGAGAGTTATTTTTAACATTTAAATCACATACCGAAGTGAACAGCATTGTCACTTATTAAGTTAAGTGTACAATAATGGTTAAAAGTGGCCTGAGTGTGAATTTTCGGACATGAAGGACTGTCCTGAGATAGTCCAAATATCTAACCAAGCCAAAACTCGGCTGAGAATAGAAGCATATGAAATATTTAAAAATGAAGAACAGTGCGTATACATGTATTTATTATGTTTATTGTGGCAGTCATTCAGGTTCAATTGCCAGTGGCCAGATAGCTCAATTGGTAGAATACCTGTCTAATATTTCAAAGTGGGGGAGGGGGTAGGGTTGAAATCTGGTATGGTCCATTGCATTTTCTCCCTTTTATATTCTTTATAAATGATTGACCTTTGTTATTCAGGTGACCAACAATTGAAAATCTAAAGTATATTGATAATTTGATCTTTTTTTTCCTAATCAACAACAGGTTTGTTGATATCTTTATTAGTTTATTCTTTATTTGCAGAGGGAGAGTTTTCTCAGGTGACTATAAAGTCTTAAGTTTATGGTACTTATTCTTTGTTTAGTTTAAGAGAAGATGATTTAGATTAGGCTTAATAAACATAGTACATCTCTATACCAAAATCACAAAAAAATATGACCTGCTGGTCCAAGGTTGGGACATTAATTTTCATTCTTTTTAAAAAAAACATGAAAATGGAGTCCCTATGGTGTAATTTGTAAACCATATGCTAATGTTGAAATGGATTTGGTAATTGTATACCACAAACTTCATGATTTTCTTTCAGTAAGAGATGCTGATGCTTACCTCAAAATGAAAGAAGATCTGAGAAGCAAAGAAAGTCCTGTACAAGAGGATATGGGTAAGGTCTTCATTTACACTTCTGTACATAAGTCAGTTTTTACAACTCAAGTTGCATAAACTGCAGAGTGAATTTTCAATTTAACTGACTACTGGTACATTGTGTCTTTAATTGTGAAATATTTGTTGCCTTTCTCCCATTATTTACTGTGTTTCCTCACTCACACCCAGTTGTTCTTTTTAAGTGTTCAGTTATGAAACACTTAGGACAATCCTGATTGGCTGCTTTTCATAGAACTAATGTCTCCAAGTATATCCCTATGCATGATGGTACAAAATGCAGGTTGTTTGTAAAAATTTACAATTTCATTTTTTTATTCTTTGAACCTATTCCTTGTATATTTCCATTTCAACAGATCATCAAGGAATCTTGTATACTAATAGGATAGGCAACTTGTTCAGTGCCATGTTTTTTTTTGTTTTTGTTTGTTTGTTTTTTTTTTTTGAGGGGGGGGGGGGGGGGTTCACACACAAGTCCATGTTTGTATGTAATAATGGGAGAAACAGGTCCCATAACCAGTGCTCTTTAGTAACCAGTTTTCTCAAATTCTTCTTCCTAATTAAGCCTCATGTCTCTTAAAAATTAAAAAATATTATGGAAGTCAGTTATGAGAAAAATATGGTTACTAACTCACACTGGCTATGGAATCATTATTAACCATGGTTATTTTAGTTGTCATCATGGTCATATTTGTAGTCATTGAATTTTCTGGTGGTACAGGTCTGTCATGCATGAAAAACATATATATAAGCACTTTTAAAAAAAAAAACCTTTATGTACATCCTTGTCAAGGGTTTTCATGAAAACATCTTTGTCAGCAAACATGCAGTTTATTGCATTACTGAATGACCTCATGAAATACTGTAGTACAAATGATGTAATACTCTTCTTTAGTCCCACACAATGAGTATACATACAATCAAGTTACATCAGTTGTGAACATGATCTCTCGGTTTTAATTTTTGAATGTTCTGAAGGTGAAGATATAATTAAAATTTCCTGTTTTTTGATGAACTGGAAGAAGTTAAGACTCTCATTGGTAGAAAGGGGCACTCTGTTACCTGTTTTCTAGTAAAGGATTATGTAAATAATTGAGAGTGTTTTTGCAAAATTTGGGTCAACCGGTAACTTTAATAGTAAGCTTTGAATAGATTATATAACTTGTACATTAGTTGAAAATTACATTCTCAGTTTTTTTAAAAATAATTTTTAGCTGCATAGGTAAATCTTTTATAAACCAATGTCTGTAAATAAAAATTGTAACTATATGTACAGAGCAGGAAACTCAAAAGTATTTTCCTCATTTTAACTATAAAGGAGATGGGCTAACAAGGCATGCAAAATGCCTATATATATGGCTTCAAATGTATGAAAGTCATTTTCAATTTGTGAATTTAGTATTTAGAGTTAAGTTTTCATCATTGAAAGTTATGAAATTATGACAAAGAAAACTTTTCTGTTGAAAATTCTTTCGGCAAATATCATTCTATGACTTAAAAAATGTGGTATTCTTGGGGTTCAAATCCAATTGCAAGCAATAAAAATCCTGAGTATCAATTTTCTCTTCAAGACATATAACATGCTAACCATTACGCTATACCTGTACTTATAACAAATACCAGCATTTAAATCATGTTTGTAATATGACCCTTGACTAAAAGGACTTGCAATATTTCTTGGAAAGATACAAATGTAGTGTCTTATCATGCTTATTTAAGTGTATTTTTAGGGTATAGTGAGTCTTTGCTCCATGTTTTTGTTAATCAAAGAATGTACTTTGAGTATAATCCTTCAAAGAACTGGAGCGAAGACCCACTCATAAAGAAAAATTGTGTTTTAGTATGAAGAATTGATCATTTTTGCACTCTTTGGTGTATTGATGCTATTTTATAGACAAATAATTTCAATCTTTGTGAGATTGTTGCAATTTGGGGAGATTTTATATAAAGTATACCTTGATGGTAAATGAAACATCAAAGAAAAATTTTTCTTTGATATTTCATTTATTATTAATTGACAGTTAATTTTTCACTTTCTTGATTGTTGCACTATAGGCATCTTTGCTCGCTTTGTTCTCCAATCTTCTTTCTAGGTATTGATCAAGGTGTGTATGGCATCACTTGTCTGTCTATCTTGAGTCATCCATAATTACTTTTAGCTCACCTGAGCTGAAAGCGCAAGTGAGCTTTTCTGATCACTTTGTCCATTGTCTGTCTTTGTGGCTGTCCTCATCTATCTGTCTGTTAACTTTTTACATTTTTGACTACTCCTCCAGAACCACTCACCCAATTTCAACTAAACTTGCCACAAATCATCCTTAGGTGAAGGGGATTCAAATTTATTGAAATGAAGGGACATACCCCCTTTCATGGGGAGAATTAGCTACTAAAATTTTAAACGTCATGCATTGTGAATCTCAATTATTGCACCAATATTAACTCCTTGACCAGACAATATGATGTTGGTAACAGTTATTGTTTGTGTTTCAGTAACCTCCTCTGAGACAGCAGTGGATCACCATGTGGATGAGCTCTCCATTCTTTGTAAAGATGACGGTAAGTTTTTTATTAATTTTATCCACATAAGGCTATCACTGTCAAAGTTTGGTGTGAAGGGGTAAGCTTTCATTTTATTTTTACCCTGAAGGCCTTAAGGCTAGTTAGGTTTTGATCAAATAAACTTAAATTTATGTAAAAATCACTATCTTTTAGGGTTGAGGAAAGTGTGAACAGCCCTGGCTTAAAATGTTTTTTATACTTTGGTAGAAAGCTTTTGGATTCAAATAATTATTTTTGTCATAAAACAACTCAAATCTAAATAAATTTCAATGTGAAGTGCCTCGAATGGCTGATATTAACTTATTTTCCAATCTCATTACTACCCATTTTTAATTGAATAGAGGAAATATAAGAAAAGAAAAGAAAAAAAATTAAGAGAAATGAGTCTCTGAAAATGCCCCAAAAAGCAACATTGTCCATCCCAACAGCCCAGCATGTGTTTTGAAGTATGTTGATGGAATATGAAGATAACGATTAGTAATCAAGCTCAAAAGTCTAGTAGAACAATACAAATTGGGAGCAGAGCAAACACAGACCTCTAAAAACATTGTGGTGGGATCAAGTGCTGTGGAGGAGTATGCATCCCCTGTCTACAGGTCAAACCTGCCATGTGCTCCTTGTCATGATCAGGTAAATGGAAAAATCCTTAGACAATTCAGTGTGAAAGAATGGCCTAACACTTTGGTTGAAAAATCACGCGAAATGTGTCTCTTCGCCAATTTCAACCAAACTTACCACAATGATCCTTGGGATAAGGAGACTCAAGTTTGTTCAAAGTAAGGGCCACACCTTCTTCCAAGGGGAAATAATTATGAATTAGTGAAAAAAGTAATGGCATCTTTTGAGAAATGTTCTTCTCAAGAACCACTGGGCCAGAAAATATGAAACAGATATAGAAGCATCTTCAGGTAGTGTAGATTCAAATTTGTTAAAATTATGTCCCCAAGGAGTGGGGGGGGGGGGGGGGGCACAACATGCCATCAAAGTTTTACGTAGGAATACACAGGAAAAAAATTTAAAATTTTCCTCTCAAGAACACCAAAGCTTGTGATTAGTCATATTTATATGGAAGCATTCTCAGGTAGTGTAGATTGAATGTTGTTCAAATAATGAACCCCTGTGGTAGAGTGGGGGCCACAATGCTTGGTCAAAGTTTTACATAGGAATATGTAGGTATATATCTTTAAAAATCTTTTCAAGTCATTAGAACAGCAAATCCGTAATTATGTTAATACAGAAGCAACCTCAGTATAGATTCAAGTTTGTTCAAATCATGACCCCTGGGGTAGGGTGGGGCCACAACAGAGGATCAAAGTTATACAATGGGTGGGGCATTCATGTTCTATGGACATATTTCTAGTTATATATTTAATTGTCATGGTCTGTATCAAAGACACACATTTGGCAGTGTTGTCATAGTAAATGTTGCAAGAAGTTGAAGACCACTGTTTTGTGATGAAAATCATGTTGTTACATGTATTATGAATTTTGCTTAATGTCAGACTGGGCTGTGCATATTTTGGCACACACTTGGCAGTTTTATTAAAGTAAACAATAAATAGCATATGTCCATGAACTCTTTGGACAGCCCTCATAAATGCCAGATCTGTGAGTTTTTATTAATGAGCCTGACAGGGACAGTTGCCCCATTCCCAACCACAATCCACCCACTGAAAATACAATGTATTTGTTCTATGTATATATATGCTTGACCTTAACATTTTTAGTGGAGAAAGGGATGCCCCAGTATTTTGATGCCTTTGTCTGTTACTCCCCCATTGGAGAAGATTTGACCTTTGTCAAGGAGATGATCACTAAGCTTGAGAACCCTCCCCACAACCTAAAGCTGTTTGTTCCCTGGAGGGACGATCTCCCTGGAGGGTCACGCTACGTTATTGATGCCAGGCTCATTGAAATGAGGTTTGTTGTCTCTCTTTTCTTCAAGATCATTAGATTTTATCCTTTATGGTATATACAGTGTACATATGGTAATGTTGAAGGTATATAGGTAAATACAAAGATGGTTCATTTTCTAAAACTGAATGGTATTTGGAAAATGATTATTGTGCTTTACAGAGATCAAGCTCAAATTACATCTGCTTCATCAGTTTATAATTGTGATAATACTTTTGATATATGCCTTGCTGAATCGTGTCTTTACATATTTCTAGATGCCGCCGTATGGTCATCATCATGTCCAGAAACTATCAGAACAGTGCTGCAGCTGATTTCCAGGTTAAATTTGCCCATGCTTTGTCTCCAGGTATTGTTTTCAGTATAGCTATTGTCATGCGATTGAACACACTGAATTCTGATCAGTGAAATATGATCTGTAAAGCATATACCAATTAAAGCCAAGAAGTAGAGCAGGGTCTGAAGTTCCTACGTGTTTGCATGTCAGTCATGTCAGTCTTGTAACTTTACAGCAGAGCTAAAAAATATTGAAAAAAAAGTAATTTGATAATTTCTAAAGTTTAGACTTTTGGATCAATTTGCAAGTTTTCATTGAGTATTTAACTGTGTACAAACAAGTAAAAATTTCAAGGGCTTAAATATTTTTGAAAAAAAAAGTGGTAGAAGAAGTATATGAACAAAAATCAATTTGATTCTAGGTGCCAGGAGTAAGAAGTTGATTCCTGTACTGATTGAGTCTGGGATACAGGTGCCTCAGGTGCTACGTCATGTGACTCTGTGTGACTTCACTAAACAAGACCTGAAAGACTGGTTCTGGGATCGACTTTCTAAAGCTATCAAAGCACCACTTGACCCACAGATGTCTGGGTAAGTGATAAATCTAGTGTAAGTTGTCAGAAGAAACCAAATTTTAACAAGTTATTACACTTCAATGGGAGTTGTAGTACTGATGTACTAGTGCCTAATTATAATTGAGAATTTCTAACAATCTATGTTATTAATCTTTTTAGCTCACCTTAGTTGAAAGTTCAAGTGAGCTTTTCTGATCACATTTTGTCCGGCATCCGTCTGTCTAGCTGTCCGTCCGTCTGTAAACTTTTCTCATTTTCAACTTCTTCTCAAGAACCACTGGGCTAATTTCAACCAAATTTGCAACAAAGCATTCTTGTGTGAAGGGGATTCAAGTTTCTTCAAATGAAGGGCCACGCCCTCTATCAAGGGGAGATAATTAAGAATTAGTGAAATTTGGTGGTATCACATAAAAATCTTCTTCTCAAGAACCACTGGACCAGAAAAGTTGAAACTTATGTGAAACTTTTATTATGTAGTGTAGATTCAGGTTTGTTCAAATCATGACTCCTGGGGGTAGGGCAGGACCACAATGGACGATCAAAGTTTTACATTAAGAACATTTAGTAAAAAATCTTTAAAAATCTTCAGAAGAAGAACAGCAAAGCCATGATTAGTCATATTGATAAAGAAATCCAAAACATTCTCAGGTAGTGTAGATTCAAGTTTGCTCAAATCATGACCCCTGGGGGTAGGGTGGGGCACAATGGTGGATCAAAGTTTAACGTAGGAATATGTAGGAAAAATTCTTTAAAAAATCTTCTGATGAAGAACCACTGGGCCAGAAAAGTTGAAACTTATTTGAAACCTTTATTACATAGTGTAGATTTAAGTTTGTTGAAATCTTGACCCCTTGGGGTAGGGTGGAACCACAATGGACGATCAAAGTTTTACATAGGAATACATCTGAAAAATCTTAAAAAATCTTCTTCTTGTGAACAGCAAAGCTATGATTAGTCAGATATAGAAAACGTGCTTGGGTAGGTAGATTCAAGTTTGTTCAAATCATGACCCCTGGGGCTAGGGTGGGGCCACAATGGGGGATAAAAGTTTTACATAGGAATATATAGGAAAAAGTCTTTGAAAATCTTTGCCACAAGAACAGCAAAGCCATGATTGGTCATATTGATAAGGAAGCATCCTCAGGTTGTGTAGATTCAAGTTTATTCAAATCATGACCCCCTGGGATAGGGTTGTGCCAAAATTGGATCAAAGTTTTACATAGGTATACATAGGAAAAATCTTCTTCTCAAGAACAGCAAAGCCATGATTTGTCATTATAGGGGTGAAACGATACGCCACCTTCACGATATGATACGTATCGTATAATTTTGTCTCGGTTCGGTTATTTTCGATATGATACATTTTGATAGAAGGAAACAAATTCAACGTTGTTTTATGTTTTGTTTCACTGAATCCAGTCACTTAATCTACTTGCAAATTAACTGTAGGAAGTTAATTAGAATGAATTGGCTGTTAAAGATTATTTTACATACTGTCAGTCTTCCAAAAATTACGTTTTTATTTTTTTTTTTATATTGAGTAGGCCTAGCGTGTTTTACCTATACCAAACCCGACTGAATAACAATCCTGACCAAAAAATGAACCGAACCGAAAAATGAAGATTTTGCACCGTGTATCAAATCGAGAAAATATACCGCGGTGAATTGATACCGAATGATCCGTTTCACCCCTATGATCATATTTATATAGAAGCATCCTCAGACAATGTAGAATGAAGTTTGTTCAAATCATGACCCTGGGGGCAGGGTGGGGCCACAATGGGGGATGAAAGTTTTACATAGGAATACATCGAAAAAAATCTTTAAATCTTTTCAAGAACAGCAAAGCCATGATTGGTCATAGTTATATGGAAGCATCCTCAGGTAGTGTAGATTCAGATTTGTTCAAATCATCACCCCCCTTCCCCTCCCCTCCTATAGGGGTAGGTTGGGACCACTTGTTTATTTAAACTTTTCAATACTGAACTGATTTCTGCTTTTTTTCCTAGCCAGCCACAGTGCTCGGGTGAGCAATGTGGCCCATGGGCTTCTTGTTTGTTATAAAATTAAACTAAACTTTTTGTGCATTATATCACTTCTGAAATTTCATTTAAATGTTGTTTGTAGATATGGATCTAAAACTATGACATCATCTTCTTCCTCATCTTCATCTTTGTCATCTCCTTCAACAATGCCATCTTCTGATATTGCACCAGGGGGTCTGGGGTTTCATGCTGGAAGCAACGCAAATGTGAGAGATGAGCTGTCACAGTTCCACCCTTTACCAACATCGCCTAGCTCTGCCAGCATTACCTCCACTTCATCTGCTGATAACTCCTCAGCTCTGATCAGCCGGGGGTCAGGACCCATTCAGCACCCATCTTGTGACCCCATGGAACACACAGACATCACTTCTATGGGCCCTGAATCATCAGTCAAGAAATCAAAGAAGGATAAAAAGCCTTCAGGCCTCAAACATATTTTCAATAAAATTAAAAACTCTGGAAGCAGCAGCAACAATACCAGTTCACATTGCTAATAACTTCAGGGTCAGATAAGATTCTGACCAATCAACATTAGTGTTACTGAAGTTGATCCTACGTGTATGTCATGTATAACTAAGCGCAAGGTCACAGTTTTTATTCAACACAGCTTCTCTTAAGTAGTAACATGATCTACTTGAAGGCTGAGTTAATGTATTGTTCTGTCATATATGACAGAATTTTGAATTTGAAAGTTTTTTTCCTTGTAAACTCCGCAAAGAAATATAAAATTTCTAGCTAAGGCAATTATACATGTAAATATTCAGAAAAAAACATTAAAAATAAACAGCTTGAAAAATGACTTCAATAATACAAGGTTTAAAGTATTATTAAAAACTATGTTGGAAGTGTCATTTGATTAAGGAGATTTTATATGTCTTGGATGATAGGAATATATATCTGTTGTGGGTCTTAGCCAGCACAATACTGTTGTTAATAGCCTCTGATTGTCCTCAATGTACAGAATGCCGCTACTGCATTCCATTCTCATAAAATTAGTTTTTTCTTTCTTCTTGTTTGTTTTAAATGTTTTACACTCAGCTGCTTTTGAATTTCATTGTTAAGGAATTTGGAGGAGAGTGACCTGGTGTATGTTTTTTTTTATATTTGAAATTTTTTCTATACTTTTATTACATTTCCATTTGATAAAAATTATTCTACAGTTTGTAAAAATTAAAATCACTAGATGTTTAAGATATGTTGGATCTGAAGCATTCCATTCATTTTTGATAAACTTGGAATGGTTTTAATTAAATCATTTATTTCGCTATTCGAAATCATGATACATATTTTTGACTATGTAGTTTTCAAACTTCCGTTTTCACAAAGTTTTAAATTCATACCATTTTCTACGTATTTTCAGCTGGCCTATATGATTTATAGATTGTGATGGCATGATTTTGTTGAGAAAAAAAAAATAGAAAAAAAAGTTATGTAGCAGAAAGTGATCTTTGTTGGTTAAATCTTGCAGCCATTCGTCTGAGATGTGTGAAATACACTCCTTCAGGTTTGTCAGTTTTTGGTTCCGAGATCCGTAGAAGGAGTAACCAAACTGTTTTACATGTATATCACTCACATGTGTAGATTCACTGTATGTTGTGTAATTATGTTGTATGTGATCTGTTTAAGGAAAACACTTGTATGATCGAGCATTAGTTAAACTGCTGCGAATCTAGAATGTTGTTGAATAACATGTTTTGTTGACTTGTATGTATGTGTGTATAATAATCTCATTAATATTTTTCAGTGCTTTGGTGTAATAATTTATTGTCTTTTATTATCTTCTGTTCAAGTGTAAAGTTAATTACTCTCTTTTTTGTTGTTGTCTTTTTTCTATTTTTATTAACAACGTGCTGTATATATTCAGTCTAAGTTGACTGTTTTATGATTTTAGATTAATCTCCAGAGTTTGCTGGTTTTATTTTAATTCATTTCATTTATTTTCTCAAAAATCACAGAAATGGTATGTGAGATACAGAGAGAAAAAACGTACATGAAAAAGCAGAATTACATGTATGTAGAAGTACGAGTTATAATCTATGAGAAAAAGGGAGATAACTCTGCACCAATATACTCGTTGAAATGGGTGGTAGAATATTTGTGGCGGTGATTTTAGTGTTGTTAGCACAGTTTTTTATTTAGTGTAAAAGAAAATAAATAGGTTGGATTTTTGTGGGAAACATATTTATTTTCACTGAAAAACATAGTCAATAGAGAGTGACTTTATTATTCCATTATATGTCTGTGACATCATATAGGTGTAATTACAGTTGTTGATTAATTAATATGAATATTTTTTATGCTAGCTTTAAGCTGGTACACAGCAAGTGACAACAAATTTTAAGTGACCAAATAATGTAACATATTCTTTTAAAGATCATTCCAGTTATTTTTTTGTTTGTTTTTATTCTATATTTAATAGAAATTAGGTCTTTTTGTCATACCCTCAACTGCACTAAAGCCTCAAGTTGAGATTTTTTTATTTTAATCAAAGTTTGTTTTTTCTGTCGATAACTTTTTACATCACCTGAGTCATTCAGGTACCTACTACTATCCCTTTTCATTTGTCTATGTACATCAAGTGCAAAACTTTCTACTTTAATTTTTGATTGAAATGTCTGTCAGAGCCAATTTCAACAATTTTGGTATTTAGCATTATAAATGAAGGGAAACAATGCTTACAATAGTTGCATTTTTCATGGTCAGGGGTGTGGGATGGAGCCAAAACCATCATGATAAAGATTATATTCAAAAAGTCTTCCTCCCTACGCATGGAAACCTAGCAGGCAATTTAAACCATTTGCAATTTTCTCCTTTATCAAACTGTGAAATTCATGTAACCTAAGTTCAGGCCATATATTGAAAATTCCTCATATAAGTACATTTGAAAATCTCCATTGTTGCCAGAGGTATATAATTTTTATAATTGAAGACTACATCCCTTTTATTGAAAGAAGTGTAAATTTTTCAAAACCTGCTGTAGGAATCATGGTGTTTCTGTAAAACATTCCATTTGCATTTTAACTCAAATTTTTGTGAAGTTAAGACCTAAAATTTCTTTATCTGATTTGAAAACTGATGTAAAGAAAAGGGGGGGGGGGGGTAGTAAGGGCTATAATATGACTTAAATGAGGTCTTTCTTAAGACTTGGGTGAGCATTGTGGCCAAGGGCCCATTGAATATTTTTGTCTATCATGTTGTGATAAAAATCAGAACAAAGTTGGATTTTACCCCCCAAAAAACCCCTATTTTTTGTACAACAAACTTATTTTTTACTATTATTTTGGTATACTATATATAAACAGTCTATTGACTATAAAATCAGATGCTAAAAATTGTTTCTCAATTAATGCAAACCTTATCACAAATTATGATTTCATCACAATGATTTCTGTATTTTTTTCCTGTGATCAAGTAAATATTAAATGTTTGAAATAAATATTAAATGTTTTTGAAGTTGATGCTGCTTTTAAGTTTTTCTCTTTTTCCTAATAGCTAACAAACAATGAAAACAGAAAATACCATACAGGTATTAGAAATATGTCCATAGGATATGAATGCCCCCGCACAGGCCGGGTTTTGTTAGTAATGCAACATGAAAATTTGTACTAGTGTATGAAGTTTGATGAAAAAATCTTGAATAGTTTCTTTAAAAGTGAGTTTTATACACAATAAATAGTAAAGTCAAAGGTCATGGGGAAGGTCAAGGTTTAGAAAAAAATGGATACAATTGATAAATTCTCACCAAATAATGTATTGTTGCATTAGCCTGCATAAAAAATATCTTGTCAATGAATAGTTTATTTGAATCTGAGTTGAACAAATTTGAGAAAAGTGAGGTCAATGTCAAATGAAAGATAGAGAAATGTTCTAAATATGTATCATCATATGAAGTTTGATAAAAAATATCTTGAGGTTTCTCTGAAATTTAGTTAAACACATATGATGTCAAGGTCAAGGTAAAAAATGTTAATGCAGTTAAATAGCTCTCACCAATATGTATCAGCATATTAGGTTTGATTAAAATATCTTGAATACTTTCTTCGAATCTGAGTTTAACACTTTTTTTTTTAGAAGTGAGATCACGGTCAAGAAAAGGTCAAAGTCAAAAAATTTGAAGAAGTTGAAGAGCTTTCATCAATATGTACATGTATAAGCATGAATGGTTTGATAAAAAATCTCAAGTTTCTTTGAAATTGAGATAATCACCAATTTAATTAAAATGAGGTTAAGGTCAAAGGAAAGGTCAAGGTAAAAAAAAGTTTATGTGGTTGAATAGCTCTCGCCGATATGTATCAGCATGCAAGATTTGATAAAAATATCTTGAAAAGTTTCTTTGAAACTGTGTTAAACACAAATATAAGAAAAGTGAAGTCGACAGACTATGAGCTATATGCTTAATTTACAATTTGTGTTTAATTCAGGTCAAAAATGTCAAAGGGAAGGTTAAGGTCAATAAAATTTGATGCAGTTAAGCAGCTCTCATCGATATGTGTAAGCAAATAAGGTATGATAGAAATGTATTAAGTTTCCTTGAAATTGAGTTAAACATGAATTGAAGAAATGTGAGGTCAAGGTCAAAGGAAAGGTCAAGGTGACATCGTGGGGTAATTGATCAGTTTGTGAGATGTTTATTGCTGTTAAACAACATGCAGTATCCAGTCTGTCATGTGTTTCTTTATATAATTTAATGATGCTGAGTACTGTTAACTGATTATAATGAGTATCTTACCACTTCTATCATTACTGTAGTATCTATCAAATTATACTGTAAATTAAGCATTTAGCTCCGAGTCAGTTCTGATTATGGTGACAATAAATGCTGAACAACATGCATTACATCTGAATTTTTTTAATGAATTTGATATTTCAGGCTTGTTTCATTGTTTCCTTTTTTGTGTATTAAAAAATTGAAATTAGAAATATGTCCATAGGACATGAAGCCCCGCCGAGTGTATATTAGTAATACAATATGAAAATTTGTATTAGGCCAAAGTTTTTTTTTCAATTGGTTTACGATTCCGCCGACCCTAATTTTCACCAATCATGAAAATAAAAATAATGTCTTTTTCCGAAATATTTTTCCGGATTTTTCTCAGCTAAACTGGTGGGTTTTAAATTTTAGAATGCATCTTAGTCAAATAAGCGCTTATAAATATATGAGCCCTTTAGCAAACATTTAGGTGACCGTAAATAAACACATGTGCAAACCAAAAATGGCGGTTCTGTCATGTAACAAGGTAATTCCTCACTGAAAGCAATGACACACACTTAAAGAACTTTTTTCTGCATGGAAAAGTGAATAAAATCTTGGATGCATGATCCCTTTCTCTAACTGCGATGTCTCAATTGGCTAAATTCATACCGTAATATTGGAGCCCAACCCTGATCGACCTAGCAGACACGGATACACCTATAGATAAAAGGGATTTATCAGTGCCTTCTCATGGGCCGAAATTCGTCCTCATTCCCAATTGAAAATGAGTTCAGTTTTTCCAATTTGGCAGTATTTTTCCCAATTGGTGAACAATGCTTTTATTTTTAATTATCTTTGGAAAAAAGTAAAATTGTCAGATTGTCTGTAATTTTCATCTATTTAACTCATTTAGCAAAGCTACAGTCATAACACATGTTTAAAAACACTGAAAAAACATCGCCAACTTTTAATCCGAATTTCCTCCGTTTTTCTAAAAATGATGATATTGTGTAATTATATAGATTTATTAAGCTATTTCCACCTACTCTATTGATCTGCAAGTGAAGAGGACTTTTAGAAAATGTGTACTTAGTATAATTTTTGCAGGAGGTTTATAATCTCCAGAAACAGATACTATAATGACCTAAATTGAAATCTCATACACACATGTACATGTACTACCCTAAGTTGTAAAAATACTTTATACTCATTGAAGTCCATTTTACCTTTATTAGTCTATTATTCATAATTGATCTTGTATCATGGTATGATGAAGATGGATCATATTTAATTGTCATTTGGTTGCCCAAATTAGAGTTCATGCTGAAATGTTAAATGAATTACCCCTGAATACATGATTTAAGCAACATTTTAAAAAATTTTCCAATTTCATCAAATAGCCGATAATTGTTCCCAATTCCCTAAAAATGATGTTTCCCAAAATCATAGGCTGATAAATCCATGGATAATAGTGAAGCCAATTTAGTGTTGAGAGATACATCTTAGTTGAAGTAAAGCTGACTGGTATTTCACTGGATAAATTCAAATGTGTATAAAACATTTTGTTAATTTATAGAAGTAATTTTAATATACAAATCTTTGCAAATTTGATACTCAATTGAGATCAGAGCCCTCTGAATTACTATAAAGTAAATAATGAGCATTGCCTACTGTGCAGGTACATAACAAAATTTGAAGAAGGACTTGATTGAGAAATTATTGGAACATTAAATTTGATAGCTGCATGATCAAATTATTATAACTTTTATTTCAACGTTAATTACTTTCAATATTGTTAAACAATTAAATTGTATTTTTCTTCAATCTAAATTTAACTTAAATTTGGATCCTTATTTTTAGTTTGTGGGGATACTGAGGTTTATAACACATCACATATCACTGAAGAGCACAAAAAGAAGTTGAACATCATGAACCAAGCACTGATTGATAAACAAAAATCAGAACTAAATGAAAATGACATTCAGTCTAAAGTTAGAAATGAATTAAAATTAAATAAAAAGAGTTATGTGATCTAGACAATAGAACTTAAAAGTACTATTGACATGTATTATTTTCATTAAAATAAACATTACTGGTATTTTAAAATGAAATTGTTGAATCCTAAATTATTTTTATTTTTATTTTTCGACCACCCAATGCATTTTTTGGAGACAGAAAATCGTAAACCAAAAAAAATAAAAACTTTGGCCTTAGCGTATGAAGTTTGATGAGAATATCTTGAATAGTTTCTTTAAAATTGAAATTGAAAACTTAAAAATTGGATATAGATGATAAATTCTCACCAAATTATGTATAAGTCCATAAGCTTACATAAAAATATCTTAAATGGTTTCTTTAAAACTAAGCAAAATGCAAATTAAAGAAAAGTAAGGTCAAGGTCACAGGAAAGTGCAAGATGAAAAGATTTTGAAGCAGTTGAATAGCTCTCACTAATTCATATCAGCATATTAAGTTTGATAAAATATCTTGAATGGTTTATTTAAAACTGAGCTAAACAGTAATATAAAAAAAGTGAGGTCAAGGTCAGAGGAAAGGTTGAGGTCAAAAAATGTTGATGCAGTTGAAAAAGCTTACATCAGTATGTATTATCATATGAAGTTTGATAAAAATCTCATGAATGGTTTCTTTAAATCTGAGCTAAACCCAAATTAAAGAAAAGTGAGGTCAAGGTCACAGGAAAGTGCAAGATCAAAAGTTTTTGATGCAGTTGAATAGCTCTCACTAATACATATCAGCAAATTAAGTTTGATAAAAATATCTTGAATGGTTTATTTAAAACTAAGCTAAACACTAATATAAAAAAAAAGTGAGGTCAAGGTCAGGAAAGGCCGAGGTAAAGAAATGTTAATGCAGTTGAAAAGCTTACATCAGTATGTATTAGTATATGAAATTTGATAAAAAAAATATCATGAATGGTTTCTTTAAAACTGAGCTTTACACAAATTTAAGAAAAGTGAGGTCAAGGTCACAGGAAAGGTTAAAGTCAAAAAATATTAATGCAGTTGAATAGCTTACTTCAGTATGTATCAGCATTGAAGTTTGATAACACTATCCTGAATGGTTTATTTAAAACTGAGCTAAAGACTAATTTACAAAAAGTGAGGAAAAGGTCAAAGGAAAAGTCAAGGTCAAAAAAGTGTTGATGCAGTTGATAGCTCTCATCAGTATAAATCAGCATGTGAAGTTTGATAAAAAAAATATCATAAATTGAAAACTGAGCTAAATTCTAATTTAAGAAAGGTGAAGTCAAGGTAAAAAATGTTGATGCAGTTGAAAAGCTAACATCAGTATATATCACCATATGAATTTTGATTACACAATCTTTAATGGTTTCTTAAAAACTGAGCTAACATTAATTTAAGAAAAGTGAGGTC